TTTCTTAAAACTTGAATTTCATTTGGATCAGACGGATCCATCGGGATCTGAACTCTCACATTTTCTCGCAGTGCAGCTGACTAGAAAGAGCGAGGTGACAGACAGTGCGGGCGAGACAGAAACAGAAACAGAAACAGAGAGAGAAACAGAGAGCGAGCGTAAATTTAAATAAATGCTGTGGAGCACACTAAAAGCGATTTATCTTTGTCGATTGTGGATTACGAACATGCCCCGCCCCCAGTCGCCACATCCCCTGGAAATGGGGAAAAAAAACATTTTTCATATTGTGTCAGCAACGAGCTGGTCTCTGTGTGTGCTGTCCCTATTTGCGAGTGTGTTTGTGAGTGGGATTGTGCGTCTGTTTGCACAAAGACTTGTCAGTCAACGTGGGAGCAGCTCGGCCGGGGCAGGCGGGGAGGGACCCTGAAGACCCGAGAAGCGCAAGGAGCACAAGGAGCAGCTGCTGCCCTTGCTACCCTTTTGTCTGTCCTGCGGTCCGCCTGTCTGTGTCCTGCTCATCAGGCTTCGTTTTATTGATTAATCGTTTGCCGCTGCTTGATGCCTCTCCCCTGTCCCTGCTCCTGCCCCTGCCCCTGTCCCTGCCATCGTCCCTTCCTTTGGTCACATTAGCGCTTCTGCTTTCTACTCGAATTGGCCAATTTTGCGCTGCATTGCGCCATTCATTTGCCAAGGAGGGCCTTTAACCGAAACTTTTTCCAGAACTCTGCCTACACAGCGTATACGCAATATTTCTGAGGGCCAAAAGAGAAAGTTGCTCCTGCTTTCGAGGGGGTTCTGAGGCTAATCAGGGGAGAAAGTTTCTTATGGGGTTGGCGATGAGGGGGATTGTGACCCAAATGCCGTTTGCCGGGTGAGCGGAGAAACCCACATCGGTATCGATTGGAGCCATTTTCAAGACCATATTTGCTAGTTCCTGGCTACGTTGCTCCCGCAATTAAGTTTAATGTTAAAACTTATTCTATCACCAGAAGGGAAGACGATAATTCAAAATATTATGTTGTTAGAACAACGAAACCAATATCCCTTAGATAGAAAGAACTCCAAAAATCCTGCACACCGATTTTTATATAACTTTCTCGCCTACTTCCAGGATATTTATAGCATCCAGCTCTCAGATGCCAGCTTGCCGAGGAATCTCGGCTAAATCAACTTTTTCTTTAATCCACCGTGCACCGCAAAGTGAAATCTATCAATCTGGAGTCTTGGGCCAGCTGCTTCCACTTCCATTTCCACTTTCACCCTTGGCAGGATTATAATCTGGAAGATGCGGCGCCCACGCAGAACCCGATAAATTGCTAGATTGCACAAAGTGGCAAGCTGCGAAGGAGGCGAAACAGCACGCGGATAACCAGAAGGACCAGAAGGACCAGGAGGACGAGGGCCAAGCCAAGCCAAATGCCAATGCAAAAAAAGGTAGAAACAAATACCGAGGGTGCGGGCAGAATGGAGGGGGAAAAGATTATTGGAACGCAGAAAGTTTTTCTCCTGGCTGTCGTCGCACACATGTGTCCAGCCGCAAAGGGGCAGGGGGAAGGGGCAGGACGCAGAGGGAGGGGGCATAAAGAAGTCCAAAGCGGACCAAACAAAACGCGGCTGTAGTGTAATACAGCTCAGAGTTGTCAGCTGTCGCCAGGCGACAACAGCAACAAATCGTTTATGGCCCAAACACCTAAGCAAATATTAGAAAGAGGAGGAGAGAGAGGGAGCGCTATCCTTCGGAGGATATCCATGTGTGTGGGCGGCTGTGTGTGATTGGCGTACATAAGTGAGAATGCGTGTAAAGTGTTTGTAATCAATCATTTATGAAATTACGCTACTTCCGCTTTTGACAATTTCTTTCGCCGACAAAGGCGAAAGGCTCCTCGCAGCCAATAAACACCAGGCAGCCATAAGCTCCCCTTGGCGCTCCCTCGATGACGTAAGGTTATGTGATATGTGTCTATATGTAAAATGCAAATCGCACACTGCCACCGAGTGTATGAAACAAAAGTGGCAGTGGCGGGGAAAATGAGGAAAATGAGGAAAATCCTGCACATCAAATCGAAATCTCCGATGGAAATAGATTATGGCCAAGCAGCAGCAAGCCATGATGACAGCAAATACCGATAAGGGACTTCGCTCGAGCTGGCAAGCCAATTTGGAAAACACACACAAAGCCAAAGAACAATTGATTAAATTAATCGGAATCAGCAGCCGGCTTGAACTCTGGCCCATTGTTCCCAGGTGAAGTTTTAAGTTTCACTTTTGCTGGCTCTCGAGGTCATTGGGTGGCTGTGGCTCTGAGCATAACAAAGTTATCTCATAAATATGCATGTGTTATGCTCGACTATTTGTCATTCACTCGCTGAGGACTTAATTGAGTTTTAAGCAAAGTGGCAAATATTTGCTAGTCTTTTCCAGCCTTCAATTACAGCCTCTGATTTGTGATTTATCAGCATTTCTGCATAAACTGGGTAAATTAACAATAGGGGAAGCCTTCTTCTTCCTTAAGAACACTTTAATTGAGGGTCGGCCTCGTAAGTTCATTGTCTCCCCATTGAAATAATATTGTTCCCTTGAAGTGCTGCCCCAAAAACGATTATGATTTCCACAAATATGAGAAAAATAATCGAATTGCCGCAATGATGGGGCCATCAACGACTTCTCGGCTCTCAAGTGGGCCCAAGGATGGGGTGCGCTGCACCCAAAGCTGTTTTCCAAACCGCAACTAAGGACACAGAACGTTGCCTTGGGGCTCGGTTCCGGCCGATGGGTTTTCCCTTTGCGGTTGCCCGCAATGTCAAGCTTTTTGCGACTAATTAGACGAGCCTGCGGTGGGACAAGGTGAGTAATCATAAATAAATATGCAAGCGGCATTCGACCGAAAATTAAACATTGAAATCGGTTGACTGGACCATGGGTGATAGCGGCGATAAGGATACGGTTATGCCAGTAGGCCAGTACTGGCTGGGCCAGGACCAAACCTCTTTCGGGCCATGTGCAAAAACGTGTTTTGTGCTGGAATCTGGCCGTGTGGACGAGGCTGGCACTTGGAAAAGAAAAGCCAAGGAACCTTCTGCTGAATGGCCAACAAGAGAGAGAGGACAGCAGCAGCGCGCGCAGTGGAAAATTCAAATACTTCTGTTGGAAGTTCCGTTGGCTCCTGTCGGACCATTTGTCAGACTTGGACAAATTGAAGTTGTAGCCTAAAACTAATGTGATTGGCCCCAGAGGCTGATTAGATTGGCGAATTACTAAGATAGTTTAATGGGAATCGTAGCATTCGTTCATTTTTGTGGAATCTATCAGCAAAACATTGGCCTGTTGAAACTTATATAAACTGCGAAAAAGTTTGCAGAGTCCCCAAGTCAGGGAAGCTGAAAGAGGGAGCGAGAGAGAGGCCTGCCAGAGAGAGAATGGCCTGCTGACATCGCAGATAGAGAGGAAGAGGTCCTGGAAATCTCTCACCAGCTCATTGCTCACTGATTTCCAGATAGAGAGCCGAATTTTCGAACTAGAAATCATGTTAAGGCTGCTGCTGGTGATTCTCTGCTCTGATTCTCTTCTCCCCTTTCTCCGCAGCCCTTTCTCGTTCCCCTCTCTATCCCCTTACAGTCCCTTTCCTTCGGTTAGTTTAAAGCCCTTGTTGTTGTTGCCTCTGCGGCTGCACAGCGCATTAAATGTGTGCCACCAGGCGTATGCGTAATTTAAATTTAAATTTGTGTGTGTACATATGTCTGCCCCTAGCACCAGCCCCCACCTGTACCCACCTGATTCCGCTCCCAAGCCCCAACCCCCATCCCCCAACCCCCTTCCCCATTCGCATTCCCACTCACATCTTGTGTATTTTTGGCCCGAGTTGCCGTTGTTGTTGTTTTGTTGCCGTCTGCTTAGCATTTGCCTCAAGTTTTGTTAATCAGCGCAATTCACATTTCTGTTTTTTTACTGCCTCCATTCGCCACTGCTCTCTCAGAGATTCCGCAGTATTCAAAAGGTTTTCCTTTACCCACAGAGACCCTCATTAGCGTAGTCATTGTTTCAGCCAGCTTTTCCTTCGCCCCTTCAGCCATTTCAGGTTTTCAGGTTAAGGAAAGGAATCTCTGGCCGGCACTCGACGAATAATTACCAATTATATGGAACAGACATCAAATATGCAACCGAAATCTGGTGTTGTTATGTACCGACCAACTGCAGCCGAGCTTAAGTGCCACAAATTAACCGCAACGTGGACTCCTGCGTCCGCGTCTCTTTCGACGCTCTCGTCCCTGCCCTGCCATGCCCTGCTGCCCCATAATTACGACTCTGAAATATGAATCCTTGGACAAGAGTCCTGGCTCGGTTATGGGCCAAAAGCGGCATGAGCCCTCAATGAGTCCTGCACTGAGAGAAGGGCCAATCCAAGGGCCAAAATCTAAAATGCTGGCCAGGCTTTGTTCTTGGCGGATTAGGGCTTACTATTTTTGACATCTGCTCTGCCTGTGGAGCTGCTCACTGGGGGAGTGTAATCTGGGGGAACCCCTGATAAATAGATAAACTTACAGACCTTAAAAGCTTAACTTTGGTCCCTGGACACTGAAGAAAAAGCAACTGAATTTGAGCTTATCTTCAAAACTTAACGCTCAAACATGTCCTAACGAATCTTAAAGTAACTGCAACCTTCAAGATATGTCCGAAGTATCATAGGTTTATAATAGCAAGTACTCCCCATTTTCGAGCAGTGTTAAATAGCTGTTTTAGGGCCTTTGGGTTGGGTTTTGTTTTCAGTTTTTCCCTTTTTCGCAGCTCAACTTTAATAATTAATGAGCAGCTAAAAATGTCACGCGGTGCGGAAGAGTTTCGGGCTGGCCAAAGTGGAAAGCGAATGAGGTTCGGGCTTAATTGGGTTAAAGGGCGGATGGGGGGAGTGGGAAGATAGGGGATTAGTTGGCCAAAGGAGGCCAAGGAGTTTGAGGTCAAAACCTTCCCGGCTTCTTTACTACAAAGTTCCTAACTAAACTCACCTTGCAGTCGTCGCACTGATTGATCAGCGAGTAGACCTGCCGGCAGTCGAACCGGAACAGGATCTCGGCCAGCTCGCAGGTGATCCTGTTGGCCAGTCCGTCCACGTCCAGCAGGTCGCTGAGGACGCGCACACACTCCTTGCGGTCGGAGAGACTGGCGTTCAGGGCCAGCGTGTGCAGGGCGCTGAAGACGCTCCTCTCGCAGCAGTTGCGCAGCCGCAGGGCCCTCAGCCGCTCCAGCAGGTGGCCAGGTGACTGGAGCCCGCACAGGTGCTGCGGACTCGACTCGGCGGAATCGCCCAGATATTCAAGGCACTGTTGTTGCTCCTCCTGCTCGTGCTCCCGCGGATCCTGCTGGTGGATTAGGACCGGCTCCTGGGCATGCAGATGGCTGTAGGACAGCGTGGGCTCCGGCACCGCCTCCTCGGTGGTGGAGGACACGTCCAGGTCCTGGTCGTCGGTGGTGCTCGCAGGCCGCTCGCTGGCCGGGGGATTGCTCTCGGTGGCGTCCATCGCGTAGTCCCCGCCGCGGCGCAAACGCATTTGGGCTGTCTTATAGTTTACGAAATACTTGACTTTATTGTTACTGGAGGCGCTCCGCTTCGCCTTGGAGGCCGCTGGCTTCTGTTGCTGCTGCTCGGCGCAGGATCGCGGGCAGGTTGGGGGCCCGGGTCCCTCATCGACCCAGGCCATGGGCAGTGTACCAGCCGAGCACTGACCCTGCAAGGGAAAGGTGTGATTTGATTATTAAGTTTAATATTTGGGGAAAATATTATAAGGATTATTGAATCAGTAAGGCAGTAAGAAAGAAAAACTTGAAGCCAAGGACAGCGATGAAATGTTGGTCCTCCTTTTGTGACTTACAAGACATGTCATGGCAAAACGACATAAAGAAGGCACTAGCTTCAGAAGAATAAAACTTTAAGATCTAGAAAACGATGTTTTTAAGAGCCCTAAACCGAGATTTAAGACCGACAATTGAAGAAAACACTTGGCCAGAGATTTGCAGTCTAGATTTTAGATGACATATAATCTTGCAGGGTGATAGTAGATAAAGCTCTGCATAGCCCAAGGGAAGCTCATGTTAAAGAAGGAAAGTCCTGTCCTCATCCTCTGCACTGCAAGTTCCTTCATATTTATTGGAACATCCAATTCCTAACACCACTTCCGCCTCCATCAATTAACCGTCTTGTGTGATTTAAAAATTAAACCACCCGACTGTGATAGCCGCACAAACACACCTAAAACGTACCCCGACCGCCCACAGCCCCCCAGCCACACACACGCGGGGCAAAGCAGCCCGTCGGGGAGCAGCAACAATATGCAGCAGGAAAAACAAAAAGCACACTGGTATATTGGAAAAGTTTTGCTCGGCTAACAACAACAGCGAAAGTCATAAAAGGCAAAAAAACAAAAAGGAAAAACAAAAAGTAAATAGAAGCCAAAGCAGCCAGCAGCGGGCAGCGAACAGCGAACAGCGAAAAAACAGGAGCATTGAGTGCATAAAGAGCTGATGTTTTTTGTTATTAAAATGACCGCACTTCGTTGGAATTTTCCACATGCTTGCATAAAACTCAAGGCAGCGCAGCAACAGCGGGAAAGTGGGCGGGAAGGGAGAACGCGTGGCTGCAGCTTTTCCGTAGAACACTTTACGGCATTTACTATCAATATTGAAGTACCCAGAGCCGGAGCCGGAGTCGGAGCCAGAGCTCTCCGAAGTTGGAGCTGCAGCAGGAGCTTAAAACCTCCTGCGATTTAATCGTTTTCCGGTTATAGCATGAATATTTATGAGCCTGGCAGGAAAAATTACTTTATCCCGATTGCTGGCTCCCACCCCTTACTGCACCTTCCGAGGAGATGCTTATGGACTGCCGACAGTAAGCTCGATATTATCCAATTTAAGGGGATCGGGCTTGGGCCTGAAGACACTTGCCTATGCTAGGCTGGAAGTTAGTGTAGGAGGAAGTATTAATAGTTCGTAATTTTGAGTTAGCATTAATGGCAAGGCATTCCTGGTCACAACCGAAAACTATCCAATCGAAAAGGTCAAACGTTTCCGCTGCTGTAAGCTCGCTAGTTAAATTTTAAGCATCGGCTTAAGTCCGAGTAATCCGACTACTCGTCGGCTGAACAATGCGAGCATTATTCCCAGGAGCATGCACCGGAAACTCCCCTTCATTTTTTCTGGCTTGCTTCCGAGCTGAGAACAAATTCAGAGTCGGAATCGGAATCGACTCGCCCGCTGCGATGACGATGACCCTTTGAACTTTCGGGCTGTGAGTAATATGCAACAATCAACAACTCTCAATTGCTGCGTGTCCTGTGCGCCGGGCCCTGTGTTCTGAATGTCCTGTGTGCCCTTCCCCACAGCCCCCAGCCCCTCCACTTCCCCACCCCGCCTCTCAATCGTTTTCCATGTTCCCGGGGCAATAACAATAAGCAGCAGAGAATTTCACTTGCAATACGCACAAATATGCCCAGGCCGTGGGGCTCGAGGCGGGGAGGTCTTAACTCAAATGAAAAATCATACAAAGGGGAAACTAATACAGCCAGGCACACACACAGGCACACAGACACACCGACACACAGGACGTGCACACACACGTACCCGTCGGGAAGGACGAGCACGTGTACGGGCGGCCATTGTTGATTTAATGGCAGACCAGCTGCGGCCCAATGCACAACAATGCGGCTGGGGCTCGAAAGGGGGGCATGTACTGGGGTAAAAAATAAAGATAAATTCTTCAATTCGCAGCAGGCAAAATAAGAAATTACAGTTCCTGCCCGGGGGCGGAAGTCCTGCATCCCCTGCCCCTGCCCAGTTGGGCAACTCTGAAAACTTTCCAATTTCTGCTCGATTGCCAACTTCATAATGAGCAACGTTTTCCGTTGAAGTGCCTCTAAAACGGATTATTAATTCATCTGCGCCTATTCCGAAGATGGACTTCTCGCTAAACACTCAGGCCTCGCCTTTCCATGAATTTTGAAAGCCCTTCGAACACACAACAGGACTTCCGGCAGACATTCCTTAATATTTCCTGACTCGAAAGTGTTAAAATCCATTGGCCATGATTGTCTTACCAGTTTCGGTTGCATGTAGGGCATGCAGTCGGTCTGGAGTGGGGCGACATGAAATATTCATATCTGCCGAGGAAGGAGGGCTCAGTGAAATTGCAACAGGAATTCCAATGGCCGATGTCCGATGGCCAAGGACTCCTGGCTAGATGCTGAAACATTCATGTGTGCAGGACACTCGGCAGCTGTCTGCATCCCTCTGTGTGTGTGTGGCGGGGCAAGAGTTCTTATGCAACTTGTCATTAACTTTGCTGTGACCCCAAAACTGAAGCTGAAACTGAAACTGAATCTGAATCTGAGTGACAGCCAGATGACTTGGGACTTTCTACTCTCGGCGTAAGGCCGTTTCGCCACTCAAAAGACAATTTTATAATATCAGTTGAGAGATGAAAAAGAGAAAGAAATGCAACCTAACCAGCCTTCAAAGGGTACCCTTTTTTCCCGTGCATCCACAATCCCTGCCCTCCGCCCTCTAGGACATTGCACACGCCCAAAGAAAGCAGAACAGGGCGCAAAAACTCAAACAATGCCGGCATAATGGAGTATGCATTATGGCTAATGGCACACGCCTACAACTACACATCTGTGCCCTGTGCAGATAGCCGGGGATGTCCTTTGTGGCTGCGGTCCTTTGTGCAGGTTGTGAGGTGGCGAGGTTGCGAGCTCCGGAGGGGCCGAGGGGTGGGCCACAATGTCTAATAAGCCGAGGTCCTAAATGCTTAGACAATGAAAATGGACTCGGGCCCACACAATGATGTCAGCTGCAGGGACGGGGGCCTTTGAGGTCCACGGAGGAGCTCTCCGGCCACTTGACCCATGACAGCTCGCCCGGGCGACAATCTCTGATGGATGTGTGACAGGGCCCTGGGCCGGCCCAGTTAACCCCTAAATGCCCGAGGAATTAATGCCTTGATTAGTTGTGCAAGCGAAATATTATTCAAAACTTTTGCCAAGTGCCGGGGGCAATTGAAATCCGTCAGAGCCTCCTCGGCAGCAGGAATGTCAACTTCTGAGGCCAGAAAGGGAAAAACCCAAAGTGCACTTGAGCTAAACACCAGCAGCTGCAGTTGCAGCAACAGCAACAGCAACAGCAACTTGCAACATGCAACTACAATGGCAAGCGGCAAACGGAACCGACAACACTTTAAATGTTACAGCTTAACCTCGAAGGGCAATTCAAACAATGTCCTAGCTCACACACACACGTCCTGATGGGGTGGCTGCCAGTCAGTGTGTGTGTGTATGTCAAATTTTAACGCCTGTCAACAATGCAGGCGGAAAAAAAACGCAGCGGCAATGGAAACGACAACAACAGCCCAAGAACATGTCGCAAGCAGCACTCAAATTTTCAAATGCATGCATGCTGATGTGTGGGTGAGCGATACCCTTCCGAGAAAGGATATTTCGAATGTTCGAGCTCGGGTCTCCTTGCACAATTTCCTGGAAATCGTCTGCCTAAAGAGCTTGTGCAACCAGGCCACGTCTAACCCACACTTTAAGTCATGACTGGGCTTCCTTCAATCGAATTATCAACAATAACTTTGAAAGTAGTCAGCGACCAGGATCAACCCTTTCAGCCTTCATATCCTTTACTATTTCTCTAATAACTAACATTGTGGTCTATGTCTGGATATTTTATCCTTTCAGCCTTTTGCAAATCAACTTTTACTGGTAGTGTGCAGTATCATGTTCCCAGCACTGTACATATCCCCATAGAGGTATCAGATATTCGTTTGTTGCCGCACTTTCGCTCAGATATTTATGCAGTTCGTCAGTGCTGGGGCTCGTATAGATGTGGATGTGTTTTGCAGGAGCGTAAAAAGTGACGGGCGACACACACACAGGGGCGTACTGAGGCAGGAGATGGCTAACACCCACATGCACACAGATACTAGCTGGCAGAGACACATGGCCGCGTTGACGTGGCTGAAAGCCGCAAGGGACAGGCTTTGGCGAGAGGATGAAGCGGGGGAATGTGGATGTGGGGAAGTGGGGAAGTGGGGAAGTGGCAGTGGGAAATCGGAGGAGGTGTCGCTGGAGGTTGGGCGTAGGCAAATTGTTTGTCACATGGCCCGACCAGCTCCCAATGCCCGCCCCCGGCAGTTCACCTTGATGGTGGGTGGGAATGGGACTCGCTGCCGTTTTGTTGTCAAAATCATAAACATGAACCCGACCACGCCCCCGGCCCCCGGCCGCCAGTCGCCAGGCGCAGCCATTTCGCATTGTTTTGCCACATTGTCGAACTGCACGCATTTGCCAGCTGCATTGCTTTGCATAACAAGTGTAATCCGGCAGCTCAGCAGCGTCTGCCCCGCAATTATGCAACAATTTTCGATGTGCAATTGGCAGGCAAAACCAGGGGCACCGGAGCGTTTTCACTTGCGGAAATCAGATGCAAATAAGGCGGAAATCGTTGCCCTGCACACTCGCAGGCTAGCAGAGATACAAGTTGCTAAGAAAAATCAGGGATCCAGGCAGGAGTAGGAGTAGGAGGCAGGAGCAGGAGTGAGAGCCAGGAGCCCAGGCGAACCGAGAGTCCTGTCAGGTCGTTCAGGACAATTACATTTCGTGCATTATTCAGTGAGGACTCCCAGAGGTCTACTCCAATGAGACAAATGGCCGAATGAGACTGAAGTGGCCGAAAAGAGGGAGAGATTTTTACGGAGTGCCTGGCCGAGAATTTGTGGCATTTGTATTTGATTTGGCCGGCAATTAAAAGCGCTTCCTCTGCCCGCAAAGGCCACATTGCTGGCATTCAGTCATCAAATATTTGCTAGTTTCTAACACATTTGGCTCATAAATAATTTCCATTTTGCCACAAATTTCTTTTTGGCAGCGTCGTTTACTCAATCAACGTTCGTTGATTTGTTAGTTTCTGTCACAAAAAGGTGCTCAGTGGAGGAGCAACTCTAATTTGTTGGCATTTCCTCGCAAAGTTAATCGGGGCAAGAGGAAAACATGAAGGAATGAATATTTCTGAACGGATTTTGTTCCTTTGACTGGCCTAGATTAAATAATTGCTATAACCATAAAGTTTTTGTAATGCAGTAATGCAGGAATTATGTTTCAGGGCCATTAACAAAGGCAATCCATCAAGTTGAAGAGCCCGCTGGCGGGGGCGTTGCTATCGTTTTAATCATATTTAAACAGCGCCTGTATTTATCGCTCATTATTTATGCATATATCAATCTATATGGCCACGAGACCCCATTAACGGGCAAACAAATGCCCCGAAAATTCGTGGAAAAACCGCGCCCAAAAGGAAAGCCGCACGCACACAAAGAGCGGAAAGGAAAGCCAGAGAAAGGAAAGGAAAGGACACTGGAGATAGCGGGGATTAGGGGAGGAGAGCTGTTAACCAAGGCAAAAAAGGCGACGCACCTGTCTGTCTGTCACATCACATATTTGTTTGCCTAACACACACACTCTCGCACGCGCGAGCACTCGCAGGATCAGGCGCCTGTCGTTATGCCACACAATTTTATCAACATTAATTTGTCAAACATTTACCGGCATTTCGCATGTGTGAGGGTCGCCCATCTGCGTGTGTGTGTGCGTATATCCTTCCCCTCTAATGAGAACAATAAGTTGAATGAATTTAATGAAATGAGATGTAAACATGTGGACAGCTGTGGACAGGCAGCGAGGGGAAGCGGGGAGGAGCGAGAGGACCCTGGCCATTGTGGACCCTCTCCTTTGTCCTTCTCCCCTTGCCGCACCCTCCCTCCTCCTGCTGCACTCGCTTGTTTTCGAACTCGTAATGAAATTCTTGAGTAGAAATTCATTTTGCAACTTTTGCTGAAACAATGCTCATTGAATAATTTACGCCCTGCGCCAGCACAAATGAAAAACCCAAACGGAATGGGGAAATGGGTGTGGAAACTGCAGCAGTGCTCCACTTAGCGTGCTCCCAGTCCCAGTCCCAGACCCACTCTTACTCCCACTCCCACTCCCAGACCCAATCCCAATCCCAGTCCCAGTCCCTTGGCAATCTACGTGCTCGGGGTCCAGGCGCTGGGCATAATTGCATTAGCCGGATGCGCTGGATGTGGCTCCCATTTCCACTCCGGGTTAATGTAATTGTTTTGTGTATTTAGCCTGGACATTGCATTTAAGTATCACGAGTATCACGAGAGACCTACCCCAGCTCTGGCTCCTCCTCCTGCCCTCCTGCCCTCCTGCACCTCCCCTAATGAGCCAATCAATGCACGCGAGTCGTCGAGCTGGGAAAAGTTCTGGCCCCGGTTGACAAGCTCAAAATGCAAATTGTTGCCACTTAACGTTTCAAGTGATTCCAGCACGAAGGTACTACCCCCTCCCTCCCTCTGGCAGTCTTGCCGTCTTGGCCCCGCTAATCTGCAGCCAACTAATTAAACTTTGTCTGTGTCGGGCGCCCAATGTGCAGACATTTGGCCCACACTTTGAATCGGGCCACAAAGAGGTCCTCATCAATTATTTGGCCTTGTCAATCGCTTGTTTTTAGAACTTCCGCATTAAGTGTCACTCGAGATTAGGCAATTCGTAATGCAGTTGAGTGATTCGAGGGATTACCAAGGAGAACCACAGGACACTCCGTACTTTGCTTGGTCATGCCTTAGAAATATCATAGAATATTCATAAAACTTCCTCGTTTTGTCGTGAAATTTCAATTAATTAAAATCATTTCTGGATTTATTGATTATTCATCAATCACAAACATAATGGGTTAGCAATATAAATATCCAAACATATGCTCCCAGCATATGAGTTGCAACAATGTTTTCGTCGGCTTTCCACTTAATTTCCACGGCATGGGGCGAAATAATTTGCATATGGCATTTCCTGTAATCAATTGCAATCTTTTCATTCGATTTAAATTGCGAAACCAAGAGCAGAAATCAAGAGATTTAAACTCCGAGCTGCCAGTCTGCCAGGATGGCAAACAGCAATGGGAAATTACCACAATTGATGCATATAGACATCTGGGCATTCAGCAGACTTCGAACATCGTAGCATCGTTTGCCCGCAGGCGGAAAATTTATGACAGTTTTCGGTTATTTGTGTCTGGCTGGGTTCCGATGGCTCTCTGCAGCTGGATGGCTCAAGCACCCAGCACCCAGAGCCCAGTGGAATGATGTAACCAGAAGGAGCAACCTGCAACAGCAACTGCAACGGCGGCAACTGCTTACAAAATAATTGATTTTGTACACATCCTTGACACAAATAAACATTCGCTCGGCTCTGCTAGAGTTGAACCCACCATGAGCTAGCCAAGTTGGGGGTCGCCGAGCTGTATGAAAATTTTGAATTAAATCCACACAAAGCTAAAGGATTTTTAATTGAATTTGAGGGGTTGCAACGGCAAATTCAATTCGCAGTTTGCAGTTGCACAGTTACAGGCGAAAGTTTAATGAATCCAGTGAAGTTTTTACACTCGATTGGAGTGTTTGTGTTTCTTCTGCTCTCCTCTCCCGTCTGGAAAAATGGGAAAACAAAGAGCAAATAACAGGAATATAGAGTGCTTAGATGGCTGAAATGGCCAGCCTGAGATGCGACTGATTAAATCACCTGAAAACGAGCAGCGCAACTCGTTTCATTCATTCTTCGACTCCAGGATATTGGGTTTCGATAGCACTCGTTGCGAGGCCCCAAGTGCCACAACATCCACCCACTTTCGACCCCCTTCCGAGTCCTCGATGCTCCTAACCCTGCACTCGACACACTGACAAGGGCCTGGCGCAGGATGCCTTTGATTCGCAATCCACTGGGGCATCAACACATCAACAGGCCGCCGAATACTCCGCGTTCTGCCATCATAAATTCTGCATTCGCGTTCGCAAAAACTGCCACCAAAAGAGAATGGCAGAAAGGCGGAGTGAAGGGCCAAAAGGCAGGGCTTAACCCACTGCGGACCAGGCGCATGTAGGGCTGATGGCTAATTTGCAGCTTCAGTGCAGGCGTGTCGCCCTTCTGGGACACGGCTTAATTGAAAGTTCGGACAGGTCTTTGGCTGCCATTTGATCACTGGATTTTGGCCTTTGCTAAGCTGCTTTACGAAATTCGCCAAAGGATCGAAGAGGAACTGGCGAGGGCACTTATTCATCGGATCTCAATCTTCCTCGTATCGAAGGTTCATTGCTGGTGAATCTTATTATGTTTTCAAGCAGGAAAAGTTGTGTACTTTGGAGAGATAAGTCCCAACTACCGACTACCAACCAAACTGTATCAACTCCTTGAATGACCCATAGCTCACTGATCCTGAGCAGTATGGAAGTAAAACATATTCTGTCTTAAACACGCCTTTTGCGGGCAAGTCGTAGCCATGTCCTTGAAACGGCTTGATTGATTTAATTGCTTAATTGTCGGCTGGCCGAGTGATAGACAATCGGAATGAAATACATTGGGCAAGAGTTAGCCTTTACAATAATTGGAAAATCAATAGTGCGGCACCGGCTTAAGCCCTGCCATTTGAAATTGGATTCCAGCTAATTGTCTGTCAGTCGGAGATCGAGTTGTGGTCTCGGTGAAACCAAAAGGCGAAAAGGCGAGAGACTGTTCGAATCAATTAAATTTGCATTAGGGCGAGAATGCATTAATAAATATTAGGATCTCAATTACACTTGGCAGAGGCAGTGGCACTCCACAGAGCCGGGATCGGAGGGGCAGCGGGACCTCCATAGGTGAGTGGCCAGCCGAAAAAAAGAAATCAATTGGAAAGTGTTTGCCTGCCCCTCCTTCCACTTTCCACTTCCCAACCACTCTTGGCACAATTACCAAGGCATTTTCCTTGATTTGCAGCACGTTTTGCCAGTTGCCAGTTGCCAGCACTACCGCTGATGATTCCGACGACGATGATGACGATTCTGGCGATGATGAAGCTGTCGTGGCCCTTGAAGTGGTCCAAGACGCGGCGCACAATTGTCACAGCGAACACTGTACTATATAACGGCGAAAGAAATCACTTTTTCCTTTGGCAGTTTGAGTGGCAAGCCAACAAAACCGAAGTAGCTGCCTCGATAGCGACAATAATAATGTGGAAAAGGCCTTGTGGGCAGGCGGGCCTTCCCCCACGAAGTACAGTGGACTGCCGTTTACTGAACTTAAACTTAGACCTTAACTTTAACTTAGACTGACTTTAAAGTAATGCATTCCAGCAATCTCTTAGACTCGCGCCCAGAAGTAGGCAACACTCTCCCTGGAAAAGCCATCGACATGGCCAACAATCGACAGCAGCTTTCAACATTGCCGAGTCGCAATGGCCAAGGACCAACGCCAGTCACAGCCTGGCTCGAGAGTGCCTTGAAATGCACAAAATTTGTATATGCATTCGAGGGGGTCTTTGTGCGTGTTCCTTGTATTTTCCCTGGTCTGCACTTAAGCCCAGCTTTGTTGTCGATTGCTCGACAGTTTCTTGCACGGAGAAAAAAGCGTTGTAAGTTTCTTTTGGACAGATTTCAGTGAAGGCGCAATGAAAAACCGAGTTGGCATTACAAATATGCAGTACACTGCTCTTTTTTCCCAGTGTACTTCCTTAGATAACGAGGAATGGGAATGAGAAATCCCAGATGATTATTACTGAGATTCCAGCCCCGGGCAGTCAGTCAGGATGGATTGAAAACCCAGGCAAAGGATCGAAATAGGAACAACGGACTCACCTGCAAGTCGGTTGCTGTGCCCGGCTGTGCCAGATCACAGGCTGATATCCAAGGATTAAGGCGTGTTAACGAAGTCGCAGTCCCGAGAATGGACTTCTTCAGATCCACGGGTGCTGGCAAGGATGTGGTGGTGCTGCTGCTGGCCCCTGCTGCTCCTGCCGACTCGGTGGTGGCCACGGCGGACAGGCTGTTATCCTTGTGGCCAATCAACTGGGCCGTCTGGGCATCAAGGATGTGGCCGCTGGCCTCCCGTTTGTTATTGTTATTATCGTAGCTGTTGGCGAACTCCTTCGAGTGGCTGTTGATGTGGTCGCTATGCTGCAGGACACCCTCATCAATAAGTCGGCTCTCGTCCTGCTGCTGCTGTTCGGTTTCTGTTTCCGCTTCCGTTTCTGTCTCGGTCTCGGTCTCCGTCTCCGTCTCCGTCTCGCTCTCTGGCTCTGTGTCTATTTCCGTTTCCGCTTCGGGTTGATGTTGATGTTGCTGTTGCTGCTGCTGCTGGGGCTGCTGCTGCAGATTGTAGTCCTCTTCGTCGGCGTCTTCGTTGAGCTTGATCAGGCGATCGAAGGACTCCTCCGACAGAAGGTCGTCCTCGGCCACCAGGGCAAAGATGTCCTGGTCTTCGTCGTAGGCCTGCGATGAGGGGAACTGCACCGTCAGGCCGCGATCTTCCTCCTCCTCCTGGTTGTTGGCCTCGCTGGACTCTGTGCCCGCAGTGACTCCTGACCGCGGACCGCCCGAGTCCGCTGCTGTCCCACCTGCCCTACCTGCTATATCCCTGCTGCTGCTGCTCTCGCGTCGCCGTCGCCGCTGCTGCCGCCTGTCCGCTATCCCCGAGGGTACCCAGGTTTCGGAGTGGGCCTGATCCTGGTTGTATTCCTGCGGCGGCAGTTGTGGGTAGAACTGGAGCGCAAAGTCGAGATGGTGGGGCAGGAAGATGGGCAGCAGGTATGAGCCAGAGCTGCGAACGAATGACGACGACTCGCCAGTGGACGGTAACGTGGTTGCAACTCCTCCGCCTCCGCCGCCGCCTCTGCCCCTTCCACCGCCGCCTGCGGTATTTGCTGCTGCTCCTGCTGCTGCTGCTGCTGCTGCGGATGTTGCTGCTGCAGATGTTGCTGCTGCTGCTACTGCTGCTGCTGCAGATGTTGCTGCCGCTGTTGGTGTTGCTGTTGCTGAGCTGATGCTGCTGCTGCTGCCACGCCGAGCCCCCGAAATAAACGCAAGCGCCATCACGACCAGCCCGGGTCCTGGCCGCATATTGACCTCGGGTTCGGCGGTGCTAGCATGGTGCAGGCCCGCTTGAGACGCGCTTGCGACTCCAATTCAATGCGAGTAATGATGGGCTCATGGCCCCATCATCATCAGTAGTGTGGGCTGCGGAGCGGTATTCTTGGGTGGCGATCGGCTCTCTCTCGATCCGTCTGATCCCTCTGATCCCGCCAGAGCCGCTCCAGCTTCAGTTGCTGCCCTGCGTCCACATCCAGCGGCATGAATCCCGGCCAGATTCGCACTTCCCTTGCCAGCTAATCACTGGCCAGCATTCGAGTCACCTGTGTTTAGTGCCGCGATTTTTCGAATACACTCCGCTTGGCGTTTCAGTTTTCCGTTACTCTCATAATATTATTATTTAATTATTATTTATTGTTGTTGTTGCTGTTGTGTTTGTTGTGGTTGGTGGTGGTGCACGATAACCTTGGAATTCGAACTGGAATTGGACATTTTGAAATTCGTTTGCTTCGTTGAATTGGTTTTCTTTCTTTTTCTTTATCTTTATCTTTATCTTTATCTTTTTTTTTGTTAGGGGTTTGGGTTGCTCACATAATTAATTAATTAAGAAATCTGCACAAAGACAAAGAAACTGTGGTTAGGCACTGTTAGGGGCATTTTTCCGATTTTAATGTGTGTTTTTCAGTCAAAAAAAAGAGGTGGGGGGGAGGTAGTGTTCGAAAATGTTTTGTGCGCTCACGCTCTCGATTTGCCAATGCGCTCTATTCGCGCTCTCTCGGAATCATTATGGTAATGCTAATGGACAGGAATGTGATTCGGGAACCTTTTCGAAAAGTCGCTTTTAATTAATAACTTTTTAACGATTTTTTAGCACTTTTTGAGGTTATATCTCGGTTTTCTTGAAGATGTTCCTCACTGAGGGAGATGGCACTAGCTCTTCGTTCCGCCGAAGTTTTCAAACGGTAAAAACGAACGAACGCGAACACCACACAAAAGAAGAAAGCCGAAAAAAACGGTCGTGGAAATCGCGTATATCTAACACACACACACACACACGCGCTCACACACAGGGGCAGTGCAAAGAAATTTATATAATTCGCTGCTCTGCTTCTGCTTTCTCTCAGCCGCTTGTTGTTTTTGTTGGCTTCGCTGCAAACACAAAACAGCGAACGCAGGGATCCACAAGGAGCACGAGGACTCGAACTGAATCGTGGGTGTAAGCCGTGGCTCTCTCACCCACCCACTCACACAAACACACTCGTACACGCGCGCTCTCTTTCTCACTCTCTCTCTCTTCTTCTCTGTCTCTGTCCTTTGGTCCTGCCAGTGAGCCCGTGAGAGTGTGTGTGCGTGAGTAGTTACTTAGGGCAGCCAGGCAAGCACTCCGCATGCCACTTTTTTCGGATTTCAACCAAGAAGAAGAAGTTGGCTAGGAACAAGAAGAAGAGCATGGAGAAGAATAAGTGGAAAGAAGAAGAAGAGGTGGCAGCAGAAGCAAAAGAAGTCGCCCCTTTCGCTGTATTGGTGGTAAGCCTATGCGTGTGTGCCTCTCTGGCTTTCTCTCTACCTTGGTGTTGGTGTTAGAGCGTTAGAGCCCAAGTCCAAGAAGTGGAAATCGAAGCATATTTTGAAAAGGAAAAAACAAGAATGGAAAAGCGTCCCGAATCAATTCCTCGTCCTTTCAATAACCCTCGAGAACGTGTGTACCACAAAGACTCTGGACTTTTATTCAGCATTTTTTTGATGTTTCATTTAAATCCTCGATTGTCCTCTTCCCTTTCTTTTCGCAGGCTTTCTGCCTTCGCTCTTTGTGTGTTAACTTTCACTTTTGTTTTATTTGCTGCGTTGACACTGCGCACACACACACACACGCACGCACACAGACGAACGCACGCACACTCGTGGCTAGGTGTATATGTATAAGGATTTTCTCTTTTTTTGTTGGTGCGTGTGCTGGCTGTGGGATCCTTTCATTTCAGTACAACAGCCGCTTATATAAGCCCGGAACGTAGCACGAAAACTTTGGAACACTCTTCAGCGGGTTTTTTGGGTTTTTTTTTTCGGTTTCCCTAAACGCTGCGAATCGAACGGCATTTTATGGGCGAGCGAAAAACTCCCCGAAATGCGGGGCATTAATTTTTGCATTATATAACATTTTGGTAGAGGGGCAACCGTTTTCCGTCCGTTTTCTTCGGCGAGCGAACGAGTTCGAAAGCACTTTGGGAACACTTTCTTCGAGTGGCAAATACTCGGACTTACCTATGTGCAAATATGCAAATAGGTAAATATGTACTACATGGGGGCAGGGGGGTTAATCTAGTTCTACTTCTTCTCGTCTTCTTAGCAAAGCGCAGCATCAACGGCCGTGTAACGGTTATTTTCGCATGTGTGGGCGGGGACACACGGCCGACTGCGGGGGGCGTGGTAGGCAGTGCTAGAGAGTTATGCTTGGCAGATTTTCCTGCATCTTTTTTCCCGTTATATCGGTTAACATTACGGTGGCGATTTGGCTTTGATTTGAGCTATAGCTTTGGTTTAGTTTCGTATGGTTTCGTTAGTTTTGCCCTGGCCACTGGATGAGGCCCTAGACCCGAGTACCGTTTGATTCACTGAGTTCGCTGAAGGGCTGAGCTGCTTGCCATTAGCCAATGGCTGCTGTTTTTCACAGGCTAGGGTTTTGTGTGTTTTTTGTGGACGCGACGTCGCAGGACAAATACCGTACAATCCTGCTTCCTGCTGATGGCCCCAAACGGCACTGACTGTGCCACAATTGCAGATGGCGCTCGACTGGAATGTGCGAGCGGTCCACAAGGAGCCGAGTCCTTGCCGAAGTCGCCCGAGTCCTCGGCCGAACTCACGCCCGAGGGCTCAGCAGCTGACAAAGGAGAGCCGCCTGCTCTCTTATGCGCTGTCGCTCTCCGTTGATTTCCAGGACCCATCCTGTTGTCCTGATAACAGAGACCGCTGTTAACTAACATCGATTTCGAAAACCCATTTTTAAGGCCAGTTCGAGTTGAAGTAAGAAGAATTACTTGCTGCAGGGCACTTAATCACGCCAGCGGAGAAAGAGAGAGAGTCACTCAGAAGTCCCCACTTGACTCGACTCATCCATTTCGTCCTGCCCCTACCCCTGCCCCTGCCCCTCCTCCCGCTCGGGCCCCTTCGTCCTGGCCCTCTTCTATTGCCTTCACTTTTACTTTTCGGTCTCTGGCTTTTGTGTGCGCATTTCGTTATGGCGTTTTGTCTTTGTCTCACTTGGCCTAAATGTGTAATACCCTATAATGTCGTTTAATCCCACTCGACGTGTTTTAGTTTCGCCCGCCAGCTTAGGGCAAAGTCAGGCGGAGTTGGAGTCGGAGTCGGTATGTTGTCGCAGTCGGTGGAGAGATAATTACCAGGTGCCTCGGGAGGCGATGCAGTTCCCCAGTTTCTATGCTTGGTATCCTGCGGTTACTTGATTGGCAATTAGCGGCGAGGTAATAGGACACGGCCAGTTGCGGATCACAATTAATGTGCCGTAGGAATATCAATTGAATGCTGATAGTCCAAATTGGATTTATTTGATCAATAATTACAATATTCTAGCTGGTTAAGACACATTCATATATTGTCCCTGCTTAGTTAAGTGAACGTAAAGCGTTTTCAACTTAGCATGTTGTCATCCCCTGAAACTGCAACAACATTTCGAGCCAAGCTAGAAAGTTGGACAACAATCCCGCTTCGGCTCCACACTTTCTACGAACGATAACTCCTTGAGTGTTTTAATAATGGATTAACCTATTTTCGAAAAGTATTTCGCAAGAGCCTGCTCAGCGCGAGCAGAGTTGATGACCAGTTCGATGCATATTTGTGCCGAGCTCTCGCCGGCAGTCCAACTGCGATGAATATCCAAGTATCCAAGGCCACGCCGACCTTCAAACAGACACTCGACAGCAGCAGATTCAGTGGAAGCGGTGAACGTGGGATGTGGGGTGTGGGGAGCGGGGAGTGGGAACAGAGCAGCCACTCACTCAATCTCAATAGTTGGCGGTTAGTCGGGGCGGAAGATGGGAGAGGACAGACAGCACTTGAATTATTAAGTTTTCTTTTTGGTAATTAACTTAAGTAACTGCCACGACAAATCAAAGGGGAGGCCTACGCCCGACATGGCCATATTAGCCACACCCGATCTATTGCCAGCCCATGGAAGCGACGGAGAAAGTGACCAAGTGAAGTGGGAAAGCAAAACAAACAGAAATCGAAAAAATACAAAGATTACTATATAACAACAAGAAGGCGGAAAAGGAAGGCAAGCGGGCGAGAATCATTTGGCTTGGAAAGCAGTTTGCCTCAATTTATGCGCATTCCAATCAATAACTGTGACACATGCAAGGACAACAGGGCGAGCGGAGGAAGGACCACCCACCACTCACCGCCCAAGAAGCAGCCAGGGAGCCAGTGAGCCAGGGAGCCAAGGAGCCACGAGGAGAGTGAAAGTGCCAGGACATCGAGAACTTGGAAGATGGCTCGCTGGTGTTTGTGGCATGGATATGAATGTGTCAAACTTATGCGGGCGCACACCCACCCCACCAGCACACACACACACACACACACGCACACAAGCACGAGCACGAAGACCCACACTCACACTCTCACTCGCATGTCGGTGTGCGTGCAGAAATTGATAAGAAACGGAATAACCCTCAAGAAAATTTGCGGCGAGCGAGCGTATGTGTGTCTGTGCTCGTAAGGATTGAAGAGGCACTGGGAAAATGGAAAACAAAACCAAAATGCCTGCACAAATAACAAAATAATACCAACAACTAGAAGGGAGAAGTTAACCACTCCTTGGTAAGGAGGAGTCCTGGATACTCTTTCTGTATATTTGGATCCCAAGAAGGGGATATTTTTATTTGAATCAAAAGAATGAAATTACAATCGGACTTTGACGATTTCCTATAAATTAATAATTGTCCTTAATGAGGAGAATATTTAATTGGATTGGATTGGTTTGGATTTTTCTCAGCTGATAAATTTTCCGTTCGCAATACTCCTTCTTTGCTGATTGATACCCAAAACTAATTCCTTGGCCGGATGCTATCGAGTGCATTACCAGGACAGTTTAAAAGTGCGACAGGGAGCGGGGGTTAAGAGGCGCTTCCAGCTTGCGAGTCAGAATCAGACTCGTTATCGTCGCCGCAGCTGACAGTTTGGTAAGTTGAGCATCCAATCGCATCGCATCGCATCTTAGGGCAGCATCCTCTTCAATTTCTGTGCCACGTTCAGTTCCTCAGTTTCAGTTTCGCAGTTTCTCAGTCTCACAATTTCCCCATTTCGCAATTTCCCAGTTTGGCAGTTTGGCAGTTTGGGTTTTCGGCTGCGAGCGTGCCAAGGTAGCTGCGACGCTCAGCTTTTCAGATATAACCGTTACAAGGACGCCGCCTGACCAAAACGAAAGCAAACGAATCGAAACGAGCGGAGAGGAAAGCCAAGCCAAGGCAAGGAAGGAAAGCGAAGAGGGGGCGGCAAGGATTTTGCGCAGTCCTTGCCTCGCACAAGTCGCTCTGCTCATTTATTTATTTTACTTTCTTTTTTGCACACGCACCACGAAGAGCAAACGCAAAAAGAAACGCTCACTCACACAGAGAAGCGGCGGGAGGCAGAGGCAAGTTTTGTGAATGAAATTTCGCGCAGGCACAAAGCGGCCAAACAATGTGATAAAAAGGGAGGCGGCAGGACATCGCCTCCCCGTGCCCACCCTCCCCCCAATTCCGATCCCTCGGGCAAGTCACGCGGCGAGCGGATGCACAGAGAGTCTGCCACCACCCAGCAACCTCCTCAGCCACCCAAAAAACAAAAGCAAACACAAACAATACCGCCAAAAAACACAGTCAAGCTTCTGTACGTCGCACCCACTTGAACTTTGTATTATGAGGTATCAACAATTCAAAATTTAAAAGTCGACATAATTGCATTCAAAAATCAAACTCTAAATTAGATACTTCTATAGAGTTCTTAATGAAGCCTAAAAGTATGCAAATACAAAATGTGCTTTGAAAGGAAATCATGAAGCTTCCTTGTCCTAGTAAGGTTCACTGTGAAGAAGTTCGACTGTACCAAAGGCAGTTTCAGGAGTCGACAGCCGCTTCTTGGCGTTGCTTCCTTACTTTTCCCCTCTCCTCACCCCACTGTTGTTGTAGCGGGCGTGGTGTCTGCTCCCTTCCTGGAAAGAAAACGCTGGAAGGAAAAAGGGAAACTAAACTAATGCTCGGCGCTTATCGATGATGACGATGACTGTGACTCAGACTGGGACTCAGATTCGAAATCGGACTCAGACTCAGTCTTGACCCACAAATGGCTCTTTCCGTCTGATAATTATGCAGGCTACGGACTGCGAACTGCCAGCCATTGGAGATTGGAGATGGTGCTCGAGATACTGCTAAATGCGTGCAATAAAACCCAAGGAGGATTCGGATGGAGGTTGGGAGGATGGTTGGCCGAAATAGGTTGTTACACTTCTCCAGATAACTGGGGCAGCGAGATAAATGCGAAGATAAGAACGTAAAGAACGGTAATGAGTATACTGGCGTATCTTTTATCATTGCAGATCCTAACAAGGGATCCAGATCTCCATTTCATTCCCTAGCCTTGGGTTATTGAAAGGATAAGCAATTCGAAATCAGTTAACTATCGTCGGTTAAACATAAAAATGTGTTATGTTGATAAGCATCAAATGCGATGAAATGGAGGATGCGACGTAGACCATCCGCTGGCCATCAGCTTTGGGCCCTTTCGCCCTCACACCCACACTCCCACAGCGGTACACATATGCAGCACGTAAAATGTAAATTCCGTTGGTGTGCGGGAGCTCGTTGTTGTTGGGTGATAAAGCCATAGATAGAGCGTGGGTGCATGAGTGTGGATAATGGCTTGTCGCAAAGTCGAAACGCACACACCAAGCCACCGAATGTCTGCACAAGCCCCTTATTGCCTCCCCATCGCCACCCACACACGGACACACATATACATGCGCGCCTCACATAATAAGGTGCGATTTGTCTCGCGCATAAAACGAAATTTCCTGCACACAAACACACTGAGAACGAAGGGGAGACAGACAAAGGGGGTGGCTAGGGGGTTTTCCTTGGTAGCTGGCCAACAATAGTCGGCTCTTTGGCGGGCTGAGGGGCAGCTTCGATTGCTTTGTTGCTCGAACATGACAGCAAAAGCAAAAGCAAATGCGGGTGTCTCTCTGGGTTTGTATGAGTGAGAGGGTGGCTGGGGTGGTAAGTGGGTGGTGGGATCCGGTGGCTGAGGGGGCAGAAGGCACATCTTTGTAGGTTAAGGCTTCTGTCAAAGCAGGAAAATGGGCGACAAAAGGCGTAAGACGAGGCAAACTCGTTTGCCATAATTATTGCTTTTGTTGGTGGCTATCGTCCTCCCTCAGATACCATTCACTCCCTCCATCCCCCCTCAATCCTGGGCGTTATTATTTTAACCGGAAATGTGCGCATATGTGTGCGTGTGCGAGTGTGTACAATTTGTGAACTGCATGAACTTTTGTGCCTTGGCCAAAAGGAAGCTCTTCCTGTGTGCCGGCATTTAGCAAATTTTTTATGACAATGTTTGCCCCTCTCACTTCTTCCTCACCCCCTTCCCCGACCCTTCGTGCAGCCCTTAATTTTATGACAAATATTATGTTAAAGACCGAATATGCGCTACACCATAAAAGTCAATCATTTTTCATTCCAGCTCCCACGCTTTTTTGTATGTCCACTGGGGACATTTAATTTGTGTTTTTTTTTGGTCGTGATTTCTCTTGATATGCGATATCGCCTTTTTTACTCTCTCTCTCTCTCCCTCTCTCCCTCTCTCTTTCCTTGCCTCTATTTCTCTTCCTTTGGGTTAGCGCATTCGGGTGTTTGCGGGTGTGTTTGCCACCCACTGGGCAAGCTTTTGTTGATATTTGGCGCGGCCTGCTTCAATTTATGTTCTGTTTGCCTTTATTGTCTTTCTCGACTTTTTTCCCTTCACTGTTTGTTGTCCTTCCACAGTGGAGCGTGGCTACGTTAAAAACGTATAAGTCAAAATTCTCTTTTAGTCGTATATGCAGAACCTCGAAATGCCTTATCAATCATAGCAATCTACCCATGCGATTGAATGTGTTCCATCTAAGGAGTCTTCCCTGTACTTTCTGTTGGGGGTGTGTGCTGTTTTTTCTGCTCCTTCCCGCTGCTTTCATTTTTTTATTGATAAGTTCATTTAATGGGCATGGCCTCCGCCAGCTGCCATCTCATCTCGTCTCTCTTTCTTCGCCCCCGCCTCTGTCACTGTCACTCTCCCAGTCCCCCTCCAGTTCTCCTCCTAATGAGTTTAATGCTTTGTTATCATCGCTGTAATCGGCTTATGTAATATGGCAATATAATTGAATCTCCCGGAATTATGTCATTCGACTAAGACCCTGCACAGCCCAATGTCGAACGGAATTTACAATTGCAAATTCGCAAATTGCCAATGCCAGCGATGCAGCACCTGTCCCGAAATCATAAAGGAAATGTGTGTGTCAACATGGGGAAGCCACTTTCACTCAGCGACCAAATGAAACTTAACGGAAAAGAAAATTACATCATGCTCGTTTCAATGGGTCGACATAATATTATTTTCTCGGCTCGGGAGAAAAGGGAAGGAAGGACAGAAGGCATAGCACCCAGTAGGTCCTCGGCTGGTAGTCAATTTTTTATTTATTTATTTTATGCCTACGCACATACGCGCCTGGGGAGAGAAAGTGGGGAAGTGGGAGAGTGGGGGCTGACAGGTGTCGCCGACTGAGTGGCTGCCTGACAGACTCGGAAAAGTGGGTGTGGCCCTTCGGCTTTGGCGGGGTGAAAAATGGTAGCCTATTATTCTTTGTATTGTTTTATGTGGCATTTATACGCGTATTTTTGTCGTCATTTAATAGGCGAGGCGAACTCGCAAGGAGAGCGAACACCCCGAGTGGAAAATAACAAAGGCAATAGACCAGTCACCCAATCCATCCGCGCTGGAGGGCAAGGGCTCCTCCGCCTCGTATCGCCATCCAATCAGTAGATAAATAACACATAAAATGAGGTGCTTAATCGGGTTTGAAGTGATGAAAGTGAAACTGAGCCATTGGCATGCGGTCCGTCCGTCCTCGTCCTGTTTGCGTGTGTCCCGCCGGAGGCGATAGCTTTGTCTCCGGCGTAAATCTTTGGTATCAACCGGGTATTTGAATATCATTTGCGGCCGCCGAATTTGGCCGCGTGCGTGTCCTTTAGCCGTGACGGCATAATTCCACTTTAAATTGCACGCGTACATAAGTAATTCATCAGTATTGTTTGCATAAATTAGGTTGCAAAAATGGTTGATTGACAAACGCTTAAATGGCTCATACAAATTTAAAGCTTTTCGGAGTTTCTCGTTTGAATATCGCGCGCATTTCTAAAATTATCGCTTTTGAAAATTGGTATTTAAAGTATTTTTTATGTTATTTTCACATCGATAGAAATAAATAAAATGAATAATAAATTAAATTAAATCAAATTATTAAAGTTGTGTTCAATTAAATTACATGTATGATTAATTTCATAAAAATCAAGCTGATTTTAAAGTTTTCAAATAAGGTGTTGTTGGAAAGAATTATGTAAGGAAAACAACTATGTTCATGGGAAATTCAAATAATTTTATATTTTTCAAATTAAAAAAGATTATGTAAGTTAGCGGCTATAATAAATACGTTTATGATGAATATTCATAATAAGCCACGCTATGGCATTGGGTGTATGGTGGGAAAAAACGGGCACACTTTTCTTCTAAAGTACCAAGCCTTAACATTTCTCTTAAAATGTTAACAAAGCGCCATTGCGGGAGAATAAGGAACTGCCGCGAATCGGTAAAAATAAATTTAATTTAAAGTAAAAGACAGAAGATAACACACTTTGTCCTACTCCTTCACCCTTTCTATTTCCTTTACTGTTAGTTTTCGTTGAAATCACTTTTACTAGATGGGAAAACATTGTCTACAATCGATATTTACAAACGTATCGATGCCGATGCATCGGATATTTTTCAACACTGCGAAAGAGGGAGTAAAAATTTAGTTTAAAGACACGGCCACACTCTTGTTTAGGTTAATAATACTATCGCATTCGCGGCCCCAAAACGGTCCAAAAAAAAAAAACGGTTCGATCGCGCGACCATCGACCAGTTCAGCTTTTTGCTTCAACGCCGCCGCCACCGCCGCTCGAAAAAGTGAAAGTATTTGCATCGAAAGAGGAAAAGATTCGTGGACTTTGTGAAGAGAGGCGGAGGCAGACACAAAAAAATAGCGAAACGAAAATCGGGAAGAGTGCTCTAACGAGGCCGCGGAAATCACTGCTAAAAGGTCAATTTCAATTCGCGTTAGCTTAGTTAGTAATTAGTTTAGTAGTACAGTACGCCCGTGCAATTCATACATAAATACAAATATATGTGACCGAAATCTGTGTGTTGAGTGTGCGAGAGAGCGAGATAGCGACAGCAAGACCAACATGGGCACAACAAAGGAGCGAAGAGAGCAGAACGAGGGCGACGCCGCCACCACCCACTCAACAGAAGCAACAACAACAACAGCAGCAACATCAGCAGTAGCAGCAGGAGCGGGTGCTACTACTACAACAACCACGACGAATGCCGCCAAAAAGATTCGCCGCGCCTTCTCCATGCCACGCAATCCCTTCCGTTGGTCGCGTAAATTCAAAACGGCAGCGGCCTTTACGTCGTCCTCGGGAAATGCGGAAAAGGATAACGGAAGCGGTGGCAAGGATAACGGAGGAGGAGAACGGCGTGGCAGCCACACGGCCATCTCGTCGTGCGTGGGTGGGGGGCGTGGCAGGAGCGGCAGCATTGTATCGCTTAGCAGCTACGAGGCTCCCATTACGACCACGAACAGCAACAACAACAATATGGCCAACAACAACATTACCACCGCCAGCAATGGAAACCACAACAACAGCAATAACAACAAGCGAACACGTGCCCTGCGCCGTTCGTCCTTCAGGAAGTTTCTCAACCGGATCGCCCAGCACCTGAGCTCAACGGTAAATGTCGTGGTAAGCTCTAAAAATATGAAGAAATATATACACTTTTAGTATATTTTAACAGATTTTATAGATACGTTTGTTTACGAAGAGTTACAAATGTGTATTGCTAAATCTATGACTAGGTTTCTTCGAATTTCGCGATCTGAAAATAATCAAACAAACCCTAACATTGTCCTCTCTATAGAAATGTGGTGACTCATAGTACTGAGGAATTCTTTTCCTTGTTTGTTGTAATTTTTAATCGAGCGGATCAAAGATATTCTAGGAATGTGTAAATAAGTTTATGGGACACTTTGTTTTCCAAATTTATATAAAGTAAAACATCTTTAACAATTAATGAGTTAATCAATATAATGAGTAATTTATTTATGATGCAATGAGTTTGAAAATGTTGTTAGAATTACGATAAAAATTCCGTTTCTTTACCCTTCGGGTATCAGTACTTGTTTAAATAATAATAAAGAACTCATTCCCAACTCTGATCAAGGCTTTGCAAACGGAAGAAACGAAATGACTTAATAAAGTAGATCAATAATAAATGGAGGTGTTAATTACGTTTTTCTCACCATAACAACTAGTTTCAAATAGACTTCGACAGTTATTCAAGTTCATTTAATATATCAATTAAGTGATTAGAAACACAATCTACAATCTTCTTACGAAGGCTGCTAGAGGGAGAGTTTACTTTTCAGGGCGTGCACTTCGGTTAAATAAGGCAATATTCATTGTGTGTAAATTACTAGCAAATAGGAGAATCTAACAAAAGGCAGTCTCCTTTATAAACTGTTTATTCGCCATTAATGTGTGCGCATAAACGTAGCCTATATTTGTACATATGTGTGCAGCTCTAGTATACCTTTCTTTCTTTTCTTTGTTAGCACGCTGCTTAGAGTGCAGCTTCTAGCTCCGCTCTTCTCTGCATTCCGTATCCCCCACATTCCGTGCTCCGTAGTGCCCCTTATCAGGAGTGGAGCCGTGGAGTCATGAAAGGCATCGTTTAGTGCGTTATCGGTCCCTTTGTTTTGCTCGTGTCTGCGGCTGCTCTTTGCTCTTTGTGTTCGCCGGACACATGGCATCTGCATCTGGATCTGAGTGCCTCCGATTTGGCACCGTCCTGGTTCTGGTTCTGGTTCTGGGTCTTTTGTGCCGTACATGTAGCGTCACCACCCACAGGGCGGCGAAATGGGCACGAATCGCCCTTTGCCACGTTTCTGTTTTCGTTTACCCAGCTTTTCTGTTTTGCTCCCGGTGCTGAGTCACATTTTGCGTGACCGATGATAAGGGAGAAGTATATATCAGTCCAAAAAGCGGCTTATTGGGACTTTGGCAGGCGTTCTCTTCTTGCAGGGAGTTTCGGTATGGTAATCTATATAGTAGCCCGCCTTTGTTCACACATTCCATGCTGCCGGATAAAAAGCCTTTGTTTACACAACTATAAATACATCGGATTCCGCTTTTTCGGAGTGTATCTCAAATGTTCTACGCTCTTCAGAGGCAATTTACGATTACCATACGCGAGGACGGGGCATGGAAATTAATTTTATTTTAAACAATTGCTGTCTCATTATTATCATAATTTTTGTTGTGCTTTTGAGTGGCTGGTGGAGTGGTGGAATAGTGGGTGGGGGAATGGAGGGGTCTGTAACTAGGTGTAGGTGGGCACCTTTTGTTTCGCAGACAGCAATTGTTCAAACAATTTTTGTGTAAATGTTGCCAACATTTGTTGCTCCGTTCGCGCTATAATAAACAAACAAGCAAACACACAGAGAGCCCGAAAAACAAGAGTTTTTCAGGTCGTGCGCTGCTGGAGCGAGACAGCAGTTAATGATGGCCTGGGTAAGCCGGGGATCGGGAACTCCGGGGAACTGGCAACTGGCAACTAGGGAACACAACTCCCGAGAAGGAGGCGCAAGTCGACAAATGTGTGCCACGCTTTTGTCAGAGAAGACAGCACAACAAAGTGGGGAAAGCGACAACTGAAGAGCCGAAGACAAGTGCAGGGCGCAATGACACACCCCGAAGCATCCAGTCATTCCCCTATTCTCCTCCAAAAATCAATAGCCCCAGCGACTCGTTGCTTCTGGAATTGAATTTGATCTAATAATACTTACATTGGGTGCCCAGTTTGTGCGTATCAATTTATAAACAGTAGAACCTCGAACATTCTGCCGCCTTACCTTTGGGTATTTTCAAGTTGCTAGTCCTAAGACTAGAAGTAACTGCACACGGAGTTATAAGCCAGATTGGGTTGTTAATGTTTGTTATAATTGCAAGACCCGCAACCTACTTTAGTTAGCACGATCCATCGACGGCGGCTCTACTGTGGCTCTAGGATTGTTGTTTCTCTAAAAGTTTGATTAATTGTAGAGGGCAAGACCTTACGGCTGTGGTGCAGCTGACCTTTTTAGCGCTTGGAATTCCAGAACGATAACCGCATACAAAAACATACTTAATTTCATTCAAAACGACGAGGCGGCAATGAGTAGTGAAGTGGAGTGTTTGGGAGGAGGATGTGGAGGGGCCAAGTGCGGGTGGAGCACGTAAAGCTCAATGAAAACTGCAGTATCTATAGTTTCCCCCACTGAGAGGAGACCCAGCGGAAACGGGGAAGCTGCACTAACGGCTTTGGGAAAGCTCAACTGATTTCAAGCACAAGCTTTAACTGAACCGTTATTGGTGTACAGACATTGGCAAGGTGCAGCCGGAGATGTATAGTATTTTAATGCCTCTTACCTTTTGTCTTCTGTCTTTTGGCACCTTTCACCAATAAAAGCCACGAAAGAGGCAAAACATTCGGTTAGCCGAGCAACAAGTACTTATTACTGCTGTTGTCTGTGAGTATTTTCTTAATGACATTATGTGGCAAGTGACCATTGTTGATGTGGTTGTTGTGCGCTTACCTCATTGTAAACAATTGCTTTGATTTATGATTCATGCCTCTGGCACTTGGCATCTCGCTTCGCGTATTTCGCATTGATTTTATTCAGAAGCTCAGTTTGAATGGCTGCGGAAAAACAAAAACAACAGCGCAAAAAGCGGAAAAGCGAAATGCAAACTGCAAAATGCGAAAAGAAAAACGAAATCGCACTGCGAGAACTGCGAGAAACCTGGGAAAACGGCAGCCACAACACCAGCAATAATATGCCTTATTAAAGATTGCATGCCAAAAATTGCAAATGCCAATGGGTGCAGAGGGAGGGAAGGCCGCAGGGTGGAACGGGGAGGTGGGTGGCAAGGAGACGGCGTACAAATCAGAAGTGACACTCTGTGTGACGATCAACACCGCCAAAAACAACACGTGAGGTAGACTGCGCACATGCAAGCAAATACACAAGGAGCAATACTCTGCAAGCATTAGAAATGCTAAGTGCCTAAGGAATCAGATATAGTCGTCTATATATAGTACTACTTCCATTGAATAATCGAAAAACTATATAACTATGAATCATGAAATACTGCTTTGCCATGACGACTTTTACAGACATTATTCTCTGTGTAGCGGCAACAGTTTTGTCTATTTCCGTAAGCTTTAGCTTAGCCACCCACAAAACCGTGTCCCATGTTGTTCCTGCTGTTGTTGTTGGTGCACTTGTTGATGGCAAGATTAGTACGTAACACCGCCGCCCCCTCCAGAGCCCCCTGCCCTGCCGCGCAGCGCCAACCCTGTTTGTCCGCTTCTGTTTGCTGATTTTCTATGATATTTCAAGTGCACGAGCGGGGGATATCCCATATGGACACGCGGGGTTCAAGGGGCTCCGGGGCTCTCGCGTATTCGTACTCTTTGTATTCCGTATTTCCGCCCGGTGGCTCACACGTAACTTTTGCTGTTGTACAACTGTGCGAATTATTGTCTATAGCTGCTTGTTGTTGTGTTCCTAGTGCGATTCCTAGTGCCACAGTTGCTGTAGTTGTTGTTGCTTTCGCTGGGGTTGCTCCGCACGTTTTCCGACCCGCTCAGCCCCTGTCTCTCCCTCTCGCCCTCCTTGTCTCTCTGTGCCGTTCTGACTGAATTCGCTTTCAAGGTAAAATCAATTGAGATCAAACTAATTGAAAAAATGTTTTCAGAATTTTTAGCCTTTGCATTTATTTTTGTACTTCCATGGCCCGGCACGTTTATTTTCATAAACAATCATTTTAAAATTAACATTTCGGCCCCAAGGGGACGGGGTGGCATGATATTAGCAGATTGTATTGTGCGGGACTGGCATAGGAGTTATGTTTTCAGCGCTTAGGCCGTCTAATTGGCCGTTACTCTTTTCTGTTTGCTTAGTTCCCAGACGGCAGCTAGAAGTTATCCCCGTCATTCTAAGCTAATTACGCACCGCTTAGGTGCCCCCAGCATGATATATGGCTATAAAGTCCCATAAAGAGACCCAAAACCGTCATCGAGCATTCCACTCTGCACTGAGACCTCCTCCCGTCCGAAATATTCCATTATGTTCCGTTCTCGTACGTATGTGACAGCAGGTCCGAGTGAAAAGTGCAAAATTATCGCTGGTCGTCTGCTGTCAAGCGATTTGCCCTTGCCCGAAAAAGCCACGCGAGGGCCTCGCAAAAATAGTCGGTCCAAACCGAACGCCGCATATCAGTTAAAGTCGACAGAAGTCATAGGGGCTGTCGTAACAGACAGTGCCGATCGCAAGTGTAGGAAATGGGTGCAAGTGCTGCAGGGGAATCAAGTCAGGAAACCTGAAATATTATACGATATACACGAATGATTACCTTTCGAGTGACTGGGTTCAAGGGGTCCTTCAACTGATTCATCGAAACACTTGAGTTTTTAAAATAATTCACTTGCGGAATTAATTTAATCGCTGACCGATCATGACAGCTGAATAAGTGCCATTAAATAATGTCAGTTATGAAGTATCTAACATATACCTTAAACAACTTTTTCTATAAATAATATAGAGTGGGTAAGATCAGCTATTTTGGTTCGTAAAAGCTTCTGCTTTTGAAAAGACCCCCATGGTCTAGAAGTGCTACACTTATGCCGCGAACTGTATATGTAGATATGGGCCCCTGAGCACTCGTATCTGATAAGCGGCATGTTCGCAAGGTGGCCGGATTAGAGCCCCTTTGTAGGCGCAACCTTGACAGAGCTTCGCGTTCTCCTCCACGTAATCGCGCCCCTTCCGAAATGGGCGTGGTGCTAGCCGCGTGCGATATTCTCCCGACTTGCATAATATATACATATACAGCTAGGGTAACTTATTGGCTTACCGAGCGGGATTACTCGACTGGGGATAACGTCTGGGGGAGACAATAAAACCATAAAATCCAACGCTGTTTCAGGACCTTATCTCGCATATCCCAAATCACAGTCGGATAAATGTGTTGCCATACAAATCTCGACCGGGTGGGATCGGTGATTACGGTGACGTTATTCATTAGTGATACGCTCTCAGGTGTCACGTGATCGTTTGCGGGTCGAACTCATCGTTTGGAGCAGAGTTTAAACCCGGAATGGCCGAGTATCGAATGCGATTTTGCGATTAGACTATTGACGATTGAGGAATGGGTGGTGATAAGGAGGGGAGATATATGGGGGCAACTGGGCTCTAATAATAGTCTGCTCGAGCGTTCCATTAATAAAATGCCGTCCAACCGGTAGGAGAACTAGATAGGAGACTCGGATCTGCGATCGCTCTCGATCTTACCGAGATTCCGCTCTCTCTCTCTCTGCCTCTCTATGTATGGGGCCCAGCCCAGAAGCCAATTTCATTCATGCTCTGGCCAAGATCTCGTAGGTAATAACAGCCTCGTGGCAACCACATCAACAGCAATTATCTTCAATTATTTACAATTATTTAATAAAAACGCAAACGTAACTGCACAACAGATATATCTGCATCTGGAGCGGCTTGTTGTTGTGACTTACGTAAAGGCAAGGCAAATACCCGAGTGCAGTGCAATATTTATAAGTTATCTGTCGCGGTGCCGTGGTACCGTACCGCTCGCCCCTGCCCTGCTCCCACTGCCTTATCACAAGAGCTCTGGCCGCATAAACACACATTTGCTCCGCCGGAATGGAATTTTTGCTGCCTGAAACGAATAAAAAACGAAGCAAAAGCAGCAAGAATTCGAGACCCGGGCATAATAATTCGATACATCAAGTTAAGCGGAATACGCAAATGTAAACAAAGCCATGGGATGATGGCCTGAGGAGGACACTTGATACATAAAGAAAAACATTTGGGGCCACTTGACTGCTCGACTGACTACTGACTGGCGGCCAGGCAAAGCGGGAGAGATTTGCTTAAATTTATAAATAATAATGACGATGATGATAAAATTGCCGGCGCGAATTGAGACAAGTGGCCAGTGGCCAGTGGCTACTTTTATTCTATTCCTCCGCGTTTGTGGCTCAATTAACCAGCGAGAAATGTAAAATGGAAGCCGGGCGAACGCGGCGTATGCGCAACGTCTCGAAGTCTGCTGTTTCGTCTCCAGCTGTGTGAGAAATGACCACCGCGATTAGGTCAGCAGACACATATACTCGTACGTTATGAAGCAGGAAAGAGAAGGAATTATATGTACATATATAGACGAGATCTGGACATGCGTTCCCCGCAGAAATTCCGCTCAATTTATTTATTGAGGCCCTGTCCCAACCGCAGAATCGTGGACCCCTTCTTTGCGATGGCTTTGGCTCGGTTTACATCTCTGCCGGCCATTTTAATTGGGTTTGCCTAATGAGTTGAGCTGCTTAGATTCGGAACCCTTTCAGCTTACCGCGGCGCCTCTAATTATTAAGAAAATCCGCTTAGAGCTGGGCGAGTCCGGGCTGAGAACCCTGAGGTCCACGGTTCAGTCCTTAAGATTAAAGCGCTGGAAAAGGCGACTCTTAAAGTTGGCCCCGGCTCTTGCCCTTTGCAGGGCATCTTTTGTCTGGGAAGGCACTCAAGCAGCCACTTGGCCGCCATTCAACGTGGTCACTCCCCCGCCCGGTCCATTCCTCCGAGAACACAATACAAATGGAATTTGTTCGATGCAGTCGACGTCAGTTCAATGTCAATTTGCCAACAAAAGCAACAATTATTCAAAGCCAGCGATGGGTGGGGAATGGGTGTCACTAAGCTTAAGCGAATGAGACAACGAAATCCCGGCTAATGTCTTGGGAACTTGGGGACTTTCCTGGAGCGTGATGTGGTGGTATATCTGTGCTAACTGTCTAACCAATCTGCCTGTTTCTCCCCCTTAAATGCCGCATCTTCACCTTCAAGACGGAGGAGCACCACTCGCCTGCGAATCGCATCGCCTTCATTGAAATCGTGCCATTCTACACCGGATGCTGGCGCAGAAAAGAGGTACCAATCTAATCAGTGGGCTATAGCCTAAAGAGCAAAGCATAGCGTAATGTCATGATCACCAGCCCTGCACCAACGCCCATCCCACTCACAGAGATTTATTTCTTTTTGGCCAATTTACCATTGGCCGTCGACTTATTTGCCACTTTTAGGTTTGCGTGGGTTTTCGCTTTCAGAAAACGGGTTTTTGTGTTCGATTTGCGCTTCTTTCGGTCGTTGTTTTGCCCACTTTTTGTTGTCTCTATTGAATCCATTATCCGCTGGCTTTTGTTTGATATTTTTCTACAACACACTCGTACATCTCGGCTGGCATGGAACATCGAACGATGACGTTACCAGTGTTACTCATCTTTTGTCCGACTGTCTGCTTTCGTCACCGAGTCTTGCATTTCCTAGGGAAATCATGAAATAAACCCACTTAGCATTGACCCCGCATCAGCCGAGTGACCTCGAAGTGCACACCCCATCCCCTCATGCGGCTGCCAATTTCATAATCCACAAAATTTCATTGCTGAACGCAACCGAAGCCGTTAAAGGCACTTGGCCACATCGAAAATGCCACTGCCAACAGCCACAGCTCATTCCGTTTACTTTAGTTGCGTTTCCCAAGCTTGCTTTTGAGAGGTGTGCTCTAGTTGGACGAAAAGAGGTATTGCAGTTTGAACAATCATGAGCGAACACCTAATGAAATGCTTAAGATCATCTATCGAAACATGCGGACACGGCATTAATTTTCATTTTCGTTTGGCACTGCAACTTCCCAGTCCTTGATACTTACTTTATGGCTTATGGAAAGTTTTTCAGTTCTACAGATACGAGTATAAACACCGATCACACCTCCTCATCATGCTAAAGTAATTTCGATTTCTTTGGCGATTAACACAGAAATTTTCCAGACGATTGAGCCCAATCACACACCCTCTTGGTTTACTCAGCTCCTCAGCCGCATTAAATATGTACTCCTAATTGGTTCATTAAACAGTTCCATAGTAGTAGAGCACATTCGCGGAAGCTTTGACTCATCTGCATATCGGTAATATCTGCCAAATTGTTTTCTTTTGAAGGGTATTTACTTATTCGTTTGAGCCTGACAGGCCTTTCTTTTGCCTTGTTTTCTAAATATTTCTTCATTTATCGCAAATTGATGGCTGTGCGCAGCGCTAAACCATTTTTAATTGGCAACGAAATTGAAACCCAATCGGCTCCCAGTCCACTCCGATGCACTCCAGTGTGATCTCGAAACGAGTTTCTTGAACAACATGCAATTTGTACTCCCCAGCGTCTAACACAGTTCCCCGCTTTTCCCATTCGCAGGCTAACAAACATGGTCAGCAATCGGCCACGGGATCTTCGGGGATCGGCGGAGGAGGAGGACCAAGTGGCGGGGAACGAGTGCCCCCGATCGGAGGCTATCAATGGCCAGCGGACCAGACCCCGGGCGTAATGGGACTGAAGAACCACGGCAACACGTGCTTTATGAACGCCGTGTTGCAGTGCCTCAGCCATACGGACATTCTAGCCGAGTACTTTGTGCTGGATCAGTACAAGGTAAATATAACATCTCTCTCGCTCATAACTTCATCTAATCCTCGACCTTTCTCCCGTACAGGCTGACCTGAAGAGACGCAACAAGATCAACTCGCGTAAGTTCGGTACCAAGGGTGAGCTCACCGAGCAGCTGGCCAACGTGCTGAAGGCTTTGTGGACCTGCAAGAACGAGAGTGACCATAGCACCAGCTTCAAGGCAGTAGTGGATCGGTACGGCACGCAGTTCCGCAGCTCCACCCAGCACGACGCCCAGGAGTTCCTCTTTTGGCTGCTGGACAAAGTGCACGAAGATCTGAATACGGCCAGTAAGCGGAGATACAAGAGTCTCAAGGTAAGAGCAACTTCAATTTGGCGGCTTCCACTTTCTGAATCCACTCGACTAATAGTTTTATCCCGCGCAGAACTCATACGGCCGCTCGGACGAGGTGATCGCCGCAGAGACGCTGGCGAACCACATCAGGTGCAACAATAGCTTCGTCCAGGCCGTGTTCCAGGCCCAGTTCCGTTCCTCGCTCACCTGCCCGCGTTGCGAGAAACAGTCCAACACCTTCGACCCCTTCCACTGCATCTCCGTGCAGCTGCCTCAGCTCACTCAGCAGACAATCTTCGTCACGGTAGTCTACATGAAGCAACTTCCACGCCAGGTGCGAATGGGCCTTCGAGTGCCGGCAGGGTCGCCGATAGTGGCCCTTCGCGAACAGCTTCAAACAGACACTGGCATCGAGGGATCCCGCATGGTGTTAGTGGACTTAAATGCCGAGGGATTCTCTCGCGTCTTTTACGACACACAGCCCGTGGAGACATTAGCTAGTATTGATACGATTTACTGCATAGAGGTGCCGGAAGCAACTCCTGCTCCCAAGGCTGTTATTGCGACCGAGTTGGGGGACAAGCACGCTTCCACAGCAGCCCCTGCTCCTTCTGCTGCGGCAGCTCAATCGCAGGCTGACCTGCTGCTCCTAGTTGCCAACGTTTACCGAGCTAAGGATGGCAAGGACATAAGCCGATTCGGAGCTCCTTTCAGCATGAAGGCACCTCGCGACTGCACCTACCAGGATTTGCAGAAACGTATGCTGCGCGAGATGGCGCCGCTGCTTAAGCCAGAAGTCTTTTCGTATGCCACACCGCTTACCGAGATGTTCCGGATTCGCCTGCAAGACCCCTCTGCTGACCCGGATACCTACCTGGAGCAAGTGGAGCACCCGCTGCTTACCGAAATGATCGACCTGGCGCTTTCTGTGCTGTCCTCAGAAGCAGGGCCCCAGCACATTAAGCTCCTGCTGGAGTGGAGTTCGCCCGAGACACACTTCATCAGTAAACAGCAAGAATCAGAAGAGGTCGTTGTGGAGCACGAGAGCGTGGCGCGCCTCAGTGCCAGTAAGCCGAGCGACACCGCCTCACTAACCTTGGAGCAGTGCCTGGAGCACTACACTAAGGCGGAAACGCTGAGTGCCGAAGATGCTTGGCGCTGTCCACACTGCCAGCAATACCTTCCCGTCGTTAAGACTCTAGGCCTCTGGTCACTGCCGGACATTCTCGTGGTGCACTTTAAGCGCTTTCGGCAACATCAGTCTAAAGGGCCGCAGGCGGCCAAACTAACCACAATGGTAAAGTTTCCGCTGAACGCCTTTGACATGTCGCCGCACCTGGCACGCGGAGTCCACGAGAGCGCAAGCAGCTCGCTGGGAATGGGAACGGGAATAGGACTTGGACTTGGTCTGGGTTCAAATCCATGGAAGAAAGTTCGCTCCGGCGATTCGCGCTCATCCACGCTTAACTCACGCTGCGACCCAAAGGACACGCGCTACGATCTGTACGCAGTGTGCTATCATCAAGGAGATACTTTGGAGACTGGCCACTACACAGCCGCCTGCAAGAATCCGTACGATCGTCAGTGGTATAAGTTTGATGACCAGCGCGTGAGCAAGGTGCCCGAGGACGACATCGAGCAGGATATCATCAATAATGAGGCGTACATGCTATTCTACCAGCGGCGCAGTGTGGATGCTGGCGAGTGTTCAGGATCCAGTTCAAATTCTGGGGACCACTGGGTATCTCGAATCGCCCCAGCCCCTTCATCGTCGGCTTCCTCGACATCTGGGAAAGATAAAGAGCCAGTTAAATTGGAGGGCTCGAATGACAACACCACTGAAACTCCGACGGCAGCGGTGGCAGAGAAGGCTCAGTCCAAGCCAGTGGACATACCCCAAATATGCCAAGAAAGGGCGGAAGGTAAGCCATCTAGAATTTATAATGTTATGGAATCTTTCCTAATCTCAGTGTCTGCAATTTTTTCAGTTAACGTAGAACCAACGGATGGTGTTCAGGAAAAAACATCAGTACCACATGAGCTGAATATTGAGGAACTGGCTTATGCCGATGCAGATGTGGATACCAGTTTAAGTGAGACTAGCAAGACGGAGGCAACTCAAGAAGTCAAGGAAGAGGCGCAGAAGATGGATGTGGAAGAAGCAACGCCGATATTTACCATGGATGAAGATTGCGCCGACCTTGGGCAGAAGAAGGAGGACGAGCCTGTAAAGAACGAAGGCGATCTTTTCGAAGCCCACCAAACGAGCGAACCAACCTCCGAAGTCAAGACCAATGGTCATGTGAGCTCTCCGTCTAGCTCTTCCTCCTCAGAAAGCTCGCTTTCTTCACGCTCCTCGCCAAGATCGCTAAGTACGTCAGTGACGGCTGCTTCTACTCTGCACAGCAAGTTTAACGGCCACAAAAACGCGGCTCCGGCTCTGTTCAATGGGAATACACCGCAGCTTTCGTCCAGCTTGCAGTTATCCAGGCAGGTTCTGCAAAACCACAATTGGCATGGATCCAGAAGCAGCGTGTCAGCGGTGGAAAATCATCAACAGCAGCAGGCGGCAACGGCGGCCAGTCTAAGCTTGCGGCACTCGTTCTCCACAAGTTCCAATTACACGGAGACACTGTCTTCGTTGCTACGCAAGTCTGCCAACACGTGCAGCAAGGACACCTTGCTGTTCATTGACCAGCAGAGTCACCACCATACAGCTGGACTGATCGAAGATGACGATGATTCATACATGGGCCGGTCCCTATGGGTAGGTCACACTAACTTGAAAACCTAAAGTTGTTCGTAGCTAAATCCCTAATGTTACAGATATCCCCCGTGACGCCACACAAACTCATCACTGTTTCGCCCAAGAATTAGAGGCGACATGGTGATCCATCGGAGCATAGACACAAACAGAAATGGAAACCGAAAGTGAAAACGAAACCGAAATGAGAACATACACAAACGCACTATAGCCATAAGCCTAAAGTTTACTTTATATGATATTTCTGAACCGGAGCTACCGAGCGATAAGCGAAAAGCATTATGAAGATGTTATACAACTTTGTTTACTTTAAGATATGTACTCATATATACGATAGTTGCAATATTGCATTAAGTTTGAAAGTTGGATGAAACTTGAATAGAATCCGTAAGCCTTAGATTACTTATTCGATAGCAATTCGAAGCCAATGACGAGGATTAGTTTTCTTTATAATTTACCGAATTGACATTGATTTGTTTTTCAAACCTAACGACTACCGATATTTATTTAGCCAAACATTGAAGTACAATTTGATTTATTTATTTCCCCATTTCACCCGGTTACCTTCTTGTATAGTTCTCTATCAGTTCAGACGTAACGATGAAGTGCTTGGCATATCTAAGTTTAGCTTTTTGTACACGAAACCAAGTTTCAAACTACAATCTACGAGCGTAGTAATAAATCTAAGGACATGTATTCTCTTTAATTACTATTACTTTGATATCTATATTAATATATTTGCTTGTATCTTTTCCACACCCACATACAATTCTGGCACAACTGCATGATACTTTCGATTCGATGTCGGGCTAGGACTTGTGCGGCGTTTATAGTGCAGATCTATATACAAACATATATATTACTTTATGAATAATGTATTCTACATGTAGAAGAAAGCATTACACCAAAACATTATATTGATAACAAATGTTTAAGGACTCTACCACACTGTTTTCTGGTGAGAAATAACTTTATTACGGTGTAAAATGTTCATTGTATTCATAAATAAACGTAAAGTTGTTGAATATGAATTATGATTTCGGAAAGATGGTCGGGATATGAAATATTATACATGTCCCGTTTATACACTAATAATAATTTTCCATTTCCATTTGAAACGAATCGTGTGCAGCCTAAAAGTATGCCATTTAGTTTGAAGGCCTTCTTTAAGCTTGGCTCTCTCAGAATATACCGAAGTCAAGGTAAAGCTTTCTTTCCACTTTCTTATGCTCTTATAGGTCGACCGGGCTTCAAAGAAGCTAGGTTCAACGTCTGCAGCGACTTAGCTCAAGACTCAGTTTAGTTGCTGCACTTGACGCGTCTGGTTCTGTTTTCGAACACTGCGGAACGCACCAAGAACCAACCGTAGAAGGCTAAGTCCAAGAACCGACTACAAGAAGCGATCAAGCGGAAATGGATTATCGTTTAGTGCTGGTATGTCATCATTACGGTGTGCTAACTGCTAAGTTCTTTCGTGGCTGGGAGTCAAGTTCGTTGCCCAAGTCTTTTGTTTTGCAATACGCTAGCATTGGCGAGCGAAGCGATCGCGTTTACTGTTACCCAGTCGCTGGGAGCCGCCTGATTCTGGAGCATGCTAATGATTTAAGCTAACTGTGGAGCAGCGTTACGTTCTGTTCTATTCTACCCCTTCCTCTGGTTCGGTCTTCCAACTCCTGGCTTTTGGCTGGGTGCCGAGCAACTTTCCCGTTAGTCGTGTGGCACGCATATTTGGAACAGACCGCCAACGAGTTCTATTCTGAGCAGAATGGCCTGCCATTGGCCATGAAAGGCGGTCGGGTCTCCAATCTGCAATTGGGCTAACAATATTTACCTATGCAAATTGGACGAGCTCTGTTTGGGGAACTCTCTCGCAGGGCAAACGAGTTTCTGGCCCATTAGAAGGGAAAAAACAAAAGAACGAGCTCAGAGACTGACCCAATTTCAAATTCTCCGACGCCGCATTTAAATTCCGCTGTGAACCGTCTCACAAAGAGAGAAATTCCACAGCTTCTTGGCACTGCATCCGCCCACAAGCCAGTGCCACTTGACCTGGATAACTCCGATCTTTCATGGAACTTTTGGTTTCATTGGTGTGCTGCTGCCCAGAATTTCAGGGAAAGTTCCCTCGAACAATTAATGGTCAAGTGAGCACGGCAGAGAGATGCAAAAGTCGCGTCTTGGTTTCAGTTGCTGCTCGGTTTGTTTATCTTCACGGAAACAGAAACTTTCGCGCTTTCGCCAAACAACAAAACAATGAAAAATGTCTGACTGGCCGAACAGCCCAAAGATCTCGCTTTTTTCTCCGGACAATACCGGGCCATTCACATTCACCGACACTTTGGGGCAATTAACTTGACTCCAGTCATGGCATCCATGGCTCTATGATTCCACCTTTATTGTGACTGTTTTTTGTTTTGGCCCCTCGCAGAAAATTCTCAGCTTTCTGCTGTTGGCCCATTTGGCCCAAACCCAGCAGCAGTCGCCATCGGACTACACCGAGGATCAACCCCCGGAGGGCTACTATGCCTTCGTCGAGTCTCCGAATGCTGTGCCTCCCAAGGTCAGGCCGCCCCCATACACCTTTGTTAATGCTGAGTGCAAGGATGTGGCCGCCGGCAAAAAGTCCGCCGTGTCCGTTCACAACATTTGTGGGGATCTGAACAAGGGTCAGATTCCCAAAAATCCGCTAGGACAGAATGTGTTCGGAGAGCCCTATCCATTGTAAGTGACGGGATTTCTAGAAAGGGATTTCACGTAGATTTCTCTAATAAAACTCCCCTCCCCAGCGAACTCATTCGAAACCAAACGCTTAAGTTCCTTTCGAAGACCTTGCCTGTTCTCAAGGCCGACGACACTCTGCCCAAGGTCACACAGATTATTCGCGATGAGCCCGTGGAGCAGCTGGACAACAATAACATTGACAGACCTTATCCGACAGGAGGATCAACCCGCGTCCGCCGTAGTCTGCCGGAGGGCGTCGAGTCCAACGAGTACAGCTACTTTGATCCCGCCCTAGATGAGGAGGAGCAGCATAAGCAAAGGGAACGGAATCACCAGCAACGCAGAGCCGCTGAGGAGAGGAAGCCAAGAAAGTTTTGTGACGGTGGAGGAGTGTAAGTTGGTACCTAAAATATATGTCTTTAAAAAGGTCATCTCAAAAATATCAAAAGCACAGAAAAAATTCAAAATATTCAGAGGGCAGAGAAATGTATCTTGCCGTTTCGCCTTTCTTGCTATATTAATATTAATATAACCGAACTAATTAATTTCTGAGAAAATCAACTTCCTTTACTTTAACTTTTTATTTTTAATTTGTCCGATAGATTCTGCACCTTATACAGGGCTATACAGGGAGATACCGGGGGAGCTTCCCCTGCCACGCCTACTGCGGAGCGCCGTGAGGAGGTGGGTCCCATCCGGTACGAGGGTCCACCCACTCCGTGTCCTGCTAAGGTGGAGTACGCAACTCCCGTTTTCGCCAAGAACTACCAAGGTGCCTGGCGGTATGTGGTTCAGATTCCCTACGAGGGCTACTTCACTCAGACGGTGGAGGTGACGCGCTGCATCCAAGCACGATGTCATTATCTGGACGGTGGTTGCCTGTCCTCACCACGCTGGGTTAGCCTACTAGTTGCAGAGATCTTCTACCCCAATGCGGAGGATACGGTGCCAACCAGCTCGACCACCACGCAAGCCCCTTCGGTTCAAGACTTCCAGGCCTATCAGCAATATCTGCAAAAGCGAGCCGGCGTGGCCACCGCCTCTGACGGCACCTCCTCCGGAGCACCTGGCTCGTCGGCAGCTTCGGATGCCCACTGCGATGGACAGGACGAGCTGGGCTGCTTCCAGGTGCGCCTCTACTACGACTGGTTCCTCATCCCCGGCTCCTGCAAGTGTTGGCGTCCAGATTACTTCGCCAAGTACGTGCGCCGAAAGTCGGTGGCCGATCTGTGAGCACAGTCTGGACCAGACTTGTCAACGAGATTCTTAAAATAAACTTAAATCCTAGCAATTAGTGTAAAACAACATTAAGATGAAAGGCTCATTCTAGTAATCCGTCAGAGGGCCTCTTGCGGCCCACTGGATCACGCAGAGTTTGCAGTTCATGCCACAGATACTAGATACAGCTACCAGATACATTATTAACCTAGGCGATTAGCTCCCTCTTTCGACTGATTAAGCCAAGCGCATTGCATTTCTACTAATAAATACGTTTCTACTTAAATCTTGAGAGCAACAATATTAAATTCGGTACTCTCGGCGGGATTTCGAATTCGTTTTTGGCCTAGGCTGTGTTTGTGTTAGCTTCCTGGCGCTCTCCCACTTGCGTTTGTATGGGTCGCCTCCAAAAGATCCACCGAAAACCCGCAGAAACCAGTCGCGCAAGTTGCGCATGCGTGCGAGACTCGCGCCTCAAACCTCAGCCACTGCTCTAGTGTGCAGTCAACATAACCAGTTGGTTGGGTTTGGGCGCTTCGGTCGGGGAAGCGATCAAAGCTGCATTACTTACACAGAATAGGTGCAGAGCGGGCGCAGAAGCCTTGACGAACGGCCTCAAAAGGCTGCCAGAAGAGCCGCACGAAAGAACTGGATTGCATTTGGATTTCAGGAGCCAACGTTTCCGCATAGCTTGGGTAAGCAAATTGGATGCAAACTCTTTGTTTATAAACAATACAACAAATCTGAGTGATCTTATAATCAAAGACTGGATTTGGAGCACACATAACATTCAAACACATCGTTCAACAAAAACAACAAGCCGATTCGGAACTCTGTTCTAAAAGTAAGCTTGGTAGCTTACAGAACGCCTAAGATATTTATTACCAGATAATATTATATTATAAGAACCGCATACTTAGACTAAGTTCTACACAATAATTTTCACCTCCTTAAGAAGTTATTTCATATAAAAATGTTTTTACGAAGCTTTTCTAAAAAATATTGTTTATATACATACATTAAGATATGGGCAACAGCGTGCCAAATTCACACACCTTTTGTTTGAATCAACCCAACGCAAATTAGCTCCCATGAATATTCAGTTATGTATTGGGACCAAGCGTGGGACGATCCATAATCTTACCCGACTTTCCTTTTTGATCCGCAGATGAAGATGCTCGGCCAAAACAGCACCAGTTTGCTAAACCTCAGCATCGGTGATGGAGGAGGCAACCACGGACAGGTGCAATCTCAATCCCTGGACATGGATCCACTGCCAAAGCAGTTCGTTGTGTCCATGAAGAAGCTATTCGATATCCTGGACGATAAGCAGAGCGGTTACGTGCGGTACACTGATATTGAGAAGGGCTGGCAGGACGATGGTTCCAAAGGATTACCGCGTGGGGTGCTGGACTCACTGCGTCGAGTCACTCCCCCCAGCAGTGGTCTGCTCTCTTTCGAGCGCTTCTGTGCTGGCCTCAAGTTGTGCCTTCTCCGCAATCAACAGCAGGCAGTTGAGGACTCGAAAATGAGGTCTCATTCCCAGGTGAATCTTTCTCCGGAAATGGACTACAGTTCACCTGCACCACCGCCCAAGCCCCCACGACAGGTGTCCAAGTCACCTGCCTTGGGAAAAGCCGACATACGCCATGCCCTTCAGAATTGGCAGCTAAACCTAATGGCGGACGCCGGGAAACCGAAGGTTCCTCCGTCGAGAGAACAATTTGAGCACCGTGGCTCTGCAGATGGTGGTTCCTCATCCACCTCCGCCTCGGCTACCGACTGGAGTCTTGCTCTCCCCGCGGTGCCCAAGAAAACAAGTAGCAAGCGCAGGGAATCCCGAAGGCACACTTTGCAACACGGCATCGATTACAACATGTTGAAGCGGATGAAGCAGTTGGAGGAGCAGCGAGAACTGCTCCTTTTTGGACTCGATGGTGTAGAAAAGGCGCGTGATTGGTACATGCAGCAAGTGCTGAACGTCCAGGAGCAGATCAAGTATTTCGGCCGCTTGGGAACCAGATTTGTTAGTGAGCCACTCTCTAGCTTGTGATCAATAGTAAACTTGTTCTTGATTTCTCTTCAGGAACAGTGGTCTGAGCTCCAGCAGGAGCGGCTTAACTTCCAACGTGCCCGTGTCCTAGAGGCGAATCGAAGTCTCCAGATTCTGGCAGATACATGGGAACACGGCGGATACCCACTGCACATAAACCTGGCCCTGCCGACGCCGACTGTCCCGAAACCACGACAGATGTCCGATCTTCTGAGCCGTGTCCGGGAGAAGACGCCGGTCTTGTCAAATTTATATGATCCACATCACTCTCACTCCCATCCGCAGTTTTTGCGTGCCATGTCAAACTTCGTGCTTAGCCAACCCTCTCCGGTCAGCCAATCCTCCGCCGGACTAGGAGACGCCGATGTGGTATACTGAGAAATTAATTCCACGGCGTACTTTGTAAATAGTATATTATTAAACGACTCAACAGACTCTAAGCTAGAGGGGATTGGGATAGCGGCGCATATACTTGTTTAGCTGCTTGTAGTTGAGGTTGCTGCCCGGTTGAACAATTCCCTGGTTTACGGTCTTCTTGGCCTCGAACTTCCGATCCATGTAGCACTTGTAGCAATTTTGGAACTGGCTAATCTCCTTGTGGCAGTACTTCTCTACGAACTCGTTGTCCTTTAGGCAGGCGAAAAGCACTCCCATCTCCTGGAGGCAGGCCACATCGGATCCGGAATCCGCTTTACCGCTCACAGTGTTTTTTAGCCGCAGCGGCAGAATCTCCTGGAAGGGCACATCCTTCTCGCTCTGCGGCGATCGGCCACGGGCGGCATAAAGGGCTCCGGGTACTCGCATCTGAAACTCTTTGGATTAGTAGCTGTCTGGTTTTCAGTCACAATATATTCAATCTCGCTCACCTCGTAATTTCCAGTCTCTTGGCCGAACCGAACAGCTGTTTTATGTTACGTCACAAACATGTGCCCATATTTCGAATACTCATTAATACCAAAATATTAAAAATATCCTAAAAGAAGAATAACCAATATAAAACTTTTAACTTTCTCGCGGTGAATGGTATTTTTGAGTATTTTTTGGAAAAATATACAGTCGACAAGAAGTAAATAATCAACCTGCGGGCACGCCAGGAGAGTCCTCTAGGATCACCGAACACCACGCGCCTCATGGAAGCCGGCGAGGAGGGCGACCAGGCTGCGGCAACTGCCCCCATCTGTTCTCGTCCACGAGCAGCCTACGTAGAGCAGGATGATCCAGATTTCCGGCCCGACCTAGAGCTGAGCCCGGACCGGGAGCTGCCCCTGGGACTGTGGGAAGGAGTTCCTACCCTGAGCAGCCGCAAGCGACAACTGAGCCGCTTTCACCCCTACCATGGCTCCAATATTCAGCTGGGCGACGACGCCACCGTGGCCTATCGCAGGGCTAGCTTCGCCGATGCCTTGACCTTCTCCGAGCGACCGCTGGCCCCAGGCGACATCTTCTTGGTGGAGATCGAGAAGATAGAGCGTGGCTGGTCGGGCCATATGCGCCTGGGACTTACCGAGCTCGCGCCCAATGTGATTCGAACCAGCAGCGAGGGATTGCCCCATTTTGCGCTGCCTGACCTGGCTAACTTGGGCAACAGTTGGATCTACCCGATCTCCAAGTTCGAGATGAACCAGCGCCAGGAGGCGAACGACATCATCGAGCCGGAGACAGACGATGAGCCACACAGTACGTACTGTACATACCTGGTACGAGCGTTTTTATTTAGTAAACCCTTTTCTAGGAAACCTTTTGGGTGACGCCCCACATGTGAGGACGCCTCGCGGCTTGCTACCAAAGAGACTTCTGCGGCCGGCGACGGGAAACGGCAACGACTCAGACATTCTACTAACGGACAGGGGCTCTCGCATCGGCATCATCTACGTGCCGACGGTACACAGCGCCTCGAAGGGCGAGCTGCACTTCATTATCAATGGGGTCGATCGCGGCCCTGTATCGCGAGACATTCCGCTCAACAGAGCTCCCTTGTTTGTGGTTATCGATGTATATGGAACCACGAAGCAGATTAGGATTATTCAGCTGGAGGGCAGTAAGTGGATATATATTGCAAAAGTGACCGAACATTTCTTACCTAATCCTTTTTTCTTGCAGTTCTGTCCCTGCAAAGCGCGTGCCGCAATGTTATCCTGGAAAATTTCGCGGAGAACAAGATAACCGACCTGCCGCTGCCGGAGAGCATCAAAAGATTCCTTCTGCGCCGTGACTAGAGCCTCCGGACCATGAGCTCTATGCAATAGGGCCTAGTGTGTGTGAATGAGAGATGCGTGTGTGAGGAAGTGTGCATGAGCCAGGGTCGTGATAGTTTGTTTACTCATACATATATATATTTTATACGCCTGCAGCGCTAGTAAAGTGCTAGTTCATTGACCCCTGCTCCGGACCCTGATGGATCTGCGGGATCTGCCGATCCCTATAAGAAGGCGCTTATCATTGTACTTTCTGTAGATATATTTTGTACTTTAGTTCCAGTTACCAGTTCAATACTCGCCTAACCTGGACGATCCTATGTTGTAAAACATAACTCTCGCCAGCTTTTGGGTATTGTGGTTTGGCCAGCACCTGCCTGGGTCTCCTGGCCACCCTGCCTTTTAGCGTTTTGGTACCCAATACGTTTTCCGTTTCCACTACCACCTAAGAATATTGTTACTAAATGTAAGTTAAGTCCAAGTAATAAAGGATCTATAAAAACCGCTGTAACTGATGAAGTCGTACTGACAACTAAGCCGTTTATTCAAAACTGGATATGCATAAAGTGTGGATACAGAATAAAAGTGGAGTGATCGGCTGTCTACTTCCCGCGGTTTTCCGCTAGCTTCGCCTTGAAAATGGCCTTCAGCTCATCGGCGCCCTCACCGTTCACCTCCTGGTAGTAAGGCAGCTCTGCGAGACGCTTCAGCCAGGCCTGCACCTTCGGGAACTTAAACTCGTCGATCGGTGCGGTTTCATTGACAGAGGTTACGGTGGCCACCGCGCAGAAGTCGGCAATTGTCAAATCACTACCGCACAGGTACGGTTGCTCCTTTAGGAACCCTTCCAGGATCTCCCAGCATTTCTGGATGTATGCGATCTTGTCGATTGAGCAGTCCGTGGATCCGTGGTACAGGATTGGCTCGTAGAGGAAACGCAGACGGGCGAACAGGTGGCCGGAGTCCAGGTGGAGCCGAGCATCGACGTTGGCGCGCTGCACCAGATCTTTCGGGTAGAGCTGCTGCTGCTCCTGGCCGAATTTCTCTACCAGGTAGGCGCAGATGGCGTGCGAATCTATGATCGTGGCTTCGCCGTCGATCAGCGTAGGGATCGTGTGCTGGGGATTCAGCTTGAGGAATTCCGGCGTCAGATGCTCACCCTTCAGCAGGTTAATTGGTCTGGCATCGGGCAGAGACACTTGTTAATTGAGTTAAGTGGCACGGTGTGCGGATAGTGTGGGAACCTACCGTAGTTCAAGGTCAAGACCGATCGCCTTGGCCGTGAGCAGAACGGCGCGGGATGGGGGGCTCAGAGTGGCGTAATACAGAGCTGGCTTCGACATGGTGGGATCTCTGGATCTGTAGGATATATCAAAACTATTACCTAAATGTTACAATTTTGTCTACATCTTGGTTCTTGGTAATATTTAATGATAACCCCGAGAGTCGTAATCGACGAACCTACAATCAAACCAATTTTGGGACGTGGTCCCAGACCTTCGCCTGATATTGACTCAAAGTTTCAGGGGATATTATAAACCAAGGGAACAGCATTAGCACTGCAATGTTTCCTTAAGCAACGCCTTGCGGGGGCTGAACCATAGCATTGCTAACCGCACTCACACCACCACCAGTACACCTACACTGAATCCGTGTCGCACCCACAGCAATATCAGATAACCCCCGATCTGTAGCATGATAACTGACGACTTATCAGAACACCTAACACGGCAACCACACAACGAAGGAATTTTACTGGGGGCTATCGCCGTCCCTGCTCCGCCCGCACTTCGGCCCCCTTATGGCGACTTGGAAATTAAGTTTACAAAATAAATGTAATTAGCAGCACACACACACACATGCTAACGCGCCCCCCTCTGCTCATGTTTGTGTATTAAATCGCCGGCAAATTGTTTTTATAGTGCCAATGCAGCAATTTGTGCGCCTGTGTGTTGTTTCGTTGGTATAGGGGGCTGATTTTGCGCATCGCATTGAGATTAGTTTACACACACATTCTCTACTCGGAACTCACACTTTCTATGACTGGCAACAATAAAACAACTATATAGTCTATAGATAAATATTTGGAGCGGCCGCACAAACGTCTCCTACAAAGTCCAAAGGCGATCTGAATCAGGAACGAGAAACTATCTAGAGGCTTCACTGGCTCTGCCGGCAGCTCTGCTGAGAACGCTCTTGGTGGTGTGGGTGAGAGTGGAGCTCTCTCTCTCTCTTAGACTACTCTCTTCCATAATGATGATGTTATTTCATACGTTTATTCATAGGGTTTTGGTACAGGTTAAATCGCAACATATTTAGGCTCTACGAGTATGTGGTTACGCGAAATTATATATTATTGTATATAGCATGTAGCTTTTAATGCCAGCTGCGACTCCGTTGAAATTCTCTATTCGCTGGAATCTTTGAGCACAAGGAGTACGCAGTAAATATCATGGTAGGATTTATAGTCCCATGATGTCTTGATCGAAGCGGAAACAAAATACTAACACTAAATATCGGATCGAGTGCGAATAGAGAGAACATTAGATTTGTCATTGTGTCATCATATCTCATGGATCAATCACAATCATCTGCTTGCACCACCCGCTAAGGTCATATAATCTAGTTGTCCATCACGCTGCGCTTCAGCGCTTCCTCTAAATCAGCGTCGAAACTCTCTGGCTTGGAGTAGTCCGCCGCGAACTTGTCCTTGGCCAACTCCTTGTTTTGATCCTTTTTGGCCACCTGCCCGTTTTGCTTATCCTTGCCTGTCGTCTCGAAGGATGAATTCCCAAAGTCACTTGAGAAGTTGTGAGCCTCGAAGGCTTCGAACTTGGCAAAATTGTGGCCCGGCTTGAAGTCGTCTTCGAAGTTGTCATTAAAAGCGTCGAAAGCTTTGGCCTGTGCCTTTTGATCGTTGGGCCTGACTACACCAGTGGTCACCGATGAGGTTTCGTTGACACTGAAGTTGTCGTTAAATGCATCGAAGAAGGAATCGTTAAGTTTCGTATTGCTAGTGGTTGTTGTCGTTGTTCCAGTTCCAGATCCGCCAGTTGTTGCCAACTTAGCCGCAAAGTCGCCGAAATCAGCGAACGCGTCCAGCGCCTCCTGAGACTTCTGATTTTGGTTGGGCTTGGAGTTGGAGTGGTGCGAAGTGTTCGAGTGATGCGATGGCGCTGGACTGGAGTTCAAGTTGAAGGCGTCGAACTGCTGCAGCAGATCGTTGTTCAGGGGCGTGGTTGCCTTTGCCTTTATGTTGTTGTTGTTCACAATGTTGCTTAGGGTTTTGGCTGCGGATCCCATCTCATCTGTACAATTAGAAACTTATTTGAGTGGATATTTAGACTATCAGCACCACGCTTACCCTCCGAGCTAAAGTCCTCGGCAAAGTTCTTCTTTTGACCAGCTCCCTTTACTCTTGATGGCTCTTCCTCTTCATCATCGGCAAAGGGATCCTTAATGCTGAAGGGGTCCTCATAACGATAGTCCTTGAAGGGATCGTCCTTAAAATCCGTAGGCCCGGTAATAAGACTGGGAGTCGGAGCCTTTCGGCTGGCACTCTCTTCAAAGGCAGCAAAGACACAAGGTTCCGCCTTCGGCGCCAATCCGAATGCTATAGTGCTCTGATTCTGCAGCGGTGTATTGGAACGCGACAATTGCTGGTTATTCGAGCTGGGGGCGGTGGTGATGATGGTGCTACTAGAGGGGGCTCCTCCCGCTCCCGTTCCCGATACCAATGCCACTGGTGATGCTGATACAGATGCTAATACCGAGGGTGAGACTGCTGGTGTGGATGACGATGTTGGGCGCAGGGAGTGTACGGTGGGGGCGGTGGTGGGTGTGGGATTAGGTGTGCTAACCGCCTGGCTACGGATCTGGCCGGGATCGTCGAATAGCGAGATGCTGTCAAGCAATGACGATCCACTGGAGACCGGAATCGGGGGCGGCAGAGTGACGGGGGGCAGGGACTGGGGCGTGGCCGTGGTCGTGCTTGGAATGTTGTGGAGCTGTGTGGGTGCGTTGTGTCGTGTGGAAATAGAAGTGAAATTAAATAAAAATAAATTAAAATAAAATTAAATTAAGCGGAATCGGAAAGATAACCCAACAAAGAGGAAACCAAAATCAAACCAGGTCAATGAAAGCGGTCAAGCAGCCACGTAGGAGGGTGTGGTTCGTGTACAATAATGACCAGATCCCAGAGTACTATCCTCGGGATTTGGGTTTCTTATCAAATTAACTTCGTCGGGCTTACGTTGAATGATGTCGAACATAGATATCTTTATTAATAATGCAAAACGTTGTGTCTGTTACATTTTCGTATCGGTTTAGGTTATTCTGGGGCTTCCCTAAAATTCTCTCTATAAGTATTTATGTAATTTATGCACGGAATATGTATTCTCGGTAAATCAATGCACGGAAGCTAGTTAGTTTCGGTGTGGGTGTTCGTATGTGTGTGGCTATAATTATAATCGAGGTCTGTGAAATATATATATATATATATATAGATCTATATATAAGTACTTTGATAAAGTGAGTCGGTATAAACTCCTTTCTCAAGCGCGAACTTCTGGCTTGACTGTGACGCACACTTCACTAGGGTATACGGCTCTATAAGCTGAGTGACAATGGGTTATGGGTTTTCGGTAGTAGTAGTAGTAGTGGGTAGTCCGATCCCGGAGTCCGATTGCCCTCACTTGCCCCGTTAAAAATCGATCTTTCGCGGCAGTTACATCAATATCTCTATGCTCGTGAGGTTCGTGTATAAAATGCTGGTAATATTGTATGGCTGTATAATTGCTTTAAACTTTAGTATTCGCATATGCAGAAACAACAAACAACTTGCATTAAATTCCTTAGATAGAGTTATCTTCGCAAAAAAACTAACCGGGGTAATACACTGTCCATCAAACGATTCGAGGGGAACCCATAATAATAGTAATAATAGTAGACTAATACAATACTGCACAACATCGGGAACCGAAGGATTATCCTTCCATCTGCTGCCTGCTTTGGTTTTCTGACTACATTTATAACACGATACGTAACGCTTGAAATTGGTTTGAGTTTTTGTCGAGTTTCGATTGAATTGATTTAGTACATTTAGCTAATTAGGCATGAACGATAATGCTGAGTCCTCTAGATATTATACCATGCACCGTGACTGATATATGTACGTTAATATGCTGCTGCAAATAGCTTTGTACGCTCAAATTGATTTGTTTCGTTATGCTGCTAGAGGAGGCCATTCATTAACTGAGTATGTGTGTTAGTACTGGTATATATCGTATATAGAATGGGTTATCTTAAGATGTTCACTGAAAATAGAGAATTGCAGAGATGAGAGACCAGACGGTTAGTTTCATACGGGCAGCACCAAGGCAAAAGCTACGGGGTGAGTTGGGTTGGGTGGTGAGTGGTGATCAAGGGTGGGGTTTCTTCCGGCAGTAACTACTTCTAATGGCAAACCGAAAAAGGATACAAGTCAAATACAAGTACAAAATCATAATACTCAATTTCTATGTTCTTGGAATGTGCATCAAAGTTATTTATTTCTACAAAACTTAGGAAATGTTAATGATAGTAAACGTAAAAAGAAGGATTAGTATCGGCTAGCTACATACAACAGACTGTGGGTACGGGTGCGGGGCGCATGCATTACCACCGATCCCAGCGGACACTGAATTGTGGGGTACCAACCTTATTGTCGAAGTCGTCAAAATCAGCGAATCCTCCTCCGCCACCGCCGCCACTTCCAAAACCACTCGCGGGCTGGGGAAGACATTAATTCAGAACTCTTTTATGTGGACAGGGAATCCAAATTTCCTTACCTGGGCAGCTCGTGGTGGGGCTGGTCGTGGGGGCGGCACCTTAGACTTCTTTGGCGGCAGTGCTGGACTAGGAGACTCTGGCCTTGGCGGCGGACCTGACTTCTGGGCGTTGGGACTGAGCACCTGACCTTGCCCGGTAGGCGCATGCAAGGCAGCAAACGGATCGCTGCCAAAGTCGTCTTTTCCGGGCTGTACGATATTATACAATTTATAAATTTTATATTATTATAAAATGAGTTTCGAATTGTTGTGTTATTAAGACCCACCTCAGGAGTGACTGCGCTGCTTTTATTGGCCGCGAAGGCATCCGATCCGAAAGGATCACGCTGAGTCTGACCAAATGATGAGCCTGCTCCGCTTTGACCAAAGGCATCGAAGCCACTATCAAAGCCCGAGGTCATGTTGAAGCTGTCATCGAAGCCTGTGGCAATCGCTGGCTTGCTGGGCTGCTGACCAGAGAAAGGATCGCTTGCAAAACCGTTGGTTGCTTGATTGGCAACCCCGCTGTTGTTCTCTTCGAAGGGATCTTCCTTGGGCATTTGCACTTCTTTGGTCAGCGTCTTGCGAGCCTCGTCGAAGTCTGGCTCGATCTTTAGCTGGTATTCAGAGACGAGGTCAGCGTTTTGGTTCTCCATCGCAGCCCGGCAAATGAGCAGCGCATCGGTCATTTGGCGTTGCGTCTCCAACAGTTGGGTGACCATCGATCGTACCTAAGATGAGTAACATTAACATCAATGCATCGTGGATAATAACCAATATTACCGAGCTGATTTGTAATTGGGTAGCCTGCAGGTGATTAGTCAGCTTGGAGAGCTCGCGATTGTTGTCGTCGTACTCCTTTTGCAAAGACGTCTCCTCGTCCTTCAGCTTTTGCAGCTCCGAGCGCTTTGCGTTCAGCTCACCTTCCTGCTCGTTAATGGTCTCCTCTTGCATGTGGCACTGGTCACGGATCTTTGTCACCTGTAAACGAGAGATTTTCGAGATCAGTAAGGAAGCAATTTGACCGAAGGATTTCGCACAACACTTAGGCCAAAACATAAATCACATGAACGAGTACGAAACACAAAACAATTATATACAGAAATCATGAGAAACTGAAACAAACCTGTTCGTTGGTGCGCGATATGTCAAGACTTACGTTGGCCAGCACGGCCGTATTGTGGTTTACCTTATGTGATCATAATTGTAAGTGTAAGTGCATTCACCATTTTAGTATAGGGTTAAGCCAATTGTTAACAGTGTCGAGGGAACATGATAAAGAAAGGAAACCAAAGTTGGAATTTAAATTTAAAATAAAACGTAAGCCCAGGAACAAGAAAAAGGTAAGCAATGGCGCAAGGCCAATAGCACCCCGAGAATCATGCAAATAACTACTTGAGCCTGAAGATCGTCCAGTCGCTTTTGCGCCTCTCCTCGCTGGTTCTCCAATTGTTTCAGCGTAGCGGTTAGAGTGTCCAATTCACTCTGTCAAAGCACAACATTTTTTATTTAAGTTTGCACTTGGCTAACGCATTCCAGTAAACTCACCTGCAGACTGCGCACTTCACCGTTCTTAACGCGAACATCCGCCTCTTTCTGAGCAATCTCCGTCTCCAAAACACGGCGCTCGCGGGCCAATTCCTCAATCTCCTTGGATATCATCTCTAGCTCTGGGTTCGAATAAGTGGGCTTCACCTCCTGCGGCTGCAGGTCCACTCCGGAAACTGTGGCGCGCATTGAAGGCGGAACCATATTGGCGTTAAGCACATGGGGCGGATCCACCCCGCGCTGCTTTCGCTCCACGAACCACATGGCCAGGGCGAATTGCTCAACAGTCAGCTTTCCGGATTGGTTAGTGTCGCAGAGAGCCCTACAATGGTTAAATGAGTTAAAAAGAAGTCCATAATGAAATGAGGATATCCCTACCAAATGTCTGCCAGGCTGCGCTGCGGTATACCCGACTTGATAAAGATATCTTTCACTTCAAGCCCAGATACCAGACCGTCCTTGTCTAGATCCGACTGACGAAAGATCTCTTCGAAGCGCTTCAGCTCTGCCGGGGTGACCACCCAATCGGCGTTCGCCGTCACAGAGGGCGGAGCACCGATTGGTATCAGAGGGTCCGTCTGGATCAGTGGCTGGGAGCTGACTGCACCAACCGGAGGAATGCGCGTCATTGGTGGCACGGCCACTGGGAGCGGCGGAATAGCCGCCGGCGGACCTATGTCCTTAGGGAAGTTGGCCACAAATCCGCCGTCTCCGAATCCTTCGCCGCTGGGAGCACGCGGCATGGCAGCTGCAGCTGGTGGCGGAGGCATAGCGGGCTTGGGTGGCGGTCCTGCGCCTCCGGGCTTCCGCAGCTCGGGCGGTAACACGCTGGGAATGGTGCGCTTCTGCAGCGTCTGGTAGACCAAGTGCATGGCTACCACAAACTCATGTTTGTCCAGATTGCCGTCCTTGTCCTGGTCGGCGAGGTCCCAAATGGTACCCAGTATGTTCATGGGCAGCTTGGAGTCCATTAGAACGCCCTTGACCTTGTTTCCCGGCAGCATGCCGTTGTACGGACTCAGCGACTCGAACAGCTGTTCGTACTTTAGGCGGTCGATCACTCCGATAGACCAATCTCCATTGGCTACTCCACCGCTGGACACCGGCACAGTCTGAATGCGCGACGGCATTGTTTTTGGTAGTTCACCCTGGAGAGGTTAGAGTGGCAATGAAATGGCATATCTCGTCTTGCCCACTTTGGGAAGGATTACGATTACTCACCACCTTCGGCGGGTTGGCAGTGTCCAGATAGATGTTGTTCATGTTAGCCACCTGGCCAGCCTGCGACAGAGACACCAATTTGAGGGCTACAAAAAATCCCGGCTTGTCCAGAAAGCCCTTACCGTGCGGATCGGACTGATCCCAGATCCTGCTTAGCACTACGTCGCTGAGGCCAGACTTCTTCAGGAACTTGGCCGCCGTCATGGCCTCAATTGCCCCGGTGGCTTTGGGGTCAATCTGTAAAAATCAATAGGGGGTGGGTGTGGGTGGATATCGAGCAATAGCTGCCCTAATGGATGGTGACTGGGGGCGTGGTGCTTACTTGTTTGTAGTAGGCCTCGTAGACGCCTATGTGCTTGCTGCACACCTTCGCAAAGTCCACATTCACATTCATGATACGGTGTCCACTAGTCACTTGACTTCGACTAGCAATGCGAAAACGCGTAAGCCTAAGCCTGTTATCACAAAATCGATTTTTCTCCACACGGGGCGGATGTGCTGGTCTGAGTCAGCGATCGCGGAAACCTTCTGCCTCGCACCTGTGCACCTGCGACGACGCTTGCTGAAGCCACTTACAGGTGAGCTTGGCGCATTGCGGCCCGGATTTTAGGTAAACTTGAATTTTAAAACGCTTAAATAAATTTGCTTTTTTGTGCACGGCGGATAGTGTGACCGTGCCGATAACGATTAAAAATACCAACGGTACCTTGGAAAATATCATAATGGTATTTTTCCAGTATCAAACAATGTAATTACATTTAAATAAAGTAAATGCTTTTCATTGATTTAAATTTTAGCTACGTGTGTCTTATTTCGATGAATATTTTTAAGACTTTTAAGACTTTAAGACTTAAATTGCAAAAATTATCCAACACTCCAAGTACTGATTGCCCAAGTTTTCGCGATAGTATCGTCATATTTGCTTGTTAATTTTTTTTTATAATTATATATATTTTTTATAGATTAATATTTAAACTTAAAATTCAAATTGTTTTTATTGGGTAAATTTCATTTTGAGCTTGGACTTCGACGTGAACTTAGAGCAAACGTATGCGGCAGTTTGGAGCTCCACATTGGCAATACAGCACCTTGCCGGGCACTACACCCACTTCATAGTTGTAGTTCCAGGTCAGCTCTGTGCCGGATCGAATGTGGGAAGCAGAAAAGAAGGCCACCCAAGGGAACCGCAGATCATGGGTGTCCACAAAAACGTTCTGCACAAAAAGATTCGGGTTGCAAGAGTGCTACGATAAAAGAAAAAGACCAGTAGTCAGTTAAAATGAATGAAAATGCGATCCTTAATCTAACTCACGTTGAAGTAGCGTCCGAGGTTGCCCGTTGTCTTGGCATCCATTATGTACGGCGCTTCGTCCTTGCCGAAAAGCCTTCGCACCGAGTTCTCACGCACTGTCTCATCCAAATCGGCGTTTGGATTGAAGTTTATCACGGCCCGTTCCTGCGAGTCTAACTCACTGCTCTGTGTAGAGTTGCTCCTTGAAGTGCGCTTGATCTTGCGCTGATAGTGGTAGTTCGGACGAAAGTCATCATCGTCTTCGGCATCGGGCCCACCGTTGTCTTCCTCGGGATCCGGCTCCGAGTGCTCTACCTCAGACTCATAACCCTCCTTCAGCTGTTCGGCCACCTCAATGTAGTCCAAGTCGGCAAAATACTCGTCTCCTGCGTCCTGGCCACCCTCGTTTGCCATCGTCTCCGTAAGTAGGTGGCCAGCGTAGATGCATATAAAAGCGCCCTTAGGAATGTCGTTAACGCATCGCAGGCCCCAACCCCGATTAGACGTCTTGAAAACCTGCAGCTTCATTTCTAGCGAGAACTGCACAACACGGTTGAGGCAATTTTTCTTGCACTTACAGCGCGAGTTGCATTCGTAAATTCCAGTAGGTACATGCTCGTGAAGCCGCTTATACTGATAGCCAATTTCCTCGATGGGCTTCTTTGGGTTGCAGTACCTGACGCCAGCCACTGTAAGTTGCCAGCAGGCACACTTGGACTTGTCCTATAAATATTGTCATATAACTATAAATGTTTTTATAATTTATCAACGAACTTACAGAGCAGTCGTCCTCGCAGTCGCAGCACACGAGGAATTCGTCGTCTAGATTTAGATGGACTCCTTCCGTGGGGATACGCTGCTTGGCGTAAGTGCACGGGGGCGGTAGCGTATTGTCGTAGTAGTTTACCAGCGGTATGGCCATTTTTTCCTGCCCCTTGGATATGTCCGTGTCCTTAACGATCGAGGGATCAATAGAGTACTCGGCCAAGCACTTCAAGTCGGGCGTAAAGTCGAAGTTGTCTACGTTTAGTACGTTCTCGGTTGCACGTAGATATATGTGGACTTCCGCCAAATTGCGCAAACTCTTACCACAAGGCCCTCTATATACCACACACTTCTTGGTCTTCTGCCGCATTATCAGTCGTTCCCAGCCTGAGAGCAGGGGTTTGGCTAAAGGACTATAGCTGTCCAGGCGATGCACGATCTTAAATAGGCAGTTAGGGTTGCACTCGTGGCTTTTGTACATTTTAGGAGGCAAGTTTCGCTTGGCTGTGAAGTAAACCACATGACCCTTTGGCCTGTTCTCATCGTCCACGTAAATTGTTGAGTTGTTAAGGTGACGCACTGTACTGGCGTTATTACTGACACCTCCGGGGCGTCCCCCTGCACTGGTGGCTGCCGAGGATGCGGGTGTTGTTGATGCAGCATTTTGCCCAGAGGAGCTGCTCTTGCGGGCAATAGCTCGCATCTGCTGGTTCACTTGGATACTGGACTCCATCTCCTTGGTGTACCGAATAAAGGGCTCCGTGCGCTGGATTGGAAAATAATACTGTTTTGTGAACAACTGGACAAATTGACACTATTCTCACCCTTGGGACACGCATCTGATGTAAGCTTGAACTGTTCAGGGTGTTTTGCGTTTCCTTAAAGACGGGTCCCAAACGCAAGGAACCCCTATAGATCCACTCCGTGTGGTTCTTGTCCCCCTCAAACTGCATTAGCACCAAGCTGCAGTCGATGTCGATGACACGAGCGTACAGCCAGGTACCGTTCGACTCGGTGCTCATGCTCTGGCCGCGGGTACACTGCACCATGGGTCGATCCACCGAGTATTTCTCAACGTACTTTTGAATAAAATCGCGCGAACCGGCATGAACGTCCTCCCACACTTTCTCGGAGGCTTGACAAACAAGCCGGACATCCCGATGCGGGACATACTGTGTGTAACCATCGTCGTAGAATATAAGGTAACGGTAGCGGTTGGCCTGCTTCAGCGGCTCGGCGATGATGCCTGGATAGAAGGCGCTCTGCACCACTCCCTTTTCTTTGCCCCGCGATAGTGTGGTACCATCAAAGTACGCAATAACGCGAGTTCCTAGAATGCAAAATGATTTAGCTGTGCTGAAGGTTAGTCAACTGGCCACTAACCAATAGTCAGTCGCACTGGCGGAGGCTCAAAATAGGCAATGTGTTTGGCCGTCACTGTCTTGATCATCTGGTAAGGTGCGTTAAGGTACCTAATCTTGTAGCTCTTCATAGTGTTGCCGTTGATGGCGGTGCTCTCTGTGAACTCGATCACCTTTATGGACACCCAGCTAGCAATGGCTTTGTTCTTCACAGCGTAATAGGTCTCGCCCAATTGGATTGGTGGTCGTATAATTTCGCCTGCTGGCGGTACATGTTGCTGAAGTAAATAGACGTATTAAATATAACAAAAACTGGGTCTTTCCTGACTCACCACAAAGTCGCTAACACTAGACTCGATGTCTAGGGAGGGCAAATGTTCGTGAACCACCGGACAAAAATTATACAGAGCGCTGTGCATCTTATCTGAGGTACTCTGAACCTTTTCAAGTTCTGCATCTGCCAATGCAAACTGTTGCTCCAAATGGTCTGCCTTTGCCTGAAGAATTGTCTTTGACCAGGACATTTGGTTCTCAAACTCCACTTTATTCAGCACACTCATAATGGCATCTTCGAGCTCATTCTCAACCAACAGCAACTCCTTTTTGGAGAAGTCCGACATTTCTATGGGTGGTAGATAATTATTATCATTGGTTTTTGGGTGTTTGTTTTAGAGCACTAACCTGTCTGCTTTTGCTCCTCCTCCTCCTCATCGCTGCTGTCTAGAGCCACAAAGTCGGCGTGATCCTGATGAAATTCCCTTAGCAGCAGTGGCTGCTTGGCTACAAGGTAACCTGCATATTCCTAATATCAAAGGGCAGCTATCTTAGAGATATATTTATTTATTAAATATAAGTAGGCTACTAGACCTCATACAGTTCCATAGCGGTGTCGTGGCATCCCATACATAGGAACTGCTGTTTGGAAGATTTTCGAAGCACCTTGTAGAAGTTCAATGTGGCCATGTTGGTTAGGACGTACTGCTTGTGAAGTCTCTTGCAATTGCAGTTAACGCAGTCCTTGCCATAAAAGATGTCTCCATCCGTTGGCAGTCCATTCAGTTGCTCGTCCTCTGGGCCATTTGGAACAGTGGATTTTTCTAGTTCAACCTTAAGTAGGTTCGTTTTTTTTTCATGTTCGATTTCAATGCTAGCTTTGCTTTCCTTAGAGTTATCTGTTGTGGTTGTATTGAAAGCGTTTTGGTCTACATCCATTATAGGAGCTTCTGTTTTCTCTCTGGTAAAATGTGGTATTTGCGCTTCCTTCGGATTCTCTTGTTTCTTTCTTTCACTACCTCTTTCAGGAGAACTTTCGGATGCGGGACTGCTGATCAGTTCGATACTACTGTCTGCAAGTTCCTCAGCCTCTTTAACGTTTTGATCACCAGTTCCATTAGCACTATCAGGTTTCGGCAGATCTTTTGCAGTTTCGTTGGGGGAAGGCGATTTTACAGGACTCTCGATTAGCTCCACACTGCTATCCGAATCAACTTCTAGGGGGGACTTAACGGCAGGTTCGTTTACATCCGTTATTGGACTGCAGGGATCGTCCCTACGATTTTCCGCTTCTTTTTCACCCTCATTCGTCTTCGAACTGGTTGACTCGAGGGTCAGGTCTTTCATATCTATATCTTTCCCATATCCTTCTTCTCCCACCGGCGCAATGTGAGCGAGACTATTTTTTTCTGCTCCTGTCAGCGACCCGGCAACTTTTTCAGCCTCTACGGTTGCTTTCTGCACATCCTTAACAATTCTTTCACTGCTCTCGACACAGTCCATCGCTGATGATTCCCCGGACATGCTTTTTTTATTAACTCAACTATTCGAACATTAAATAAAACAATTTTAACAAATTGCAAGGAAATATCGAATTCGATTTTACAAGAAATTGTACAACACTCAAGTTTAGCGTCTCATTAGAGTGCCCATTCACACGTTCGTGAGAAAAAAAAAACGAAAATTCAAATGTACGTTGCTGGAATTTATTTATTTTTTCGGGCAAAGAAATACGTCTTTTAGATTAAGCCTCGACTACCTTAGGGTGGTAGCCGGTCTCATCAGCAGTATAAACGACCTTGACGGTCTTGCCATTGGGGGCCACGTACTCGTACTCCCCAGAAACCACCCAGTTGTCGTGCTCCTTCAGAGCTCCAGATTGGACGGCGCGAATATGGTTGGACAGCTCATATTCGTACTTAAAGTCCTCAACGTTTACCTCGGAGTCGCTCTTCAGGACATCAGCCTCCTCATTGGCGAAAGCCAAGGCCAACAGACAAGCAAGAACAATCTGAAGAGTAGGTTACAGCTAAAAGTTGTACACGATATTATTTAGTTTCTGCTACTTACCATGAACTTCATTGTTAAAAATGGATATGTGTGTGCTGATAGATTGTGAAATAAATCTGATTACCTGTAGCCGAAAACTGCGCTTTTATAGCTCTCTCTTGACATTTTACCCGCCGAAATGACCAATCGCATAAATTTTCTTCATAACTGGCTCTAAGCGGACGTTTGTCTTAATTAAACAAAAGACATTGATGCAGTCATTCTGCAGGTATTAATTATCACTCTACTCGCAGTATCATATTCGTTGGACTTATCTATGGTGATCTGCGCGGAATATTCCCGTTTTGCAAGCCGTTCATCAATCGTAAGAGCGGCGCACGATAAATGCTTGCCTGATAAGCCCGAACCGGTCACCCGCATAACTATTTATGCGTTGTTATCGGTGATTACCATAATTTTGAGATAACTCCACTAAATGTCTGATTGGGCTCCCTCAGATGCAACCGGTTTTTTCAAGCACCGAATTAATTGCAACATGACCCTGGAATTCGAATTTTAGCGGGAAATTAACCAGTGCTGCAAAGTATCTCGAACGGTTGATTGCCATTCAGAGGTAAGCCCACGTGCTGTAGTCCTCGCATTAGTGTGACTTACGAGAAATTCCTTCCCAGACTCATCACAATGGCCAGCGATTCTGGCAGCGATTACGAGGTGGAATCCTTTATTAAGGCCAAACGGGTGCGACGAACTGTCAACGACGATAGCGCAGATCTACTGGGCAACTTCGACGACCAAAAGCGCAAGGAGATCTTTGAGGGCACTTATGTTGATAAGGACGGCCGGAATCCAAGTGACCCGGAAGATAGTGATGCCGAGGATTTATCCGATGGGGAGGCAGCTGGAAATAGCAGCTCTGCCTCCGGATCCGACGAAGATGAGGAGGAAAATGGGGAAATAACCAGCGACCAGCTGAGCTCTCTGCTGCGCGGGGCATCCAAGACCAACAGACACGTTCTGTATGTGACGAACCTGAATTTTGAGACTACTAAGGACGACCTGGAGCTGCACTTCTCCGCGGCGGGCACAGTAAAGTCTATCCGAATCCCCAAAAAGCGGCGTGGGGGCTTCGCCTTCGTGGAAATGGCCGACCTGCCCAGTTTTCAAAAGGCCTTCCAACTGCATAACACAGAATTGCAAGGCCGTCACATCAAGGTGCAGATCTCCGAGGCTGGCAAGAAGAAGTCTGCCAACAAAAAGAACATCATCAAACAGAAAAACCGGAAGTTGGCTGAGATGCGCCACGAGCAGAAGACCTTTACCAAAAGTGGCAAATTCTACGACAAGGACCTGAAGAAAGAGAAGGCCAAGGAGATGTTGGCGCGAAAAAGGTGGCGCAAGAAGCCCGCAGCCAGACCCACATAAATAACTTAAGATCCTAAAATTTAAGCAAGCCTATAATTATTTAACACAAATTAAAAGTAACAATTAGCGGATAACAAGGTTTCTGTCGGCTACTGCCAGCGCACGATGTAAAAGTTCCTTTTGCCCACACGCAGTAGAGAGACTCCGTTGCGTAGAATGTGTATGCCCGTGGTGAGCACCTCTGCGATGTTCTGCACCCGCTTCTGGTTAACGTAGAATCCGCCTGCCGTTATAATACGCACAGCATCACCTGAAAAGTGTTTATATTATATTATAACTTTAATATTGCCAAGTCTAGAAGGTAACTTACTCTCGGTGGGAAAGCATTTCGCTTTCATAGCCAACTGCAGGATGGACATGCCTGGCTCAGTCAAAAGGTCCACCATGGTGGCACCCTGGAAAGTCTGCTGGATCTCGGAAAGATTTAGCTCCGCCAAGCCTTCCACATTCCCCTTGTATAAGGCATTGGTCACACGTTCCGCCTGCTTCAGTCCACTTTCTGTCAATTGAAAACATATTAGATACAGGTGCAATTCATGGTTTAGTCAGGATTCACCTCCATGAACCAGCAGCGTCACGTCTTCGGCCAACAAAGTTTGCGCTTTCCGCTTCTCCGGTTCCTTCGCGTGCTCCCACATCAGCTGCTCCACCTGTTGTAGCGGAATGAATGTAAACAGTTTCAAAAGTTTTTCCACCTCAGAGTCTGGCATGCGCAGGAAGAACTGGTAGAGGGCGAAGGGCGAGGTCTTATCCCCGTCTAGCCAAACTGCGTTGCCCGCCGACTTGCCGAACTTGTCGCCCTCCTCTGTTGTCACCAGTGGCAGGGTAAGTCCGAATACCTCGCTCTTCCGTTCCACGCGGCTTATAAGCTCATGGCCTGTCATTAGATTGCCCGTCTGATCGGAGCCTCCCATTTGAAAACAGCAATTGTGGCGGCGCAACAAGTGCAGCCAGTCGTAGGCCTGAAAGATCTGATAGGTAAATTCGGTGAAGCTCATTCCATCCTCCGATCCCAGACGGGACTGCACTGAGGATCTGGACAGCATTGAACCCATCCGAAAGTGACGGCCCATGTTAGCTACAAAGTCGATGAGCTGCAGGTCGGTGTACCAATCGGCATTGTTAACAATTCTGTACGGAATTCATACTAGAATAAAACAGTCTGGCATTGATTTAATACTTACGTTAATGGAGCGAGTGGAGATTTTTCTTTGTTCGTGTCCCAAAGACAGTTCTCGTGGTTCTCGAACACCCGCCTCAGTTGCTGCTCTATGGCCTTAAGATTGGTCTCGATAACCGACTCTCCCAGCTGGTTGCGCTCCGTATTGCGTCCACTGGGATCCCCAATGAGACCAGTAGCTCCTCCTACAAGAGCAATGGGTCTGTGTCCGGCTCTCTGGCAGTGGATTAGGCCCATGATTACTAGCAAATTGCCTACGTGCAGGCTGTCGGCGGTGGGGTCGAATCCCGCGTAGATACTCTGCTGGCCGCTGGTAAAAAGCTGCTTCATCTTGGGACTACTCGGTAGTAGTTTTCATAGATAAAATAAGGATCGGTTCAAATTAAAGGTGGACCAGAACTTACGCTGCCGTGTCGGGAAAAATGCCCTGGAAAAATCCTCTATCCGTGAGTTCCAGAAGATTCTTCTGCGCCAGTTGGCGACGGCTATGTCGGAATGCATCCTGAAGCGGTTTCAGCAAGCACCAACGAAGAGGCAACATTATGCAAAACTCCAAAAAAATTCAAATCCTTACTGAGAAGCGTTTTGAGGTTGGGGCCAACAGCTGATTGAGCAACGGCGAATGCCGAATCTACATATGTTTGATTTACAAACAGCTGACCACCGCTGCGAATGGCAAGTCAAAAGTATAAACAAAGGAGGTACTCTTTGGAGCCAACTTAGTTTAGTATGACGAGGGCGTAATCCTAATCAAATCCCGAGATAATGCTGCTGAAGATACGCCACGCCCTGTTGGAGGTCACCAGTCCGCCGGCCACGAAGCAGTCGGCGATCATAATCAACAATGAAGTTATCATCAGTTCAGGGAGCATTCTGCAACCACATTTGGTTTCGGATGGGGACAAAGGAGCAGAGAACAAAGAAATCATCGGCAGGCTGCAGCGGGGACAATTGCTGAATGTTCAGAATGAAGTGGAAGGTCAGCGCATTCGCTCCCTTAACTTCTTAGTCACCTTTGATCCACAGCAACGACGTCCAAGGCAGAACGCTGCTTCCGGTTCGAGACAATCCCACATCCTCTCCCGCTTCATGGCCCATCCGCTGTATGTGTTCTGCGCTGCCGAGGTATCCCGAAATCTACACCACATTCTTCTTTCCGCTGACTCCGGTGATGGAAGCGAGGTGCTCCGTTCGAGTTTCGTGGTGCTAGGGCTGCAAACGCCCGTAAAAGAAGAGTCCTTCAAGAGATTCCTGGCGTACATTGGGAACTACCTGCGACATCTGCAGCCCATGCAAACCTTGGATGACGTACTAGTGATGTGTTCACCGTTTGGCCTGGAGAACTTCTACAAGACTATTAGCCTAGGGAAGGTGTCTAATGTGATGGGACGCAGTGGCTGCCTGTTCGCCATCTCCAACGCTTTGCCATTGGGCTGTGAGGGTTCCGCCGTGTTCAATAATAAATTGTAGGTCAATATAATTTATGTAACTATCTATAGATCTATAAAATGGTTATGATTTCAGGCGACTCATTGGCATTGTGATATGTACCTCATTCCAGCGTCAACAGGAGAATGTGAATCTAACGCTGGCCGCAAACTTTGGCTACCTCCTTCGCAACTTCATGGAGCAGCTGGGCATGCCCACTACTAAATTCCAGCTGGCTCGAGAGCCCTCTAACTTTGCTTGTAAAATAAGAATCATTACAAGTAATGATATTAATAGTAATCATATCTTCACTTTCCAGGGGAGCGCACAATTGTAGTTATTGAGTCGGCCGGTCAACAAGGTACCGGTACTTTTATACGAGTCCATAACAAGCATTTCATTCTCACTTGTGCCCATGTGGTGGGGCAGGTAAATATTGATATTGCTGCGCCCTCAACCAATGTTGTTTAAATGCTGATCTTCCTAGAGCAATGGTACGGTTAATTGCCGAGCTGCCGATCGCGAGTTTCGTTCAGAGGTGATTTGGTGCAATCCGGACTGCGATCGACCCTTCGACTTAGCGCTGCTCACAGCCCCGCAGGATGTACCTGAGCGGTATTGCGTGCGATTGGCTAAGAGTCCAGCTACTCTTGGCCAAATGGTGTACAACGCAGGATTCCCCTTCTTCGTAAACTTCAGCTTTAAGCATGACTTTAATCCTTCGATTTTCCAAGGGAGGATTATTAAGTGTGACACTGGAGCCATTATGTCTGATGGCAGTGTGCAGGCGGGTCAAAGTGGGGGCCCAATGTTTGATCAAAGCGGATGCATACTAGGCGTGTGTGTGTCTAACATTAAATTGGACGACGTCGTCTACCCAAATATCAACACAGCCATTCCCATTTGTGATATCCGGAATACGTTGCAGCAGTTTGCACGCACAAACGGTGAACAGATAACATCACAAATTACTTAAGCTAATACCACTTCTTTGCAGATGTAAAGGTGCTAAGCAACTTGGTGGCCAGCCCCAATGTACATCGCGTTTGGTCTCTGGAAATGCCCCCCATTAGAAGCAAACTCTGAGGGGATTCGTATACCTTTTCATTTGTAACGTAATTATAATTTGTGTTTAGTTTTTTTTATAATGTGCAATTAGCCAGCTGGCCAATCTTTAACCTTAAAGAATAGAATGATGTCTACAAAAATATATTAATGGTTAACAATTTTTAGTTCTTGTCCAAACAATCGTTAACGTGGCTCTGAAGCACACTTAGAGCGTTGAACGATTTTGAACAGATGGGACACCGCAGGACAGCGTCCGAAGTACGGGAGGCTGCACCATTTGGGTCGAGAACCTACCAAAAGAAAAATTAGTAAATAAATCTAAAGATTATTTAAACAACAAGCAGCATACTCTTACTGGTCTCTGCTCCTCTCGCAGACTGGTCCTGCTCGAACTTAACGAAGGGGCGGGTGAAGGTGCCTTGCTAGCCTTATGAGACTCGGCAAGGGCCTCGATTAGTTCCTGGTTCCTTCTCTGCAGCGCCCGCAAGTCCATTAGATACTGGTCTTTCTCGCCGGCATTCTTTTCGCGATCTGCCCGCTCCATTTCGAAATCCTTTCGGTAGATGTCGTTCTGCGTTTGTAGGTGCTCGATCATTTCCTGTTTCTCTATGTCCTTAGCCTTCAGTTCGTTGATGTCTCGCTGCATTTTGCCCATTAGCTCCTGCGCACTCGTTAAGTTCACCTTCAAACAGTCGATCTCCTCGATATAGGTTTTTTTCTGCAAGTGGAGGAGTTACAAAGTATGTAAACTAACGAGTAGCTAAGTAAAAGTACAAACCATGTCGTTGACCTCAAGACATTCCGCCACCAATTTAGAGAGCTGTCCCTGCAATTCACGCACCTGCCGATCGTGCTCTTCCCGTTGCACATAATTCAGAGCTTTGTCCGGATCCGCTTCAGTTTTGCCCCCATCCTCAGGAACAAACTCGAATGAGTGCTGCAATATAGGGAAATCAAAAGAGGGGAGCAGCAGAGGTGGTTATTTTATTTATTCAATGCAAATACTGCGCAGTTAAAATAGTAGATAATGGATAGTGCGGTCTGACCAATTGCTTCAGTTGCCACAAGGGCACTGGACGTCATACGTACCATCTTTATCTGTTGCAGCTTGTCAATCTCCACCCGCATGTTGTCGATAAGAGACTTTTTCTCGGAAATACTCTGCCGAAGCTCACTCTGCTCCTTTTGACTGAACTCTTGGACCACCTCTATTTGCACCATCTTGGTCTCCAGGTCTTCTTTCAGCTTCTGGTTCTCCTCGCGCAGTTTCTCGACCAGCACCTGACATTCCCTTAGTTGCTCCCTGTACTGCTGCTCCTTGTCGGCGGCCTCCTGTCGCCATTGTTGGGTTAGCTTGTGGTAGTCACGCATAGTGATGTTTACCTTGTCAAGTGTTTCTGCAGACATACTTGAATTATTACTAGTTCAGCATATACAAGTCAGCTTCAACTTACTCTTTAGAGAAACGTACTCGGTCATCATGTGTTGCAGCTTGACCACATCTTCCGCGGAAGCCTGCAAGGAGCAAAGGCTGGGAAACTGGGAGTAAACACTATTCTGCGGTGGATTCGACATAATGGGGTTAGGCGACAGAAAGATGAATCTAAATTCAAACCTTTAGGACATCGGACTGTACTTCTCCCATGATGAAACTGGCCGCCAGTGACTGATGCTGGGATGCTCCGGACTCCAGTGATAAGGGTTGCTCCTGCGAGGCAGTCATGGCTGATGGAGCACTGCTCAATGGTGGCTGCTGTGCACTCGTCGATGCTATTGATTCTTTAGCCTCCGCGACGTCGCCCAAGCCATCGAACACCAGAGATTTGCCCTCTGGCATGAGAGAAGGGTACGGGGAGCTGCCCAAGATGACGAACGATTCTTCATCCGACATCGCGCAGTTGTCGCAATAGCACTGACTGGTTTTAGTAATCAGCAATTTTGCGACCTGTCTCACAATTTAACGGGAAATCCCCTTTTTCTAGAGCCAGACTGCGTGGTGCTTGGCAAATCGATAAATTCCGCAGCGACAAAATAATGGACGACAGATGTTTTTGTGATCAAGGGTCTACATACATCTGAAAGCAAGCACACAGGTTAATTGAAAGGATATATAATATATGTATGCATCCGTATGAGCAATAAGGCAATGAATCACACGCAAGTCGGAATTAACCGCGTCACGTTGTTCATGCACCTATCACTCATTATTGCACATAGTAAATATGTATATGTTTGCGTTCCGTTGAACCTTATCTCTTTTAGCTTTAAAAAGATCCCAGAAAATAAGTTTTTCCATAGAATAATATTTACCTTCTTTAAGTAAAAAGTGTACAACAGCTGATGCCAGTGTGACCGCTTGCTGGTCAAATAGAGGATTGGTTAGCAATTCATCGTAATTGTTATCGAATTACAGCACGTTGGTCTATCGAAATTCAAAATCATCTATTCTTATTTATTCAGATTTCTCATTAAATTTCGTTTTAACAAAGGTATATGAATTGCAAGAGACTGGCGGAAAATCCCCACATCATTTATGCAACTCCTGTGACGTACATCCTAATTAATCTCCCTTTGTTGAGAGGCCGGACAAACCAGTTGCCCAACGAAATTACATCGAATTGTAATTGCCAAAATTCGCAAATTCTAATGGCCGGGGCATTCGTTCTGATCTTGTCAAACCGGATTTAACATTTCCATTGTTCGGCCTTAACTCGGTGTATGTGGGTTAATAAGGCTTTCGCGTGTTAATTATGGGTGTGAGTGAAACTTTCGACAAGGAACTGGTGGCTGGTGGAGATGAGACTTTCGTTATTACCATAACCAACCGGTTCCTGGCTTTGTGCAGAGATTCCCGCCCCCATCCCCATTGCCACCTCCATTATTCCCATTCCAACCCGCACATCTCAGAATTAATACGTTCGTAACAATAATAATCATCATGCGGTTTATTACTCAAGAATCTCTATTTGATCTTACGGCTAATGCACGCGAATAAATAAAATTAAAGAAAACTTAAACGATAACGATACGAAATTCCATTAAAGCTCAAAGTGCATTCAAGAAAACTCCTTAAACTAGAAGGTTCATTCATCCATTCTCTCGCACTTAGAGATGCAGGATCGTCTCCTGATCTATCACATTCACTCTCCACACAAGGACTTAGGTCTAGGAATCCTCTGGCCAGGATCTTACGCCTGCTGCTGGCGGAACAGGCGCCTCTGCACCTGATGAGGCGGCTGAAGGTCGCGCTGCAGGATGGAGGCGAAGTGCTGCTGCTTGAGAGCGCTGATTGTGGCGATCTTGCGGTGTCTGTTGGGCTGGGCGGCAGCCAGGCCGAGACGGAATAAGGGCAGGTCCTCGTCACGCGGCAGGGGCATCCTCTTGTCCTCCTCCACAGGTGAGCCATCGGGACGCACTCGGATAACTAAGGGTCCGGTGAGATAGGTTTTGGGCGGCTCTCCCGTAAGGGCGGCGGCAACTGGAAGCTCACTGCTAGACTGCTGAACGTAGCCGTAGGCCATATCCATGTCCATGGCGTACTTGTGCTTCTGCTCGCCGCTTTCGAAGATCGGATTGGGGCCGGAACTGGAGCTCTGGATGGGATGGGAGGCCTCGTGTGGAAGTTGCTGGCGGGTCAGGATGATCAGCGAGGAGGCAGGTGGAGTGGGTAAGGGTTGCTGGAGCGGCTGGCGTGTGGTCACCAGGCTAGCTCCGCTCGGATGGTCCCGCATGATCGACGACCATACTGCGGAAGAGAAGAGCAGAGGCGGGCGGTTAGATCGAGACCAAGATCGAGATCTCACGTCCAGCACGTCGTGGCTGCACACTGCGGAAGTTCTGACGCGGAAATCGATCGATCTCCCACGCAGATTAATACACTTACTCAGCTCGTTGGCATCGCGCTGATACGGATCGAGTGCCTCCAATTGGGCATCAGAGAGCGTCTGCAGCTTGGCGGATCCGTAGCCAAGCAGATTGTGCTTGCACTGGTTCACCGGCAGTCCTCCAACAGCGGCAGTCGACTTGCAGTGCACGCTAACTAGCTGGGCGAACGTCGAATAGAGGTGTGACATCTGCACAGAAAAAAAAAAGCAGTGGGTTAATTTCTTTTTTCTTTAAGTTTGTATGTATATCTGACTATGGAGTAAATTTTGGTAATATCACCATGAAAGCTTTTGAAACCATGACTCAGAAGAACTCCATATAAAGCAAATATCACAGTTGGAAATCAAACTAAAAAACAAGATATAGTAAACTATTTGAGAAGACTAAGAAGAATCAAACAAAGAAGATTCAGTCCACACTTTTTGACTTGTTTTTAAGGCTTTTGGAGAACTAAGAAGAAAGTTTGAATTACAAATTTTCCGCTGTGCCGGAGCAACAGGTATCGTGGGAGAACTTAGGGCAGAGGTGGAGCTACCTGGCACCACTTAGTGGGAGGATTTCGCAATGTGCGTGTGTGTTAGCGGGGAGATGATTGCACTTTCGTTGCACAAACGAAATGCATTTCGACAGCGCCGCCTGGGAGTTGAGCAACTGCCTCCCAGGGCGCAAGTTTGATGGGCGGCATCTGGTATGTGCCCCAGTTCGGATGAGTATGGGTTTACGGTTCAGTGGCCAAAGCAGCAGCTCATTGTCTATTCTCCGTGGCCAGCGGAGCGTTGAATGGACTTTTAATTAGCGCCGAATGTTCTACTGCGGTGACACATCTATAGCCGTGGCTCTGTGGAATTTCTCTGGTCGCAGGTGACGTCAAGTCAATCTGCCCTGATTCTAATCCAGTGGTAATAAAGCCCAGAAACTCCCCGAAAATTCCAATACGGAATCCGGCTCTTCTCACGATTTGACACCCTCAAGCGACGGATAAGCAAACAAATGAAGAGTGGAAGAGCAAACGGCGGAACAAAGAAAGTAAGCAAGAAACTGGGCCACATTATTGGATGAGTATCAGATGAGACCCCCTTGTAGAAGCAACACCCTTGGTCTGCTTACAGCAAACTGAGCTTGGAAGTCCAGCAATAGCTTCATTTGCATTGGCTCAGCTTTGGTGTTTTACAATTTTACGCCGTTTGCATAATGCATCGGATCGACGATGGGGCCAAAGTTGGGGAATCGGCGAGTTGGAGAGTTGGCTCACATTACCAATTACCGTTAACCACTCGGCCAGGCCAGGCCCAAACGTGTGCAAACTGTAAAATGCAATTGATGCCACCACTTGCTGCTCTACCCCCCAGCCCCACCCCTCTCGGTGTGTGCTTTTATTTAAATATTTGTATGGCAAACGATTAATTTGACAAAGTCAAAGCAATTTGTTCGCTTGTTTTCATTCTTTTGTGTTCAGCCCTGCAGTTATGAGACTTGGGGTCTGGCATGCGAGCCACATACGTCAGAAAACCGTAATCAGATTCGAATAATTCTGTCAGGATTTTATGGTCCAGGCCCTGGCACAATTAAATAATTAGCCAGGGACAGAATTGAAAATTCAGCAAATCGGAGAGGGCAAAAAATATCTAAATTATTTATGGCTGAGTGGGAAAAATGGCAAAAAGCCTTTGCGGGAGTTGTCAAAGTCACGTACTTAATTTGCTTATATAATATATAAGCTCGTATTTATAAAGATATGTAGATTCGAGATCGTCGGGGACAGGTTGTAATTCTTTAGCCTTCCAGCTAAGTGACTAAGCTGACATCGATTGCACGTAATGAAAGTCTAGCTAACGGAGGCGCTGATCTTGGCCCAAAACATCTGATATCTGATCTTACTTCCTTGTGAGTATGGGAAATATTCAATCAGCATCCAAACACCAGCGAGACCCAAAAGATGACCGAAGACGGCCATTAAGCTGTCTCGTGTAGTCGCTTCCCGAACCACAAGTATGGGCGTAGCTCCGCTGCCCCATCTTATCCCCCTGCCCTAAGCCACATGCCATCCCCAACGGATCGGCGGTTCAATAACCTGTTGATATGCGCAGGTTACATTATGAAACATCGAAATGGCCAACAAAAGAAATCAACAAAAAAGCAGCCACGAAAATGAAACATTTCATAACATACAAAATAAAAAGCAGAGAGACGCGTAATGACTCCGGTTCGATTAGGTGTCGGCTGGGAAAAGGGTTCCGATGCGGGTTTCCATTGCGAGTGCCCCTCCGCCCGCCCATAATGCTATATATATATATGTATAAATATCTTTATATCTCAACATACTTTACGTAAAACATAAAAAAGTAATGCGAACATAATTTATTTATTGAAGTTCGAACCGCAAACCGGCTAAACGCGTTTGCACCCATAAAAACATAAAGGGCAACAAAAACTGTTAAGCCGTTGTTTATTTTTGCAATCGAAAATCGAAAGCGCTCACTTAGGAGACGCTATAAAAGTCACCCGAAAACAGGAAGCTGAAGCATCTTCTATAAATAAGTGATCGTTGCGAGGCCAAGTCTCGTTAGAAATTTACATTAATTGCACGCCGCAGATAGTACGGACGACGAGTATCATCAATATCCCAGACCCGCGAAATCGCAAATTGCGTTTCTATTTTTCGGCAGTTAATTGCCTTTTTTAGAAATTATTTTCTCATCTCAGCGGACTCGTGTGGGGTGCCGGATGCGGTGTTGAATCTCTGCTGGCTGGATCGGGTAACATTATTCTGGGCTCTATTGTCTCGATCTGCGGGATTTTAAGGCGCAGTTCGCGTGCTTAGCGGTCAAAAAATCGGTTCAGATTGATGCGCTGCCAGCGAGAGCAAAGCATGGGGCAAGCAGATCTAATGACTGGCAAATTGCTATATATAAATTAAAGTCCATCGGCTAATTAATAAGCGAACAAAAACCACTTTGGCCGGGAGTTCATTAACCAAAAAACACAAAATAAACAAAAACTGCGGAGAAAATTGCCACAACGTTGTCACGCTTTGTTGCACAAACATTTGTGCAGAAAAGTGAAAAGCTTTTGGTTTTTTCGCTGCCAATTTACAGCACTTGCGAATGTAAATTGAAACCGTTGTTTCTCATAAATGGAAATTAATGTTTTGCCCCGCGCTCGACTGATCTCGCTTGTTTGGGGGATTGGCTGACTAATCGATGATAGATCCAAACATCCAAGCGTCCAAGCCCCCACGAGCTCAACCTTTCCGCTTCATCAGTTGCGAAACCAGATTGCAGATTTTTGGCAACACTTGTGACTCCCCTCGAACGCTCTCGAAATCGCGTGGTCAAGTGGCAGCCGGTCGGCCATACCGGTATTCCCAGGCATGCTACTGCTATTACTATTGCTATACCGCATAATCCTCGCCAGACCCAGACCCATACCTAGACTCTGATAACGCCCAATGTCAAGATCGCACTCCGCAGGCGTCTATTTATGCCAAGGACCGTTCTTCTTCAGCTTTTCGGCTCGAGTATTTATTGTGTTATGTTGGTTACGATGCCAATCGCGGTACAGTTATGCAAATGAGCAGCGAATACCGCTCACTGACAATGAACCACGTCTTGTCAACCATTCATATTCATTTTCATATTCACTCCTTTTGTCTTCGGCGAACTACTACGGCGGAGAGAAACCCAAAAACAGAAGCGGGCAAAGCGCCGTTAATATGCGAACTCATTGAAGTTATCACAACATCACCATATCAATATCAATATCGTTATTAATAACGATTATGCTCGGCTGATCAAGTATTCAGCGCTGCGCTAGATTCACCAGCTTCAACAGACTCAACAAACTCAACAGATTCGACAGATGCGCAATGCCAAGGACAATTGGCGTATGTAAGTGGAGTAAACGAGGCGTATGCGCAACCTGCAGCTGGCTTACGCTGCGTATGCGCAATATGCGTTGATTTTCTCTTACCTTTTCGTTGCGGGTCAAAAACTCCCAGATGGGAATGGCTGATGACGAGCTGATTTGCATGTGGAAGGCGCCCAGCAGGCAGCAGGCCAAGATTACTTTCGCCGCAGTCGTCATTGTAGCGTTGTTTTTGTTGTTGCGTACTCCGCACTATACGAAAAGTTCGGGGGATCCGTGATCTGTGATCCGTGTTCCGTGGGTCAATTGCACGCTTCGGTTGTGTAACCTTTGTGTGGCGACTTTCTTTTTTTAGGGCCCAATAAAAGCGCCTTTGTGGCCCCTTGATGGATTATCACTTGGCCGAAGCGGCTTTCTTCTGTCCGTCGCACTTAATTGAATTAACCCAAACAACGAGCGTGGCCAATTTGTATTATCGCTGTTTTTGGGCGTACGTGTGTGGTGCGTCTGTGTCAGCTTGGAACGCAAAAGCTTGTTTCACTCTTCGGCTTCTGGGCAAGTTCGGGGGAGTGGTTTCAAGAGGGGAGGCGCCTACTAGTCGATCACGAAAACGGCGAATTCCAAGCGAAACGGAAACAGAGCGAGCAAAATTAAACAACCGATCGCGGCGATGTTTGTGAGTCGTCTTCGGACGACGCTGACGCGGCACACGTATTTAAGCTCTGAGCGCGGCTTTTGCGGGCGGCGGAGCGAAAGCTCCACTGAGCGAAAGCGAGAGGGAGAGCGGGAGCCCCGCAGAGTGATCAGGGGCGCGCATCGCTCCCATCCAAGAATCGAAATCTACTGAGAATTGTTTGGCAAATGTATCCGCTGATCGCGTAAATTCGGAAAGGGAATGCCCCCATATATGACGTCAGCACAGTTTTGCGAATTTTGACCATCCTAGCCATTTATGTTCAGCAATAAATACTATGGTTATTCTCTGGTTTTATTGACCGGAAAAATAGTTTTCTGAAGTGAAAACAATAGGAATATTCATAGGATGGCGAGAAAGTCATGCTACAGATACAGACAAATCTAGCATATAAGAATCGATTGGTAGGTAATTAGGCTAAAAGTATTTCACCCCCTCGACAGTTTCTCAGGTTAAGCCTCTGGAGCCTTCCAGCAAACTTGTTCTACGCTTGCACTGGAAATAGAAATTGAAAAACAAAGTAAACAATCGAAACGGCCAAAAACAATAACAACATCGGCGGGGCATTGCAAAAATTTCAAAGTCAAGTTTGCGTCGTCATCACGTCTGTGTTTGTTGACTTGTAACTGAGGATTGTTTATTGGCCGCGGGGATTACTAAATTGTGGCAAATTCTGGTCAACAGCAGCATGTCGCATACTTCACAGCGGGCTGCTAATTAAACAAAATATACACATCAAATTCTAAAATGCGACGGCGCCATGATCCTGTTTGCGGATTCAATTTGCGGGCGTACCGCTTAATTCAATTAACCGGTAAAAGTCGGTAAAAGGGAGCAGAAGAATGCGACCGCTGGAAATTCCTAACATCAGCGGGCCCATAAATTTGATAAGGCCGAGATCGCCATTGAGTCACCCGCCTCCCAGCGAGAAAGAGAGCGGAGTGCGGCGAAAGCCGTTAGGTTGTTGACTCGCCAGATTACAATGTGAAATGGAATGGACCTGGTCAAAGAAGCGCCGTTAATGGCCTGCTCCCGTTCGATTCCTTCCGGGACAGTGATAAAGGAAGGCTCCGTTCCAGTCATTCTACAGATACCTTCCCTGAACTTGAGATACTTAATATGTTTTAAATTGAAAGCACGAGCAAGCATATTCCATGGATCTAATATGGTATAAAATAAAGTAGAATATGATTGCTTTGACCTTTCTTAAGGATCGGGATATATTTATATTTATAGCGTATTTAAGAGCTCTTTAAGTTTTAATCATAATTTGATATTCGTATAAAAGATGCTTGCTATCAAGCCTCAGTAGCTCTATTTCGAATTAGGCTCGGAAATTCCGTTGGGACTTCTCCTTACAGCGTGTTGTACCTCAGGAAGTTGCGATCGTAGCGACTGCCGCCGCCGTAGAGGTCCTGATCCTGGTCATTCTTGTAACTCATGAATGCCGGGCTCTGGTCTTCCCCAAAGATGGGCACAAAGTTGTTAAAGCTTAGGGTCTGCTTTAGGTGCTGATCCGGTCGGCGGCCCAATTGGATAACCTTGCTATAGAGGTCTCCATCGGCCTGGAGGGCACGATCAAAATCTTTCCAGTGGACAAATTTCACCTGCTCACTCGGAATGGCGTTGTTGTCAAGCAGCTCTAGGAGGGTGTTGGAGTTGACGGGCTGCACCACGTTCAGTTCGTGTTCCTTTGCTAAAGGTTCCCCAGCAGGCAGACGTCGCTTATTGGGAGTTGTATCCAGTTCCCAGAGCCAGGCCAGCAGAGGAGTCACCGCGCTCTAGAATTAAGCCATTAAGGCTTTCCGAAGGCCTTGGTAAAAAATGTATACTGGGACTTACCTGCTCACTTCGTCCTATGCGGGGAATGGTCTTTAGGTTTTTCATGGCAAAACTTTCCCCTCGCTTTCCCAGCCGCGGCACGTTCTTAGTAATCTTCAGGAAGAATCCTGGACTGTCGTCGGCTTGGCTGATGGCCACAAGAGCCACCAAAACCGAAGCAGCCAGAACAGTAAGGAATCTCATGCTGATGCGGCTCAAGCTTCACCTGGCTCCTTCTTCACAATTGATGGCTTTTATATAGCAAGATCCACCCTCATGTTGGGCGTTAAAAATATGCGGGTTATCCCAGAAATTAGCATTATCGATTGATTTAGTGCTGAGCAGAGAAGTGTACTTGACTGACCTAAATTCCTGTCGAATTCGCTTACATATTTCTACACTCTATACAAATGGTTTAGAGAACTTGCAGTTCACTTAAACCAAGTTATTGCTTGATTATTGAGCTTGATTTCGTCAGACACAGTTTGAATTCATTTCAATTTCAACTTTATTACAAAAATAAATAAATAAAACAATTATGGAATTTACTTAACTTCTAGATCAGCGAGCTTTGCGCCCACTGGGCCACCTCGGTGGGCAGTGCCTGGTATCGTTGCACCGCCTGCTGAATCTGCCCGTAGGTCAGCGCCAACTTGTGCATCTCGAACTCCTTCTGCACCTTGCCGCCAACTCCTCCCCCAGAGAGCGGCATGATTAGCTCCGCAATACGCAAATGCTCGAAGGCTTTCAGAACGACTGACCGCTCCACACCCTGCATCGTGCTGGATACCTTGGCGAACTTGGAGAATCGGGCAAAGATAATCTCGAAGTTGAAGGGATCGCGGTCATAGATCTCCGAGTGGTGTTTGATGGCGATGATTAGGCACAGCTCCAGTACGGAGAGCCCGCAGAGTAGATCAACCTTGTCGTCAGCTTCGAACTGTGCTCCTAAGGCAGCAATTTTTTCGGCGGTGATGAGAGGGGATTGTGGACGGAGTTGGGCCACTAAGCGGAACAGGAAGCTTTTGAGGAAGGCTTCGCTGATGTCGAAGGCGTAGAGCGCTTGCAGGGTGCGTCTGGCTTGTTGAGTGGCGAGCACTTTGACCACTTGCTTGTTCCAGTTTTCGCGAACTCTGGGTGGGAAGCTGTGATCTCCAGGATCGAAATGATTGTTGGCGAAGCAGAGGGCAGCGGATCGGATCTTTTGCAGATTATCGACACGTTCCGCCGCTACCAGAAGTGAACTACCGCTCGGGAGTGACAGCAGATCTTGGCACAGCTCCACGTACTCCTCGAAACGCTCAGAGCTAGGAAACAGGAAGACCTGCCTGTGCGAGAATCGCGATTTTACCCGTTTCTCCAATAACTCAATCACGTCCAGCCGGCAGGTAACGCCCAACACGCAGATGGGAGCCTGAGCGGACTGGGAGACGTCGAAGAGGTTGTAGAGCAACGTTTGGTTATGGTGAGCGCAGAACAAGTCGAACTCCTCGAGGATAAAGACCACGCTTTTGGATTGCTTGCCGCCCGCCTTGAGACACTGCAGCAAGAAGGCTAGGTTCTCGGCGAAGGACCCAAACACCCGACCGTCCGCAGCGTTCTCCAGTTGCATCTGCACGGTAATGGACTTGAGGGCCACTCGGTCGTCGGTGTGCAGGTTTCCGTCCAGGTGCACGATCAGAGTATTCTCCACAAACGATTTGTTGGCCAGCAGATCCGCCAGCACGGCATTGATGAGCTATAAGAATGGCATTGGTTAATTATTACAGTTGGTTTGGTCTATTGATGCAAACAGAGTTCCTACCGTGGTCTTCCCAGATCCGCGAGGTCCGATCAGCAGCAGCGAGTTGGATTCCCCCATTTCTGCAGTGCGTTGCAGCAGTTGGCGAACGTTGGACCGCTCCTCCGGGTAACCCCTCAAAGTGGTGTAGTCCCGCTGCAGGCGCTCCTTCAGGAAGCTCCTGGTTCTGACCAGTTCCGCATCTGCTTCCGGCATTTGTGTTGTGTGATTCCCGACTTTCTTAGGTTTAAAACGACGCACAGCTGAAAACGCGCCAAAACAAACGTAAACAGTGGACTAAAAAATATACTGTCGCTTTAGCGCTAAAATATACCAAGAGTTAAGAGATGAGATACAAGCCGATATTCATTGTATACTATCGGGAATTAGAGGGGTTTGAAACTATGATATAAATGAGCAATAACTCAAACCGGCGTAGAATTGTCGGCTAAAGCTCATTCTCAAGCCAAACTTGATTTGATCTAAAGATTTTGAATTGATGTCTTGAGTTTCCGTGTATTTTAAAATTTGGCTTTGTTTTCTATTTAATATAATATAATCTATATATTAAATAGAAGAGTGGAAGTTTTTTGAAAATACATGGTTTTTACTATTGAAGGAAGTGTATTTGGCATACGCAGTTTAAATTCCAATATAGCGAATATTAAACATTCGAAGCACTTCAGCGATCGATTAATATTGGTTGACAGTTTTAGAACGGCAATGGAGCGCGTAATTACAATTATTATCTTTTGGAACATTCAGCTTTAAACACTCTTTATTACGGTTATTGCAAAGCAGTCGTTATCCAGAATGAACGCCTTGCATATCTTTCTGTGGATTTCCATGGGCCCGATCGCAGTAAGGATTAAATATAATTAGTTCAGCGACATGGCACCAATAAAAAACGAATACTTTCCAAAGCTCCGTGGACACATGGAGTTCAACAATGTGATTTGCCTTGTGCGGGACAGGAAGTTTATGGACTTCGAATACTGCCACTTGAAGTCCGTCAATCGCACCTTCAAGTACTTTTCGCTAAAAACCAAGCTGTTCCATCTGCCCATAGACAATTGCGTGGTAAGAGTGTGGAGCTCCGACAGATCTCACCATCGGTATCATGCCTCTGTTTTAGACCAAGTTCCAGTTGAGGAAGCGGGAGAGCAGGCGAATCCTGTACAACTTTGATTTCCAGGTGGATGCCTGCCAGTTCCTGAGGGAGCGTAAGCACGTACTCGCCAACTGGGCTTATCAGACCTTCGGCCCCTTCTCGAACATGAACCACACTTGTCCCTACGTCGTGAGTGAGTCTCGCCATGTCCTCCTACTACTTCTGACGTTTGCCATTCCGCCCGCAGAATGACATCGTCGTCGATAAGTTGCCAGTGCAGCACGTTAACAAGCTGGTCCAGACGATCATCCCGGATGGCCGGTACTTCATGAACAGCACCTGGGTGGTTGCGGGAATTGCTCGCACGGATGTCATCCTCTACTTTACCAAAAGCTAAACGGGAGTAAAGTAAAGGTTCCTCCAGCTCATCTTTCTTTATATCTTTCAGGACTTTTTTCGGGACTTAAATAATTAATAAATTCTTTATTCTCTTTATTTATGGCGATCGGTGTACCTTTGTTTATCTGATCCACCTCGTTTGCATCTAAAGTGATATCAAATTCGTAATCCAACAAAGTTAAGATTCCTTTCTGTTAAACCTGACCTAATAATATGAAGTTTAAGCATTAATAAAGATGGAGGAGTTCTCAAAGTGGCTTGCAGTTTTTTGCACAGGTGGTGTGACCTGGATGCACTGCACCTGTTGCCTGTCAAGTGGCTGCTAATGCGATTAGGGAGGGCACCGAAAACGGGATCGTGGCTGGGACTGGTAACTCAGCTGCCAATCAGGTGGGCCAGCCAGAAACTTCACACATTTCAGATATCTCTGACCACTACATAGGACAATATAGAGTAAACAATACCCCACACTCGGCACGATGCCGGCGGACATAGTGACTACGGAGCAGCTGCGCTACCAGCTTGCCTTCAGCCATGCCATGGAAAGGACCACGCGGCACTGGCAGGAGACCTTCTCGTGGTACCCGCGGATGCAGTGCTGCCACTACCAGCGGATCGACCAGATCTACCTGGAGAGTCGCCAGCGGTATGGCGACAAGCACTTCCTTGACTACGCCAACCGGAAGCGCTTGCTCAAGAAGTACATGGTGACCGCCAGGGATGTGACAGACACTTTGGAGGAGCGAAGGACGCTGGAGAACGATGGCATCGTGGGCATACGGGTGGCGGCCACCGAGAACGGAGAGTACGGCCGGATGAAGCCGGCGAGTATTTACTTCTGCTAGGACTCCCTGGAGCCAACCACTCTCTTCAGCCTCTCAGTCTCCCCCAATCCTCGCCAGAGCCACTGACGATTAAACTATCATCGTCTGCTGACAATGCAACTCTCAATGGCCGTCACTCATTACGCGATTTTTGCATGACCGTGCGCATAATTAACAAGGTGAAAATGTCAGTCCGACCTGTAACCGGTTGTTCCGGCCCCTCCGCCCTAGCGAGTGCTCACTGTACCCTCTCCTATTCTGATGCGCCTGAAAAGTTCGCACAGGTAATTAAGTGATCGCGTCTGTCCACTCGATGAGATGACTCGCCTCGTTTGTTCGGCTTGGAAACTGTTTTACGGCGCCCATAAAAATGGGAAATATTCCGCGAGAGCATGATATGGCACACATTTACAACCGCACTTGCAGGTGCTTTGCATTAATTATTGATTCAATCCGGTCGTAAGATCCGATCACTCGGAAAAGTCACAGCAGCCGGTTGACTTAGATTTCGGATAGTTAAACTTACTAACTCTGCAATAAATGCTTCATACTGAAATCTCACCTTTAGGGATAAACTGTTCTCATACGAAACGCATTCAAGCTGGAAAAATCCTGAAAAGAGACGCCACTAATAACTTGATAAATGTGTCCTCGGCGCAGCTGCTCCTCCTGCGATTTGCAGACGTAAGCGCAGGTGTCATGGGCGAACTTCGAGCAGTATGATTTAAAAGTTCCATATGCAAATTACCCACAAAGTTTGAGGCGAGCCCATCCGTCCATCGGAGTGCGTGGTAGCTGCAAATGGGAAAATGGGAAATGGGAAAATAGGAAATGCAAAATGCCCATGCAAGTGTGCAAATTACACAAAGAGAACGCGAACTTCGGCCCAACTTGCGAACTGGGCCAGCGACTCATTAGACACATGACAGCATTCACAGAGCTCCCGAACGGGTGGAGTGGGAGTGGGTGGGAGGAGGTGGTGCGCAGGTGGGCAGCAGCAGCGAATGCGTGTGAAAAATCAGCCAACAGCGGCCCACAAAATCGCCAAGCGCACAATTAAACGGTAGCAGATAATTGCTATCGAAAGCCATAATGATGGCCGGATCAGTACTTACCCCCGACAGTCATACGAGTATAGTACCATATCTTGATTCGGCTCTCGAGAGGAGAGCTTTGTGCGCCTTTCTCGGTGTCTCATTCTCATTGTCTGCCCGATTTTCCCATCAGCTTGATGCTCGATGCTCGATGCGAACTTTTTCGAGACCATTACCTTTTCTGTTGACTCATACTCATCCGATCGGGCGGACGGACTCTGTTTTTGGCAGTGGTCAAGAGAAGTGGCAGCCGAAAAAACAGAACAAAAGTTGCTGCGCTGTTCTGGGCAAAACAAATAAACACCGAGACACCTACGATGGGCTGCATTGCGGAGTGGGTGTAGGGAGAGGTCAGGGGTCAACCCCTTTGCAGCCAGGGTAAACAACATTTGCGGATTTCACGCCAGGGCTCAGACAGCATTGCTGATCCTATTAGTGCTCGTCAGGGGCCTCGATTGACTGACTGGCGCCATGTCTCAGGTCAGGACTCAGCATTACAAGAAGGACCAGGTCCAGGGCCAGTGAGGATTAGGGCGTAAAAGGGACTTAATCCAGTTTTGCATCGATCTCGCTCGCCGTTCCCCTTCTCCGTGGCAGGTAGACGAGGAACAGGTTCGCACTGGCACAGGAAAAGCCAAATAAAATAATAAAGAACCAAATGCTAAGGCCGAAACATTAAATAAATAAAAGTCAACGGCAGTCGGCAGTCAGTCAGGCAGCTCATAAACGCTCGGCAGCTGACGCCGGTCCCAACTTCGAATTAAAACGCCATTGGCGCTTTGGCACGCATAGATAGGACTGGGACTCGGACTTGGACTGGGGCTGGAACTCCGACTTGGGCCTGGGTCGTCCATCAACTCGCTTTGGTTTGCCGACGCGACTGCCCATAAGCCAATTTGCCAATTTCATAAACTCGGTTTGATTTGCCGCCAAAAACACAAAAGACAAGGCGAGCCGCAAAGCAAAGCCCGACTCGGTTCGACTCTGAAAAATAAAACCCCAAAAACGCCCCCAGGCCGGCATACGGATTTCGACTTCCATTTGGGATCTGTTGGTTAGAGGAAAAGCAGCAACACATCGTTAGGTGGCCTAGACCTAGGAAGGCATTCATCAAGCGTCTCTATCAAAAGCTCTCTAAGAGCCAAGGGCGTACATCAGGGGGGTCAAATGTCGTATTTTGTAGTTTTGTTTCCGAAATGAATCTATCTTTCTATCTTATATAATTATGTTTTAGAATCTCTTATGTAATGAAACCTCTATTCTGTATAGTCATAGCAACACCCAAGTTACCAATTGTTAAGATTAGATCTAAGGATAGAGACTCATAATTATTAACGCCTTTAGTTTGAGATTTCTCACTGAAACATCCTTCATTTGCTAAGTTTTTGAGTATTTTGATGTTGATATCGATTAAAGGCCATAGTACCTTCTGGGAAGTGCGGAACTCCTTGATGGCTACGCCACTGGCCAAATTACACTTAAGGCCATAATTCAATCAGCGCATTATCAATCACTGCGGCTACTTGTCTTGGCCAGTGAGTCAAGTCAATCAGCCATCGCCTAAGTCCGTCCCAGTCGCACTCTCCCGATCGCCGTTCGGGCGTCCCGCTCGCACTTGAGTGTGAAACACGTTTGAAAGTCATTAACTTAAATGATTCACTTTCTGAGCCATAAATTTCGCCACTAACTGGCAAGGAGCCAGAGTGTATGCGAAAAAACGTCGACAGAAATGTCTTAAAAAATTGCTAAATAATCGCCTTAAATGAGTCTATAAAAGTGAACACCCCGAGCGGCGACTAGAGCTCAATCGCTGATCTCGCGGGGACCAGAAGCCAGAGACAGAAGTAGCTCAAAAGCGTTTTCGAAACACCAAAGTGAATTTTCATTGCCAGCGGAAGTCGTAAATCAATTTTTTCCTCCGCCGAAAACAGAAAAATGGGGGAAAACGCTCAGAATGCCGTCTCCCAGCCAAAATATGTTTAGGCCTAGAAATCAGAGATCGGGGAAGGGGAGGCGCCCATTCTGGAAGAGCATCCGCAGGGAGAGATCTTTCTTGTTTGCTGTTGCTGCTGCTGCTGCTGCTGCCTCGACCAATTTCGGCTAAGACGACAGCCATAATGATAGGGGCCACTTTTGCCGCCGCCGCCGCCACGCACGCTATATGGACAAGATCCCATGGGCGGCGGTGGGAGGGGAAGGGGCAGGGCCGACGGAACGGAAAGGGGCAACTTGTCAGACATTGTATTTGTGTTCCATCTACGTTTCCGTTTCAATGTTTTCAAGACGCCATCATGACATTGTCAGAGGCAGCAAACTACGAAGACGACATCTCACGCAGCCTTAGAATTTCCGAAGTGCTGACTTGGACGTATTTCATCAGCTCTCTGGGGGAACTGGCAGTTAACATAGTGTCATTTTTGCTTTGGTAATATAGTCCAGACATATGTAGATATATTCCATAACCAATAATGGAAATAATGTGCAATAAATATTTAATTTGATTCCTTTCTCATTTTGACAGCAAAGATGTTACCCCAGGAGAAATCACAAATATTAGTCTAGGAGTTAGTCCTGTTGAGAAGACCTTAAAAGGCCCTTAAACCAACCCATGGAGAAGGGAAATCCCCGCTTGAAGCTGGGAGCCAACGCCTCCGTCTGCCGCAGAATAGACAAAAGAGAAAAGAGTCCCAAATCCCATTCCTCCGCCAATGGGATTATCTATGAGCTGTGAAATCCTTTTAGGCGGAAACTATGGAACCCACACACAGCCACAGAGCGAGGACAATGCAACAAGTGTTGCGGCAGATTGAGCAACAAAAGGCTCATAATTGTGGAAGCCACACAATGCGACACATTCGAGAGCGCTGGCGAGGGCGAGGGCGAGGACAGGGACTATAGGCCCTATGATTCTGGACCAGGCTAATGAGTGGCCGCAAACAAACCATAAACGCCGATTTCGTGCGGTCCAGCCTTGGCGGCAACTTCTTTTAATACCACTTGACACTTGGCCAGGAGCATGAGCAGGATTGAGGATTGAGGATTCAGGATCCGGGATCCCACTCCACTCGGAATTTATGTTCGACAATATTTGGGAAATTAAATCATTCCCGCAGACAGTTTTATAGTGCGGGCGTGGCAGGGGGAAAGAGGCCATGGGACTGGAGGGTTCGTGCTGGGGGTAAACTATCTAACAATGACCCCTCCCCCGCTTAACCCTCGACTGCCGGCCAGCACGAATGAGCAAATTGGAAAATGTCAATTATGCGCAATTTTGCTTAAGCAATTGACATTTGTTGCTGCTCCGCTGTTTGTTGTGATTGCACGCATACTTGGGCAAATAAATTGACAAATAGGATTTGCGTTTCTCTCCGATTTTGTGCTGCTGGCCATTTTGAATTAATAAATTGCCGCCAATTTGCCGCTAGCCTTGCCAGCGTGGAAAAGTCGGCGAAAATCGAAGAGCAGAGATCTGGAAAACGTCAGAACGCCATTCTACTGCGATGTTTGATATTCTTCTGGCTCATATCCCTGCACATTCTCGCCTCGAACGTTATCATTTGATTGTTTCGCCGGCAATTAGTTTAATTGCCTCTGTTTCGCAGTGCGACCTGCGATTGCATAACCCCATGCCGACTGATTGATTTCGCTTTGATCTTTGCTTCTCTGCTGAATGAAATCCCCAGCCGATGGATCTAGATCGGAACTCGTTTCGCCAGCAGTAGTTAGCAACTCGATTTATCCCGGCTGGGCTGAGTCATGGAAAATCTTTGACCTTGCAGCCTGTCATTACTAGTTTTTCCCCTCAGAAAAACTACTCTTCCAATATTATTAGAATATCATAAAAAAGGTTTTGATGAATGGAAATTTTGGTTTCAGGGATTGAGGGGAATATGTAGAGCTCTAGGGGTTAGTATAGTAACTAATTTTAGAATGCTACCACTCGACTGCAACAGATTTAAGATCAAGCGGATACACCTCACCACTCACTCCCCAGCCATCCGTGCAACCCATTCATGAGTGACCTCGCCCAGACCAAATCAGACCAAAGCCAAATCCGATCCGAAAACCTTTATCGGGGGCCCGCAATCGCAACGGAAGTTGCGTTCAATTTATGGGTGAAATTATCCACTGGCCGGGAGAATCGGCTCGTGAAGATTTGCTGAGCTGTGGAAATAAATGGAGATCGGAGATATCTGGCCGGATCGTCATTGGTTGGCATCAGTGCCCCGGCTCGGACAATTGAATTAGAAGCGCGGCCAGCAGGACTCATGAATGGGCAACGAGCCGAAGTGAAGTAGGTTCAAGACGGGGCCATGAGATCAGCATGTTCGAGGCAGGGCAACCACTGAACCCATTTTCTCACCTGTTAAGGTTGTAAAGACTCGAAAACAACAATTTATCGCTGTCGAGATCGTCGCCTGCCGTTCCTCGAGAGGCGAAGCCTCTTCGATTGACTTGAACCTATGGGGGAACTCCATCGCCATCGCCATCGCCATCGTTATCTCCATCTCCATCGCCATCTCCATCTCCTCATCGGACTTCGACTGCATTTGGGTTTGGGCAGCGTCATACGATTTAATTGCTTCGATTGTGTCAGCAGTTTTATGTGGCCAGTGGTTGTGGCCAGCAGCGGACACATGTATCCATGTAGTACACAGTACACAGTTCACGTCTTCATCGGCGAGCATTTCGCTGCGGAAGGGGGCGTTTTGTGCCGGCCAGCTCTGCTCATAGGCGCTCAATAATTTGATGATCATAATCAATGCCCCTTGACTGACATTCGCTGCCGGTGCCGCTGCCCCTGTCCCAGCTTCGTTTGCCGCTCAACTTTGGTTTCTTTTCGGCACTTCCAAACCTAACAAAAGGCGCACAAACTTGTTGAAAGCCGTTTGATCCTTTTGACGAGGCCAGACGAGGCCAGAAGGGGCGCTCCCCCATTGATCCTCCGGCGCAGATGATTTGGCCGAAAGTCAAGTGTTTGTGCAGCCGCTTGAAAGGAAGCCGCCAATTTGTCCAGGATCAGGATAACAAGGCCGCGGAGGAGAGCGTGGGAGTGGACTAACTGGGCCCAATGCCCCTCACCGATCATCAATGTCTTTCGATAAGTAAGGAAGTCTGGTTTGCTGCTATTTGGGATCTGTTCTGTGATTTCTATTTCGAGGCTGCTTCTCCAACTTTTAATGCCCGAATCGCATGCGTAGGTTTTCTATGACGATTAAAACCCTCATATGTCAACTCGGCCCATTCATCATCATCTGCCAGCTCGGACGCAGACAGAGGTAGCAAACAGTCGCCAGACACTTGGCTGATGAGCTCAAATCTCATCAAGAAGTGTCTGGCTGGCGGTTCGCAAGCATATATCTCTGTCTTTCTTGATTTTGATTTTGGGGAACTTACAGCACCTACTTCAGCCCAACGCAACCTGGCGTGATGACTTAATTTTCGACTCAGCCTCCACTGGCAGAAACTATTGGAGGTTTCAGTCTGGGGTCTCTGCTAGAAACGGCTGCGCAAAGGCCACCATTTCTCTCAGTGCTGCCTGGGCAGCTCTAACCGAACCCGATCAGGTGCCTCTGCCTTTGCCTTTGCCTTTGACTCTGCCTTTGCCAGAGACTCTAGTGGAGGATGGAGCCGGAGCCAGTCGACTACTTGAGCGTCACCGCAGTGACACACGCAAGTGCTTGGCCTGTCGCTGGTGTACGATCCCTCGAAGCCTCCGCCTCCTGCCCCGGTGATCCCCGGGTAACCCAGGAACCCTCGTCATGATGCAGCGCTTTTCGGGGCTGAAGTTGCCAGCAGCTAGTGAAGTTGTTCCCTGGCTAGGAGCTGCTGTCGACCACGAGTATTTGCTGTAATCATTATGGTAGCGCCTGTGCATCGGATGATAAATCTATCTTTTATTAGCATTTCAAACACTCCAATGGGTTGCACGTGTTGCGCTGCCCCGAGTGAGTTGTTTTGGCCTGGCCTAATCCCAATTAAAACCACATTTTTCATCGATCCGACGGAGGTTCAAGTGAAATCGTTAATGAGCGCATAAAGTTTTAGTCTTAGCCCAGTCCGGATTTATCAGAGCAAGAGCAGAGCACGAGTCCCTGGTTCGAGGGGCAGGCGGTGCCCGTTTCCTGGGTGTCGTATATAAATCGCGTGCTGCACTGGAGGTCTTCAAAACGCTTACGAGTTGGAGCCCTGGGGCTCGGGGCACAGCCACAACCGCAGCCGAGCTCCAAGTCAGAGCCTCATCATCAACATCCGACTCGGACGGGGTTTGTCCCTGCCCCCCATTCATTTGGCCTGGGTGTTGACCAGTCTCGGACTGCGCCTGGGGTCATCTGGCAGCTCCTGTCTTCCCTTCCAAAGACACAGCGAGAGAGCGAGAGAGAGAGAGACCTGGGCTAATGATTGCCAGGGCAGCCTGCTTTCGGTATTTTTTAGCTGGCTAAGTTCCGAGATGGTACGAGTATTTGGCCAAAACAAGATTGATTTCCTGAAATCGAAACCTTGAGACGAGCTGCGAAGCCAGAGACACGCAAGGGGCCCTGATCGCAATGATAATGATGTCGAGAGCCAGTTTTTCTCGCTCTTCCTTAGGACTGGGGTTTGGGGTGGTAGCCGTATCATGGTCCGAGGTTCGAGGTCCGAGGTTCTGCGTCCCCTTCAGCGAAATGCAAAAACAAATTGTTTGTGGGTCAGCCAGGCGAGGGGCAGGGCCTAACGAGGGCTGCAGGATGGGATGAGCGGGCCATGGGCGTTCCGTTGTTTCAAGGAATTCAAGGGAAACAGAAACAGAAAAAGGATGAGATGAGGAGCCTGCCCGGAGGCGGGGAACGACCTCGTCTGGGGCTCTGTCTCTGTCTTAGTTTCTGTCTCTGTCCCTGGACTCCATCTCCATCTTCCTCCTGGAGACAGCACACGGAAGCCTAATGCTGGCCATGTGATTTGCGATTTGTGCTCTTGGGCCTCGATCTGTTTGGCTGCGGTTTCCTTGGAAAACGCGCCATTCCTTGCCTAAGTTCTGGCAATGACAAAGCGCTGACCGCTGACTGGAGCAGCAGCAACAGCAGCAGCAACTGCAACTACAGCAGCATGCTAATTTATGAAGTAGCAACTTGCAGCGACATGGATGCAGTAATTATAGCTTGGCAACTTGTTGCCAGCCAGGCCCAACTGCATGAATGGAAAGAAAGCCAGGCCAGTTTGCTGTTTTCCATGCTAAACAGAAGCTGTTCTACTGCAGCAGCAGCGGCGGCATCAGGTGAACGTGGATGTGGATGTGGCTGTGGATGTTGGACGTGAACGCGCCCACTCGGTTAGTCCGCCGCACCGCAAGGCGAACAGCGAGCAGCTAAGACACAAGGTAGGAGGTCAGCTTTAATGAGACGAATCCCTAACACTCTGCACGAAATGAGAACTATAGTTAAGGCTCCACTTTGTAGCTCTAATACCTGCAGGCTGTTATGAACACAAAAGAGGAGTTGAACTGTGTTCATGAGAGAATTTACTGAGAAAAAATCAAAATGTAATGCTTTCTAGGAGTGTCATATATATCTTTTAATACCTTTAATTAAGTCGAAGTATAATACTTTAAATGTAGTCCCGAAGTCTAGCTACCCTCTCTTAGGGTATCAAAATAACTGGCTCAAAAAAGCTAAGAAAAAGGTCCTACCCCGTGGCGTTTTGGCTGTTGATGGGTTGGCTCTGCTGACTGCTCGGCAGCGGCAACAGCAACATGCAGCATGCAGCAACAGCAACAGCAACAGCAAATGCGACAGCAGCAGCAACATGGGGCAGCGGCAACATAGTTTACACACCTACCGAGGCCGCAGTCGAAGTCGGGGGCTGGGCTCCGTCTGCCGAACCCTCTGGCCAGCAACATGCACTTAACTGGTAGCCACAATGCACTTTATAATACCCGGGAACATGGCTCGCATCTCTGGCGCGGAATGGGTATCTGCCCCTCCTCGCAGCTTGATAGATGCTGCTGCCTTGGACTTCCCGGAGCGATCTACCAGGGGGCGTTGCTGCTGTGCTGCAGTGCTGCAGTGCAACATTGGTAGATAGAGGCCGCAAAAGTAGCAGAAGCTGCCGCACCGTTAGCTGGATTGCGAGCTTGGGCCTCATTTGCATCGGGCCATAAACTCGGTGGCCCAGTTCTCGACGCGCTAACCCGAATCGAAAGGCGAATCCGAATGCGAATCCAATTGCAGTGAACTTTGGGCCGGCGCTAGGCGACGACCTTGGATTAGCTAAATCCGTTCGGTTGCGACCCGTCTAATCCCTTCTTCCTGCCGGGCAGCTCATTAGCCGCACCACCACCCACCCAGCCAAGGGTAGGGTCAAGGGTTCAAGGGTTCAAGGGCTCAAGGGTCCGGAAGGTGTTTTCGCCGTGTACCAAAATATAATTAGCGAGCCCTGGCAAATCTCTTTTTAATGCCGGCCAGTCAGCGGGGGTGTTCCGATTGAAATTGGAGCGTAGCCGAAGGAAGTGTGAAAAGTCGATGCAGAATTTCCGAAAACTGAGCGGAGGAAGGCAAAAGCCGAGGTAGACGGAGCGGGGAATTAAAAGCGCAGCCGCCTCTCATCATCATCAGCATCATCCTTAGCATCGCCAACAAAACACTCACGCACACAGGGAATTAAGCTGAGTTCTGGGTCCTGAGTACCCAGTTCTCAGTTCTCAGTTCTCAGTTTTCAGTTTTGAGTTCCCGGTTGCGAGACATTAAAGATGCCGACCGAAGCAGAGGATTCTGGATGTGGCGCCGGCCAGGGAGACAGTATAAATCATATCACTCACACACAAAGGGCCGGGGAAGGGGAAGCTGGCACATCCCCTCCCGCGACCGCAGCCTTTGTTAATTAATTGTGCAGCACCGGTAGGGACACCTTTCCATGCCCCGAATTTTCTTTCAGCTCCGAGAGTCAAAGCAAACTTTGCATTTCTGGAGGAGGTTCCAAATTCTACAATATATATTTTATACCTTTCAAAGATCTTTCTAGGCAAGGGGTACTATTCCGAAGAGGTTCCCCATATCCATGACCCTTGCGGTTGCTCAGAGATCGTTGTGGTTTCTTCTGCTGCTGCTGCTGCTGTTCCTGCCTTTGGGGAAAAACGAAGGAGGGGAGTTCCAGACTGGACTACAATTCGGATTCCAGCAGTGCTACCCCCACGAGGAGTTCTTCCTCTCCGCCCGACGTCCTTGCCACCACCCTTCACAAAGCGTCACCGCCAAGAGGTTGCAACTGCCCTGGTGGTGCGCCCTGATGGAGAGCCTCTTCCTGCTGCTGCTGGTGAAGCTGCTCCAGTTGTAGATGAGCCAACCCCTTTCGCTCTTTCGCTCTTCTGCTCTTTCGGTAATTGCCGCTGATGTAAGCCAACAATGGAGGCGACAAATGGCACACATGCTGCTCGTAAATCACATCGGAAACTGTTTTTTCCCGTTGCTCTTGCCACACATGATAATTTGACGAGGGAGGGGGTCTGAGGCAGGTCTGGCTTAGGTGCTTCTAATTAAATTGTTCAAAATGTTTTCCAGCGCGCTTCTGGGCCTGGCGCTGGAAAATCGCTGACAAATGTTTCCGTCAAAACACAGAAAAAGTTTTCATTTTGTTTTGTCAAAGTCCGGGCCGGATAGCACCCTCTGAGGGAGGGGTACAGTGGTCTTTGCCTGTGTAATACTGAGTGACAAAATAAAGATGACGTTGTCTAATATCTGATGTTTTATTAACTTAAATATAATCTAAATCAGCGAACCATTAGTTTTAGTTCTTAAAACCAATTTAATTTATTTTTCTGATTTAATAAAAAAGTAAAATATTAGTAGTCCAGCACAAGGAACTTCTCGAGCAGGATGGAATCAACACCCTCGCCACTCCATGGCAAATTAAACTTCGCCTTCGAGGAGCTAACTATCTTTCGAACCTTTTCATTCGGGTGAAACCGAAACAAACTGCGACTACGAGATAATTTAAAACGAATTAAAAGCGCAACCGTTTGAAACCTCCCGAACCCAAATAAAACCGAACGAAGGCATCCAATTGAAAATAGCAACAAGTTAATTCCAGCAGCGCCCTCCCCCGCCCTCACCAGCTCCTTTTGGAAAGTCATTAGAAAAAATGTCGAGTCGAGCAATTTGAATATTTCGATGGCAATGTACGCGCCTCCGTACGGCAACTCCGACTCCGCCGGTTAATTTAAGGTGATAATTGCTTTTTAATGTGACACAACTAAATTTTTCCCATTTCCATACTGCGCCTGTTGTTGTTGTGCCGGAAGTTTTTCGGGCCTGCGCATGTGCAGCCAAGAGAGGTCGAAGGGGAGGGGTGGCCGACCGGCAGACACTTGTTACGTCGCTGGGACAACAACAACAACAACAACAACCACTACAATAATAAAGTGTCAACAATTATTTTCAAATTTCGAAACATTTCATTTCATTTTTGTTCGGTGTTAGGTTTTCCGATGTTTTTTGGGGTTTTGGTCGGTGCTTTGTGGCTGTTCCTTTCGAGTGACGCTGCTTAAAAGGTTCCCAAAGTGTGAAATTGCCGAGTCCCAGGCGGGGTTGGGGGAGCTTCCAGGTGGGGGAGCCATCCGAGGAGCCAACATATTTCATTTCAATCAAAACTATTACCTAATGCTCACTGTTTACACTTTTCTATTGCCAAAAAGTAATAAGAGAGGTATTTAATGATAACTACGAAGAAAGTTACTGATTGGCCGTCAATGGCTGTACCAACTAGCAGGGAAATAAGTTATAGTAAAAGTTTTACGCATTTACCTAAACTAAATCTCGTTAGTTCCTAAGAAACTCATTGGATTTATACGAAGATATAGTTATCCTAATAAAATCTGGCTTTAACTATAGTGATATATGGAATAAGGACATACAAACAAGCTTGGCTAATAAGTTTAGCATGGCGCTTACCCCTTTATGAAACACTTAACGGTTATGAGAAACCACTTAAACCGTTTGATCTTCTTAAGATTGGCTCTCTGGCGATCGAGTTTTTTGCTTAAGTCTTTCGTTTTAACAGAGGCTTTTAGCTGTTTGGTTTTTGAAGATAAAAACTTAACTGTTAAGTTTTAAATTTGAATTCAAGTTGATTACTTCCTCAATGATAAAATTGTTGCAATTTTATTGAAATATTTTTAAAGAAATAATAAAAAAACATTCTCAGAGCAATGAAGTTAAAGCCATTCCGATGGCTGAAAAGCCAAGTTCTGTTAACTGTTAAGTTTTAAATTTGAATTCAAGTTGATTACTTCCTCAATGATAAAATTGTTGCAATTTTATTGAAATATTTTTAAAGAAATAATAAAAAAACATTCTCAGAGCAATGAAGTTAAAGCCATTCCGATGGCTGAAAAGCCAAGTTCCAAGTTCCTTTGGCTGCGGGGCCAACCAGTTTCCACTGCACCATTTTCCGGCCATTGTGTTTCGGTTGCTAATTGGCGCAGTTGGAATTTGTGTCCCAGTGCCAGATGAGACCAAGCCCAAACGGGTAGCGCGTGGACCTCTTCCGTTCGCCGGGAGAGAGCCACAAATCCTAGGATTCAATGAATACATCAACACCGTTCGGAGCGAAGCCGTTGGCCTGGAAATTTATTGGCCCGGCCAGTGTCGGTGCTGCCAATTAACGCCAGGATGAGAGCCAACTGCCGAATGTGGAGCCGTAGCCACCAGCGTCGATCTTTGAAGCCAGCCGCCTGGAAGTGGCTCACAAGACGGCGATGAAGTCGTTGGCTCTGCTGGAGTCGTAAACTCTGATTTATTTCGAATTGAATGTCAATACACAGAGACCCACACAAATGGCTCCATGTGGGTCCGCGTCCGCGTCCGCGTCCGCAGTCAGCCCGAAGATCGGAGCTCTGGGTTCTGGCGAACCGCAGGCGGTCCTGACCCAATTTGGCGCCTGCTGGGGCGCTTTCATTAGCCTCCTCGTACATCATAAACAGATTCATAAACTGGCCTCTCTTCCTTCGCGTTGCACTTGGCGGGGCTCCAATGTTTATGGCGTTGAAAGGCGCATCGAATGGTCTGAGCTCCTTCTATTCTGCCCCGTTTCCGAGGTGAGGTCAGCCTGCAGTTTGATTTTTGCTAGCCAAGAATACACACCACAAGCTCGACCGCACCACTCACCCCCCGATCTGAGTTCGGACTCATTAAAATGTAATTTGAGCGCCTTGCCTCGCATTTCATTTGGCCGTTTGGCCGTTTTGCTGGAGCGGCGACGGTCAAGTGAGCAGGCCATCAAACGTGGCTCGGAGTCGGAGTCAGTTTCCATTTCATTGAGTTGACCAACTGCTCGACAGCAACCCCCAGAAGCTAGCTCTCCTTGCCGGCGAGTGCCATCTCTTTCTGGCCCGGACTCGGATTGATTTATGCTCTTTCGCTCGCACAAGGGTTCACGTTCACGTCCACGTTCACGTTCACTCGTCCCGTCATTTGTGGCACATTATTATTTAAATGATAAATTGTATTCGGCCGGGAACTTTGGTCGCGGCTTGGAGTTTCGTGGGTGTTTCCGTGCGCTTTCCCCTCCGATTCCTTTCCCCTGGCCCGAGTGGTGGGCGTTCTGCCTGTTCGTTTCCAGTTTTCCGTTCATTTTCTTCGAACGGCTCTTGGCTCTTCTTCTTGGGTTTTCTTTGCCCGAAAATTAATCGTCTCATTTGTCGAAATGCCCGCTCTTGGCTTTAATTTGGGAATTAATGTTGTTTGGTAATAAAATCGATTTGGCTTCCGTATTTGCTCGCTTCTGGAAGTGATTTCTGGCCAAGTGAGATATCAAATGGGAAAAGCTTAGAGGCTTTCGTTCCTTCCTGCTTGCTTATGGCTTTCCATTTGATAAAGTGCCATTACGGTAATCCCTTCCATAATGAGAACAGCTAATTGGTGAGGAAGGTCAAAGGGCTTGGGGGTAAAGAGGGAAGAGGACTAGGTCAATACGAACGCTTGCCAGATAATTGTTCAAAAGGTTAATCAATTTTTATGTTGCCATTAAGAAGGAAGTCTACATTTGAATGTAATCATGTTTATTTTGGGTACTAAAATCTGCGCAGCCTTAGTTTTCAGATTACATTTAGTGAATAGTTTTCAAAGTCAAAACATTTCGGGACGATAACCAACTTATCCATACCTTCTGTATCATTAGATATATCTGCATGGAATACACTTCCTCGATTATACCCACAAGTCGAGTTAATATCCATATTACCGATGCCCCGATGCCCCATATCTGCTGATTTATCGGTGGCGCGGGTTCATCTGCGACAGTTGATAAATTAATTCGCCGACTGATTGACTTGCAAACGTGTTTGCTTGACATATTTGCACGTGTCTCGTGTGGCGGTAATTTGATTTTGATTTATGGCCAATTAATCGGGGCCCAAGAGGGGCACAGCCACACACACACAAGCACACTTGGACACACTGTAGGGGCGCCTCAGTGGGAAAAGGAACAGTAGCCGCAGTAGCCGGGCTCGGTCTAATCATAATTTGCATTTAATAAATATTTCATTAAGTAATTGCAACAATTACGTGCATTTGAACTGTTCCCTTTAAATTAGTGCAGCCCAGCCGACCAGGTCAGAACGGAAAGTGGCAGCAGACCACAGCAGACCAGAGCAAAGCAGAGCAGATCCGATCCGGACGAGGGGATTAGCATTCAGCCGGACTCGGATCAGGCGCACAATTATCGCTGGAAGCTCGATTTATTTATATTTTTATAAATAAACTTAATTCGGTTTTTTGTGGCACTCTGGTTGTGGTTAATTGCGCCGCTTCGACTCATGAATATGCATATTTTCCACTTTTAGCGGAAATCCTTCTCAGGTGACAACTGCCCCGTTGGTGGGCGAGGGAGTGGCGGAGTGTGGCCGCTTTGCCGCCGCTTCAACTCCCAGTTGGGCTAAACTCAAACTCAAAACGCTGGAAATTCCGCCGTTCTCTCCGGCCTGCGACTTTGTCTTGTGAATGAAGAACTCCGCTCGAACAAGCGGCTGTGTAGCTTGGCCCAGAGCCACAAAGCGACATTGTGTGGCCCAAAGGACGCCATTTTGAATTGGACCTGCGCGCGCTCTGGCTCTCTCTGGCTGCGCTCACGGGGGCGTGGCGAGAGAGTTTGCGCTCTCAGCAGGGGGCGTGCTGGGTGCGCAGGTATGCGTGTGCGAGTGCGAGGGTGTGTGTGCTTGACAGGTGAGCAGGTTGGCCCGTTAGACTGGTTTGCCGCTGCCCAAGGCGGCCGCCAGGTGGCGCCACTAGTGCTGAACTGCAAGGAGGCTTTAAGGCCCCTGCACAGGATTGGAAAATCGAAGATGAAGCCTCTGTCGAATGATAGAAAACTAGCAACACCCGTGTGCCCAGCTAAGAGTGTCCTGAACTTGGCCTTTTCTCTCTCCTTATCAGGAGTTCCCGGAGATTGTAAAACGTAAACAAATCATTAAGATAATTCGGCTGTCGTCCGCAACTGTTGATTAGCCGTCGAAATGCGTGTGCCACAGTTTCGATCGGGCCAAAAATAAACCCCGAAACGAGCAGCGGCGAAGAAGAAGACAAATTACAGGTTCAACAATCAATTTAATAATTGAGACCTTTGCATTTAATCAACATTATTTAAAACGTCAAAATATTTGCACTTTCCATGGGCAGTTCCCCCTGGTATTTGCATATAAATGCTGTAAGTCCCCCGAAAATCCGTGGGGACCGGGGCGACAGACCACGCCTCAATCTCAATGCGGGCCCTAGACCTAGACAAAGTTGACGAGAGGTAAAAACCGGGGGCCCGCAGCCCAACCCCTCCCCGTTCATCCCCGTCCACCCCTCCCAAGGCAGATTTATGGTATTGGTGCGGTTTCAGCACCACCACACAGAGACACCACCGAGAAAACCGGTTGCAAACCACCCGATTGGCGACGCTTTGCGAGAGTCGCTGCAGAAGGTTCGGGCCACAGCGGCCGTCCTGCTTCAACCCACGGCAAGCAGGCGGCCATCTCACCGCTCGCACACTGCGGCTACAGAGCGGCAAAGCGGCAACGGCGGCAAAGCGACAGCGCAACGAGTCGAAGTCTCGCGCAACCGCGCCGCGAAAACCTCACCTAGTCGTATACGCACTTTGTTCGTGGGCAGTCGTCGCCGCTGTTGTTGCCGCAGAATTGCCGTCGTCGTTGCGTTTCTCGTTCTTGCGTTTCTGCGCCTCAGCGTTTCTGCGTCGAGCTGAATGATCCGTCGCGGGCTCGACAGTGATTCGATTTGATTTGAATTGAGTTGATTTGATTGATCCGCAAGACGGAGTTAAGAATCGTGTTTTGAAAGATATGCACAGCCAGAAATCGAAGTGATAAAGAAAGCCGACATATCGGGCTGCGGAGAAAGCAATCCGAGAGAGTGCTAACAAGTTGAGTGCCAGTGCCGAGAAAAGTGCCTCCTCGCCAGCAGAAAGGATTTACGCGCTCGACAGTTTCCCCAACTGACTGAAGCTAAGACTTTGTTTAAGTGAAATAACAATTAATACTATAACTATAGCTGATCACTGATCGCTGATCGTTGATCGCTGCCATCGGATCGCTGCGAACTTCCTTCCCGCGCGCCTTCCCCAGAAAAGCCGTCAAAATTCTTGATAAAGTGGCCTCAATAGGCGCCAACACGCTTAATTTCACGGATCTAGGGAGCCCCTACGAGGGGCCTCCCAGCACCCCCCAGTCCGGCATGGACGCCCCCGACGCTCCCCACACGCCCAAATACATGGACGGCGGGAATACGGCGGCCAGCGTCACGCCCGGCATCAACATCCCCGGAAAGTCCGCCTTCGTGGAGCTGCAGCAGCACGCCGCCGCCGGGTGAGTGTCACCAAGATGTGAAGTGTGGATGTGGAGCTGCCAGAAGAATATCAAAAAGTGTTGCAAAACAGACTCGATCTCTGTCAGACTTGGGCCTTCCTTGCCGAACTTATCAGAGTTCCATCTAGCTTGAGGAAAATTCGCCACACCCGTGGGGGAGACAAAGGAGCTTGTGGCCAGGGCGTTCCCTGACTCCAATTTGAATATCTTTAATGAATCGGAAAAAGGGAAAACACTTTAGCAATATGAAGGAGCTGCAGTTTGGAATGGATTCCAATTTAGATATCAGAGCAGCTTAGGATATTTTTTTTGTTTCTATTTTAATTTTTGCATCGAAAAGTTCATTTTTACAACGACAAAACACAGTAGCAGCCTTCCGAGCTGAACTTGTTCTTATAGAAATCTAGTTCCGATTATTAACAGAACATTGTATTCAGGATTCTATTCAAGAGATCGTTCCGAAATAAGTTTTCCTTTGAAAACATGTTCTTTATAGCCTTCGATACTACCCAAACGTGGTTCCGGAAGGGTCCTCAGATATTATGAAGTTTTTCGGATCGATCCCGCGATGGGGTCTCGCGTTATTATTTTTGATTAAGAAAATCACTTCAGCTGCATTTTCCGGCTTACAGTTCATGCTGGTGCCTGGCCGGCAAACGGAAGCCAAAAATAAATTCAATTAAGTTTAGTTTACTCCCGGTCCGTGTGCTAAATAAAGCCTCTGCTCCGGAGGGCTCTGTTCGGGTTCCGCCGCCACTGTCCGTTCTATGGGGGCAGAAGTCGGGCTCGGAAATCTTAGTTACTGTTACCGCTCACTCGGCGAACTGTTCGCTGCCGCAAATTGTTTTCCCAACGCACGATTCGATTTTTCATTATACATATTTTATTGCATTCTCGGCTTTTGCGGTTTTCCCTCCGCGTTCTGCTGCTCTGTCATTTGTGCGTGTTTGGCTTGGGCTTGGACCTGGGCTAGGAATGCTTGGCTGCGTCGGCCCAGCCCTCAGGAGTTGTCTTTGTCCGCGTCTCTTCTCCGTCCCTGGAGTGACTGCCATGTTGTCCGTTGCCCGCTGTCCGTTATCCACTGTCCGTTGCGGTTTCAGCTGCCTTCGGCCCGCTTCCGTTTCCGTGTTCGAGGGGCCAAGAGAGCATTGAATATTTCATGCAATTCGTTAGGACCGGACCCGAACATAATGCATGGGAACTTGCTCAACTGTTTCGGCCGCAAAGTGTTAACAAAATATTTACCGCAAGCGAGCGGGACTACAAACGGAACTATGGCCAAAACCGAAACTAAAACAGAGCGACGCTGGCATTCGTATTGATTTTTCCTTGATGTATTAAGCCGCATCAAGTTCGGGCTCTGGTTTGGTTTGGTTTTGGTTTCGGTTTTGGGCTTAGTTGTTCTCGTTCTGGCGGGTTCTGGCTTGTGTAAATGAAGTCATGGCAAAAGTTTCCTGCCTCTCCGTCAGCCTAATTTTTTGTTGTGAGAGAAAAAGTTTTCGTTTCGACGCTTTCTGCATTAAACATGAAACATTTGGGCTCACTTTTTGATATTTTCCTGGCCTGGACGACGTTTGAATTTAATAGTGAATAGTGAAAAGTGTAGACAAAACACGCAAGGAGGACAAGCTGGGTCCCCCGCTCCGGCACGATTCATTCACAGCCGGTGTACTCTCTTTCCACGACAGCCCCGTATTGATTATTTTCCGTGCATTTGCGGCATTCCAGGTACGGCGGCATTCGAAGCACCTATCAGCATTTCGGACCGCAGGGCGGCCAGGACTCCGGCTTCCCAAGTCCGCGCAGCGCCCTCGGCTACCCGTTCCCGCCCATGCACCAGAACTCCTACTCCGGCTACCACCTGGGCAGCTATGCCCCGCCTTGCGCCAGTCCCCCGAAGGACGGTAAGTACTCTTATACCCATTTCCACCCTCACATCCCTTCCATTTCCCATTCCCTCTGAGATCCGGGTCTTTTGTTGGCCTCTCGAAGAGATCGCGGCAGCTTCCTTGTCTATTTTTTGGCGACACTTGAACTCGAGAGCTCACCGCCGTCGAGTGCCATTGTTGTCTTTTTTCGCGGGTTTTGTTTGCTCGTCGACTTCAAGTTTTTGACTTGTCTCAATTAGGCTGGCTTCGCTGCCCCTTCGATTTCAGTGCTTTTCACTTTTATCAAATCGCGCCTTCAATCGGTCAAAGAATCACTCACTAATCATGTCTACAAAATCTTTATAATTATTGTTATTCTGAGTTGCAAACTTAAGCTTAAAGTTAATCTTCTCTAATTCATTCTCGATTCAACTTTTACCTCTTAGAATGTTAATATTAAACTGTTTAAAACTAAATTCTTAGTCGAACTTCTTCCTTCCCATAAAATATGAATTGTGTTCGATTGAAGCTGCGGGGCTCTGGAAAGCCCCTTTGTTGATCATCCACGTACGTGCAATTTTCCCATTTTATTCATTTTCCACCTCCTTTTTGTGTGTTCCTCATGTTTTCGGTACATTTTCCCAGTCTCTGGCATAATTGCGCGCTTGACTGTGACAATCCGTTGTTGCTGCTAACGCGGCTGTCTCTCGTATTTTGTTGGACAATTTTGTTGCTATTCCGATGCGTTTTGGTTGAGCAGTTTCGCTTTTCGGTGAGTGGAAAGCAATTCATTTTCATCCATTGTCGGGGATGTGAACAGCGGCAGAGGCAGTGCAAACAGCAGCAACAACGGCGACAACGACAACAACGACAACAACAACAACAACGACAACAACGACAACAAACGCCAACGCTTCAGGCAGCCTCGATTGCTGTCTTTGACTTTCGTCACTCATACGCAACGTGGGCCAATTAACCTTGGTGCACTTGCTCTTGAAATTCCCTCAAACAGCATTCGGCTCTGGCCAAGAGATCTGCAAAGCAGCTGATCGTTAGAAGGAATCCCCAGATGACTGCCCAGGTGTTTGTGAACGTAATTGCAGTAATTAGGCTTTCGTTTGGCGCAATTAATTACACCATTCTTTGATGGACGAATGTGTGGCGATGGCCGAGTGAAATGGCCAAATGGCGACCGTCCAGGAGTTGGCCACTCACTCACACATACTTCGCAGTGACTAATGGGCCGCTGGGTGGTCGAGGTGACAGCGAGTGCCGCCATCTCTGTCGCTCTGCGACTTGCCATTTTGTCATTAAGAGTGTGCAGCACGTGCTGCCTGCTCGGGCGCCAAAAATATACGGCCGACACCAACACTCGGATGGCCAATACCGATACAGATACAGATACAGATACACACCTGTAGCCATATTTGGCATTTAATAATAGTTTGTTTGGTGGCTCCGTGTGTTATTTTCGAACAATTAGCAACGTCAACAGTTGCAGTCGCCGCTCATTGAACTTGAGTGGTGGCCGATCATCATCATGGTTTTATGAGCTCTACGGCCAACTCCGTCGTAGAGTGCTTTGAACTTTCGCTTAGCAATTAACGCTAATTCGCTGACATTTACAAGTTACTTAACGAATCGATATCTGGCCAGAGCGGAGCTGGGCCGCCCGATTTCTAAGCGATGCGGCTGCAATTAATTCAGGTCCATAAATGTAACAGTTTCATGCATTCCAGCTGCCGCGGGAATTCGCTCATAAATATGCATTTGGTGCACGGAGGCAAAAAGGGCCATTCTGGCCATAATTCCATAGCCTGATTATAAATTCATCATTGGCCAGTTTTTTAGCCTGCCATTTACAGAGTCCTCAACTGCTCCTTTCATCGCATTGTCTTCTCTCCCCCTCCCGCAGACTTTTCAATCTCGGACAAATGCGAGGACTCCGGCCTCCGCGTCAACGGCAAGGGCAAGAAGATGCGCAAGCCCCGCACCATCTACAGCTCGCTGCAGCTCCAGCAGCTCAACCGCCGCTTCCAGCGCACCCAATACCTGGCCCTGCCGGAGCGGGCGGAGCTGGCGGCGAGTCTGGGCCTCACGCAAACGCAGGTGAGTTCAATATCTGGGTGTATGGGATGGGGACTGAGGGATTGGAAATTCTTCTTCCTCTCCTGATGTAAATCAACTCAATATATATATTTAATATACAAACTATAAATACTTTTGCAACTGTATCTTCCATGTTAAGTCCTAATATAGTTCTTAAATTCATTTTCTGAGCCTGTAAAATAGAAATACATATGTAGGAGTAGAACTGATCAACATTGATATTCCTAGAAACATCTTCTTATATATCCTACGATAGGTGATAATGCTATGTAAGATTAGGACAAGGGAAACTCCCCTACACACTCACTCATAGCCATTAAAGCCCTGGCAAGGATCCTTTGGGCCATTTCATTGGCTGCGCCTGCGGTTAGTTAGCATTTCCCAATTGAATTGTTGACATGTCTCTAATGTTGACTGACAAACGAGCCAAGACAACGGCCGCGGAGACGTAACAACAGCAACAACAGCAACCTCCCACGCCTGTGACCCTCTCACTTGACAACACGCCACTCGGGCGTATGTGCAATATTGTAATGTTCTTTTTGTTGTTCCTCCACGTGTGTCAATGTCAATTTTGTGAAAAGTTTTTCAGTTGCTGTTGCTGTTTTTTTTCCACCGCCAATGCACGCGCTGCTGCCCACGGGAGGGAGGGCTGCCGGGGCATGGGTGGGGGCGAGGCACGGCATTGTCACAGGCAACACCCACCCAAGTCAAGTACTTGAACTCGTACTCGTACTCGTTCTCGTACTCGATGCCCAGTTCGCCTAGTTGCCACTGCTCTATTTAATGGCTTTCCAGATGAGCCACAAACAGCAGCGTTTGCAAAACAGAGCCGTGAATGAGTCTCGTGTTTTGAGAAATTTATTGATAGTGGGCGTGGGCTTCCTAATTGAATTAGTGTGCCACGAAAGTTCATGTGCTCGACGCGGAGGCAGCAACCGAAACTGCGAGAGGGAGAGCCGCAATAATGTTGTAAAGAAAAACTAGTAAAACAAGTCGAAGACCCTGTGTGCTTGTGGCTGACTTTGTATTGGTGGCGTGGGTGTTGCTCCGCCGCAAGTTGTTTATCAAGATACATATTTGAATATCCGCGGGTAGGGCTGAAGAACGGGGAAGGGGAACAGGGATCGGGTCTAGAACGGGCGTGCCACACGGCGGCTGTGTAATAAATTCTCCTCAGCCTGGGCCTCGGCCTGAGCCTTAACAAAAGCCAGACCCACGTTAGTCACCCCGCAGAATCGGCAGAGACCCTGATTTCCCAAAGTTGCGACTGTGTCAGCTGTCAATCGAGGCAGCTAAGCAAATAGCCACGCCCCTGCGCCTCCAGCGACACAATCACTTTGGTCTATCTACGGTCTCTGTCGCCGCGGGCCTTTAAGGGGTTAAACAGTTGAGCGGCTAAGCAGCTAAAGAGTTGGCCAAAAGCCTGAATTTATGGCTGCACTTTGGGGTGCAAGTCCTGGCCGCTTTCGCTTTTATTTTTTCGCGGGGAGGAACTTGGGCCGCGTGTTAATTAAAACCGCCCTCGTCGTTTGAGCAACGGAAGTTTTTTATTGATTTGGCCAGGTTCAGGACCTGGTCTCCGGCCGGACAGAGGCTAGTCGCCAGCAGTGGTAGTCCGGTAGTGCGGTAGTGCGGCAGCCGTACACGCCAATGTTTGGGACGTGCAAACAAACCATTGTGCTTGGCCCTAAGATTTATGCGTTGCACAAACACCAAGCCAGCTTAATGGCCTTCGGCCTTCAGGGGGGTGGGGTGCTTAGTATTTTGAGTTTTATTTTTGTTTTTTGGGGCGTGTTATACAATTCGGTTTTGGTGTCTTGAGGCCCGGCCTGACAGCAACTTGTCCGTTCTAACACCTGCCGGACAGCAGCAGCCACTCTCCCCCCGCAGAAGTATAAAGCCGAAAGCCGTGGTACGAGAATATTACCGCAAAAAAACTGTGGCATAGTGCTTGCTGTTTTACAGCTTTTTTTATAATTATGGTAATTTTATTATGATTTTTTAGCTGCTGCTACTGCTGCTGGGTCTCGAGTCTTCAGTTTTCAGTTTTTAGTTGTCAGTTTTTAGTTTTCAGTTTTCAGTCTTCAGCAGCAAAAACTCGTTTGCCAGTTGCATCTTTCACTCGGCCACTTGCTGTTCGCTTGATTTGAAAGTGCATCCGGTGACTGTTAATGAGCCCAGGCACACATGGAACGTGCATACATATAGCACATAGCATAAGGCATAGCATATAGTATAAACAGAAACATTCGGAAAATAATTAACTTTCAATTAGAGCGAAATCTCGGCTACTGTTCCTCGGCTCCCTGGCTGGCTCTCTGCACCCCGGCTAATTGAATAATTACATAGAACGTCCAGCTGGACTGCCGAAAGTTCTCAATGCCCCGAAAGCCAGCCAAGAATCAGCTGACAGCGCCGGACAAAACTGTATGTACAGTCCGTGCGAACCCGTCAACAGCCTTCGCCTGATTCGCTCTGATCTTTATTCCCCAAAAAACGAAAACGAAAAAGAAGTTCGAGATGCGAACAAAAACAAAAACAAAAGCCCGCCGAGTAAAAAATGAAATAAAATAATAAAAAATACTTTTAAACTGCGTGTTTATGAGCTTATATCGGCGCATTTTGATCTGGTTCCTCCGACGAGGCTCTTAGGAAGGGCCAGCAACAACGACAACCACTGCGAGACAGCCACAGAGCCACGAAATTTTTGTAGGAGGCCACGCTGGCTGAAAACAAAGGATTTGGCAGACGAACTGCCAAAACGGCGCTTGTGGGAGCAGACGATCGGGGTAGAAGCGAACCAGCCATGGAAAAATGTTGGTAGACCTGCGAGTTATATAACAACTGGAGGTAGTTTCTCATTTATGGGATCGTGCGAAATTCATTTGTTTTTATATTAATAAAAACCGATTTTCATTGTTAGTAGTTGGTACTTATTCAGATCTTAAGTGCCTAAAAGTGCTATAAATAAGAAGACTTAAAAATATAGAACCCCCCTTCTGCCTGTACCAACATTTTGCCACGGGTCTCTGGTTCTGCCCGCGCCTGTCTTCAAAAATCAACAACGCCTGCTTTATGAGTCCGCCCGCGTGAGTGTGTGTGGTGTGCGGTGTGTGGTGTGCAGAATGTGGTGTTCTTGAGTGTGTCTCGGCCTGCTGCTGCTGCCGTTGCCGTTGCTGTTGCCGTTGCTGTTGCTGGAGCTGCGATCGCGGCTCCGCGAATCTCCGCTGCACGCAGAGCAGACTTGGTCTGATGACGACGCATCGACGCAGACGCATCGCCCACGGTGCACACCTTCTCTGGCCGGGGCTTCTCCGTTGAGAGCTGAGAGCCGAGAGCTCGGGGCTCCAAGCTCCGATAAGTCTGCTGCTCCACCCCTATCGTGAGACGTGGCCAATGCTCTGGTATTGCGCAAAGGTCATGGACTCCGCGGAGAAACCCAAAATGATACTTCGCTGGAATTCCAGGCCAACGAAATACTTGTAACGAAATTAAATTAATTTCCACATCAAATAATACTCGCAGCCAACGGCGACGGCGACGGCGACGGCAGTGGCAAAAATGCGCGCGTTTTTTATTGTATTAAGAAAAAAACTAGCACAACTTGATTTAAATAATACAAGTGTCTAGTTAGTATCAACGGCTAAGCGAGAAAAAATGAAAAACTGGCTGACCGCATTTAAATGCCCAGCTCACGTTCGTTTATGCTGCGACCAGCGTCGCAGCAGCAGCAGCAACAGAAACAGCAGCAGCAGCAACACATCGTATATCAGTTCAGTGATTGCCTGATTTACTCGAGCAATGTCAATTAAATTATGGCACATAATACGATGTAACTAAGCAGCCGCGCTCGCGTCTTAATCGCACGCATATTGCAGCAACATCGGCGGCGACCCAGCAGCTGCCCGCCTTTCTGCCTCCCTGGCTCCCTTCCTCGCTGTGTCGAAATATTTGCACCGCTGCTCGCGTAACAGGAACTTTGAATTAAGTTTGATCAGTGGTGATGCTGGTACTACAACAGTGCGGCGGCTCAGCCCAGTGGCAGCAGCAGCATCAGCGGTACGACGGCAGCGGCAACACCACGACATACGACATTCGACAACAAACAAGTTGCCATTAACAATGATGCATGGCCTGGCCGAGCGAGAGACGGACCAGAGCCAGGCACCGTCACCGGGCTGGGCAGGGGCTCGTTTCTCAATTTCTCACCAGCGGTTCTGCTCCTCCCTTCCCCGCTCTTCTCCTTTTTCCGTCTTTCTCTGTCTTTCTCTGTCTTTCTCCGCTGACCGCATTTGCATTTTCAAGAGAGCCCAATCTAACGCCGGTCGAGAGCTTAGCGGACTCATTCGGAAACCCGGACAGCGCTGGATACATCCCAGATGGCTGTGATGAGTGCTTACGTGCGGCTTGTGCAATCTCGATTGCAGTTGACATGGTTCGCCGTGGCAGGTAGCGATCCAAAACACAAATTGACCCACAAAGCGTGCCAAAAAGATGATCCGCTGGAGAAATACTTACATCAGTCTCGTGCCAAAACTTTAAGAGATGATACTTAAAAAAGATCGCTAGCATTTACGGCGGGAAGAGGCTGGAGCCTGGAGGATAGAATAACCTCTAATGGTTCCCTGGCCAGCATTTACAGCTTCCTCTTGCCATTAGCAGCGACTCATCGGCCACATCTACATGCACTCGCCTTTCCACCCAGCTTGAGGTCCCTGTGCTGAAAGCAAGTTTCGCGTTTCATTCACAATATTGGCAGCTTTCAAAATGCTCAAACTGGCTTCGACTTCGGCTTCGGCTGTGGCTCCAGTTGCTGCCCCATCCGTCAGCGTTTCGATCAAAATCGTACGCAACGCTCAGGAAATTACAAAATGCCCACGAGGGGCCGAGGGGGGAGGCCAGTTATTGGCCTGGTCAAGTGAGAGTATTCAAATAAATAAAGTTTTACGACTATTGCGCATAGCTGGAGTGCCGGGCATAGTATGGGTATCTTGGCT